ACCCGGTGGCAGCGCCGAGCTCTCGCTAAACTGTTAAGAAGCAGTCACGTTTATGCAGCCCTGAAATCCCGTTCGGCCCTTTGAAGGCAGCCTCGAGGCTGCGTGGCCCTGGTGACAACGAATTTGATGCCCTGATTTAGTTAAATGACTGTCGTACCTTGGTGGACGGGAGCAGCTGGTGAGCAACTTGACTGACAGGTGGGACCTGAGGCAGACCCACACCCATCATGGCCTGGCACATGCCAGTTCCCATATTAAAGATCCAACACAAGGTCAACTCCAAAGCCTCCGAGGAAGGAGTTCAGTTCACAGGGGGCAGTGATGGTGTTACGATGCGGAATCCACGCAGCGTTACGTGGGCATTAAATCAGTGCTGTGAAGTAACACAGGGTTACCTGGGAGCTCCTTCACACGGGTGGGGAAATAGAAGCATAAGTGGAATTGGGGAAAGTTTTTGTGGTATTTAACTGCTTTATGGCTTACAGCTTTAACCAATGAAAACAACCCTGTTCCAAACCCCATCCTTTATGTCTGCCCATACAATCTATCCATTTTTTAAGGTTTTATTTATTTATTTTAGAAAGGGGAAGGGAGGGAGAAAGAGGGAGAGAAGCATCAATGCATGGTTGCCTCTTGTGTGCCCCCTACTGGGGACCGGGCCCAAAACCCAGGCCTGTGCCCTGACTGGGAATCGAACATGGGATCCTTTCAGTTTGCAGGCTGGCCCTCAATCCACTGAGCCCCACCAGCCAGGGCCTGACCCGGTCCCTCTTGTGTGGATGGTGCCTCACTTGAGTCTCTCCATCATGCTCTTGCTGATCCAGTGAGTGGGTCGGATCTCTTTCCCCACCTCCTCCTGGCGGCCGGCAGCTCAGTGTATTTGCCCTGGGGCGCTCGGCTGTGCCCAGTTCCCTGGGTGTAGCCTAGAGATGGTGGCCTGCAGCCGCTCAGCAGCTGGCAGTACTGAGAGGACATTGCCGAACTAGTGGAAGGCAGGTGGACGCTCCCAGCAGCGTTGAGGGAGGCTGCATGCAGGTGAAGTCAAGTTCGGTTTGTGAGACATCCCCCTGAACAGTGGGCTGCAGTCTTTGCTTTTTAGAGAAAGAAAGGGAATGGGGTGGAGGGGCAGAGGGGGAGAGAAACATTGATTTGTTTTTCTATTTATTTATGCATTTATTGGTTGATTCTTGTATGTGCCCTGACTGAGGATTGAACCCTCAACCTTGGCATATCAGGATGGTGCTTTAACCAACTGAGCTGCCTGGCCATGGCCCATACTTTCTTTAATTAAAAAAAATTTCAATTGCTAGGGACAATGCATCATATGAGTTTCAGTTGTATGACATAGTGATTAAACATTTATACACAGGGTCTGGCAGAAGTAAGGTCTGCTCGAGTGTGGTTGGTAGGGTAATAACATGGGTGGAATAATTTATAGTTTTAATTTGAGTATTTCACCTAAAATGTTATATGGTGTGCTTGAGTGTAACATTGTTATGTCAGAGAATTACATGCTTATGATTTTGTAATACGAGAGTTTGTAATTAAAAGGGGTGTTGTTCATGCCGGACCCTGTATTCAGCAGCAAGCTCATCGGCCAGGACAGAATCAGACCGTTAAAGGTTTGTGTGACCAAGAAGCGATTGCCCTGATAGCACAGCACTCCCGTGACATCAGTTGTCACAACACTTCCTTTTTTAAAACAAGTTCAATGAATCAGATGTGCTTTTTTGAAACTAACTTTTTAAATGCAGAGCTGTATTCTCAGTTATTCCTTTGTATATGAAACTACAGAGGCTTGCCAAATGCTGGCCAATGGATGGAGCTAGAGAGGGGTGTGTGGCGGAGGGTCGTGTGGCCAAGAGCTTGGGCCCTTTACCCATTTCCTCCTGACCCAGCCCAGGGGCCAGGGCCGCTGCGGAGATGTGGTTGGTGCTAGTCCATGAAAACCTTGATGATGGCCACTGGGGGGGGTAGCTGGCTGGGAAACTCATTTGGTTTTCTCTTCATTCTGGAGGGTAAAAACAATCACAGAATTGTCGTTGAATTTTTTTCCCTATTTTTATTCAGGCTTACATTGTTTTCAATCTAGCAGGGAGACCCACTCCATATAATCCCAGGAATTCAATCAATTCTATAAGGAAAGAATGAAGGGGAGGACTTCCACCAAGATGGAGGCGTAGGCGGAAACACTTTGCGTCCTTGCACAACCAAATCTAAAAACAATAAAGTTTTAACAATAATAAACACAACCAAACCACACAGAAAATCGAATAATTTGGAGTCCGAAAACAATAAACCACTCAGCTAAACTGGTGAGAGGGGCGAAGCCAGCAGCGGAGCGGGTTGGGCAAAAAAGATCCCCTGACCCGGAGGGTGTGCGGGCAGCCGAGGGTGCGGATCCCAGGTGCAGGCTGGCTACGGGCAGACACAGGGAAGAAGCGCTGCTAGCTGTCTGTGGTCAGTCACACATTTGCGTGCAGATAAACCAGTGAAGAGACGAGCATTGAGACAGATAGCACAGGCCCTGGCGCAGGACGGCGGGCTGGCACCTTTGCGCTCAGATAAACAGGCAGGGGCGAGCGGTGAGGTGGACTGGGCAAGCAGAGGACCACCATTGCTCCCTCTCTGACCCCGCCCCCACATATAGCGTCACAAAGCAGCGATCTGGGTGGCCCCGCCCTGGTAAATACCTAAGGTGCCTCTCCTCATACATAACAGGCACAAACAGATCAAAACATGGCTCAAGAACAACTCAGAGCCCCAGAGCCAATAAATCTAAGTGATGAAGAAATAGCCAAACTTTCAGATGCGCAGTTCAAAACACTGGTGATCAGGATGCTCACAGAACTGGTTGATTTTAGTCACAAATTAGAGGGACATATGAAGGCTAAACTAATTGAAATGAAGGGAAATACACAGGAAACCAATAGTAATGGAAAGGAAACTGGGACTCAAATCAAGGGAGCAGATCAGAAGGAAGGAAAAAATGACCAAGCAGAAAAAATATGAAGAAACAAGAATTCAAAAAAATGAGGAGAGGCTTAGGAATTTCCAGGACATCTTTAAACACTCCAACATCTGAATTATAAGGGTACCAGAAGGGGAAAAGGAACAGTCATGAGTGTTACTTCCCCATTCTGGCAAAGGAAATAGACTTCCAGGAAATCCAGGAAGCTCGGAGAGTCCCAAAGAAGTTGGACCCAAGAAGGAACACACCAAGGCACATCATAATTATATTAGCCAAGATTAAAATGGAGAGAATCCTAGAAGCAGCAAGAGATAGGGGGACAGTCACCTACGAAGGAGTTCCTATCAGACTGTCAGCGGATTTCTCAAAAGAGACTTTACAGGCAAGAAGGGGCTGGAAAGAAGTATTCCAAGTCATGAAATCCAAAGACCTACAACCAAGATCACTCTATCCAGCAAAACTTTCATTTAGAATGGAAGGACAGATAAAGTGCTTCTCAGATAAGATCAAATTCAAGGATTGCATCATCACCAAGCCCTTATTATATGGAATGTTAAAGGGACTTGTCTAAGAAAAAGAAGATAAAAAATATGAACAGTGAAAGGACAGCAAACTCACAGTTATTAACAACCACACCTAAAACAAAAGCAAATTAAGAGGACAGCTACATCAGGAGCGAACCATAGAAATGAAGATCACGTGGAGGGTTAGCAACAGGGGAGTGGGAGAAGAAGGGGGGAGAAGGTACAGAAAATAAGTAGCATAGACAGTAGATAGAAAATAGATAGGGGGAGGGTAAGAATAGTAGGGGAAATATAGAATCTAAAGAACTTGAGACACGTGTTCATGAACTAAAGGGGGGAAGGTGGGGGAGGGGTGTGCAGGGTGGAGGGGAACGAGGGGGGAATAGAACAACTGTAATGGCATAATCAATAAAATAAAAAATATATTAAAAAAAAAGAATGAAGGGGCAATTTGGATGTTGGCCCAAAGGCAAACTTTGCTAACTTCGGACACTGGGTCTTAGAGCAACGCAGGCCTCTGTCCACCCCTGTCTCCCAATGTCCCGGGAGGGTCCTGCCTGCCCCTTGGTCCAGGAAGCAGGCACGAGGCCTTCGGAAATTCCCAAGCAAAAGTCCTCACCAGCGACCAGAAGCCGAGACCCTAAATTCTCAAGCCAGGGCGCCCTCTGTGGGGCTTTCGGGGACCTGCTCTGCCTTTGCAGACTTCCATGGTCGGACATCTGTCATCCGCCCCCCTCCCTAGTGAGCCACTTCTGAGTAACGCAAAGAATCACACAACCACCGACCACTGTGCCTCTCTGAGACAGCGAGAGGACGATCGGCCGGGGTGGGGTAGGAGGCCTTTCTCCAGTAGGGCCCTTCATCCAGGGGCGGTGGCGGGAGACTGCCTGGGACCATGCTCTACCCTCGTGTACCGAGCGCAGCCTCATGCTCCAGGGTCGAGCCCACCCCGCTCCCGCCCGCCGCGCACAGGGTCCATCCCCTCGCCACCTCCAGCGCTGCGCCAGGGCCACGTGGACCAGAGCCAGGGTGCGGAGAGCGGTCCGAGGGGCCGCTTGGTCCGCCTTGGTGTGTTGAGGCCCCGCAGCTCGCCCTGGATGGGGTTTTTCCCCGCGACTCAGGCTCCTCCCGCAGATTCTTCTTCTCGCGGCCTCTACCGTCCGGGCCGCACATCAAGAAGCCTCTGCTCTATCGGTACCTGCAAGTGTGCCACCACCACGTCTGGACCTCTGCGGGCGCCCGTAGCAACAAGACGCCGTTGCTACTCGGAACTGACGTATCCCAGGGCTCAAAGGCTTCCAGACCATGAATTATGTCCCTGGCCGAATGCCGTAATCAGGGGCCTCGTCCCGCCCTCCGGCCACCCGCCCCCAGAGCCAGTTCCGGCAATCAACCAGAGGGTGCCGATGATGTCATAATCATCCTGGCCAATCCGAGTGCCGCAGGCGGGGTGGTGAATCCCACGAGCTTCCGTCGCCCTGGTGTAAGAGGCGTGTGTCGCGCCTGCGCAGTTGCTCTGGCCGCCGGCTCGGATCGCGTGGGGAGAGATCTGAGTCGCGCGCTTTAGCTAGGCATCGGGTCCTGGCGGCAGCTGCGGCGCCCGACGCTCGCGGGCCATGTCGTGGCTCTTTGGCATCAAGGGCCCCAAGGGTGAAGGCGAGGGGCCACCTCTACCCCTGCCCCCGGCGAAGCCTGGGGCTGAAGGCGGCGGGGACCGGGGCGCGGGAGACCGACCGGGGCCCAAGGACAAATGGAGCAACTTCGATCCGACGGGCCTGGAGCGCGCGGCCAAGGCCGCGCGCGAGCTGGAGCACTCGCGTGAGTGCGGCGGCGTGGGCGAGGGCGGGACGGGTCGGGCTCCTCCGCGAAGAACCAGTCCACGGAGCGCCTTGCATGCCAGCCTTCAGGGCTTTTAGTCCTTTAGTCGTCTGAGTGACTGTCGACAGTCGTACTTGTCAGGTGAGGGAACTGGCCTCCAGGAATGAGTGTGCCCCAGCTGCTGTGCGTACGGGGAGGTTCGGGGTCCTATCGCCCTTGGCACATTCTCAGCTGCCACGTGCCTTGCAGGCGAGGAGACCGGTGCGGAGGGGACTTTGAGAGGTCACAGGTAGCAGCTTCCGGGGCTGGTCTCCGGTCTTCAGTTCCTGCTGTGTGTAGGAGGTCCTTCTCCTCATGCCGCCTCCACGTGAACCGGCCAAGGCGTGGCCAGATCGGGGACCCATTTGTGATGGTTGCTGGCAGTTTTCCCTTGAAGGGACGCATGGTGGAGGGTCATCGGTTTTAAGAAGGAAATAACAGACTTACGTTTACTATTGGGTTACATTAGCGTTAAGGTAGGCGAGGCTGTAAACAGGTCAGACAACCCAGACAGAGCCTGGTGACCTTCCTGACCCTGGGCCCTCCAGGCACGGCAGCACCTTTCCCATAGTTCCCTTTCTCCTGCGGCTTTAACCACTTGTCTTGAGTGGTAGTGCGTTTAAGAGCCTGGAATGGAGAAGACGCCAAATAAACTTTGATTGAAAGAATACAATGGCTCTCAAACTTTTGTTGAAACAGAAGTGCCCTCTTTTTGAAGGAGACCCTATAGAGAATCCTTGTAAGAGGCACAGGGGAGCCTGCCCTGCACGTTGGGGCTCAGTCCACCCTTCACCTGCAGCTGCATGAACGTCTGGACCTTATAAGGTTTCTGGGCCGCCCTGGCTGTCAGATCCTGGAGGGGCATTCACAGCATCTAGACGTTGGGGCCTGGGCCCAGGACATCCTGTTGTGCCTGGCTGGGACACGCCCACCCTGGCTGGGTGTGTTGAGTTTTCTGGGGAATTTTAGTCATCAGGGTGGGTAGAACTGGGGTCAGAGCCCCTCAATGATAGTTGTGGCTTCTAACTGGATTTCTCGCTAAAGGCTTGGTTGGGGGACACCTTTGTGCCCCAGTTCCCATATGGTTTCACCCACTAACCGTGTCAAAATTTTCCTGCTTTTAGAAGGTGACCCCCGACTGTCGGCCCCTGTTGCTTCCCATGGTTATACAGTGAAGGTAGCCTTGGATGTGCGGGGGTTGGGGGGTGGGCAGCACTGGGGCTTCCCTCCTGCTGCCTGCTCACGCTGCTGAGTCGCTCCTGTGTCTCCTGCCCCAGAACACTCTCCACCTGGGGCCCCAGGGCCTCCCTCTGCTCCCTCACAGCCAAGCAGCATGTCCTCTAGAGTCCTCAGGTCCTCCCATCAGTCCCCACATCTGGTGACTACCCCAGATCTGGGCTCTAACTCGTCTTTGTTCCTGCTGTCCTTCCTGGTCTCTGCTGCCCGCTGGGAGACGATTCATGCTGGTGGCCCGCCCCTTCCTGTTCCCAAGCCCTTCTCCCCAGAGCGCTTCATGCTCCTGTGTCCCAGAGCCCTTGTGCAAGCCTGTCCCCCTGGGACACTTGGTTCAGGCAGCTGCGTCTCCACTTCTGGGCCTTGGCCCATCTGCTCAGCCAAGCAGCGCTGACTGCTGCTCCTGGCAGCGGAATCACTCGCTCCTTCTCTCAGACCCCTGGTGCGCTCGGTGTCCAGGTCTCCAGTTCCCCACCGTACACTCAGGATGGCTGGTGCCTAAAAGAGCCCCCTGCTGGTAGTGGCTGCCACTTGGTGCTTCAGAGTGCACAGGTCCCGGTGCAGAGTGGCATTAAAGTGAAAAGTGTTACTGTTAGTCCTGGAGTTGCAGCCTGTGGTCAGCAGAGCAGCTGGGTGCCAGGCCTGTGCCAAGCAGTAACCTGAGTCTCAGTTCCCTCCAAGGGTGTGTGGGTGGGGGACTTGACTGGCTTCGTGTCAAGTGAGACACAGAGGTTCACCTGGCTGGCCAGGGGTCATGTGAGCAAACCAGGGGGCGGGGACCCGGCCCCAGTGTGTTGGACCTGTGGCACCCACGCCGTGTGTGGTGCGCCCTGCTCTCTTGTGGTCAGAGTCCGCTGTTAAAGCAGCTCCTGCCCAGCTGTACACCCCAGCGGGCCATGCGGGCACCGAGGCTCCTGCCCCTCTGTCCACTGCACGGGGCGCCCCCACTGGACGGTAAACAGACGCTTTCTTCTGTCAGTGACACACGTGTGTGCTGCAGGGTCCCGGGCGCCGGGGTCTGCAGCCTGCTCTGAAGGCTCAAACAGCACGACGGATCACGGGGGCAGGAGGGTGGGTGAGCAGGGGGAGCCGCCTGGGGACATGGCCACTTCCAGAAGCTACGTTTGTGGGGCCACCCTCTTTCCAGCCCCTGAGGAACAGAAGAGTCCCAGTGAAACGCCACGGACTCGTGAGCACGCGGCGGTGTGGGCTGCCCACCCTGCCCAGCCGGAAAGTCTTCTGCCAGCCCGACTCAGCCCTGCGTGCGTGCGGCTTCCCGACCTCGGAGGAGATGCTGTCGCCCACCCACGGCTGGCTGAGTCCACGGCAGTGAAACCCAGGGAGACGGAAGACCCACCGTGTGCTCGTGAAAGAGCCTGCGCGGGGGCAGGCCCTCAAAGCCCGGCCCGTGGAGTTCAAGGGTCAGCCCTGTTGGGCCTGAAAGGCCTGGTCTTCCTCTGCCGAGAGGGGCCAGAAGTGGGTTTCTTTCCACAACACCCAGTGAGGACAGGTGTGAGTTCACCTCACGACGGAAACATCGAAGGTGTTCTGACATGCGTGCTTTTAGCATGTGCTCTATGAAGACCCACCTCCTGGTGCACGTGACTTATTTCTGACTTAACTCTCACTCACTTCTCGTTCACCTTTTCCTGCACGTGCCTGACGGCTGGTCAGGGATGTGGTGGAGGCTTAAGAGAAGCCTAAGGACCGTGAGGAACCAGACAGTAGCTGCGGGTTTGCTTTTCGTTTGGTAGGGAGAGGGCCGCTGTGCTGACCTCAGCGGGCAAGGCTCAGCCCTTCGGATGGAGCCCTCTGTGGTGGGTTGGTCCCCCAGAGGGTCTTTCTCTTGGGGGTGGAGCAGACATAGGTGCCGGTCGCTGGGCACGTGGGCCTGGGGGGCGAGGAGAGCTGTGGTCTCCCTGGCAGCCGCTTGGCGGCGAGACTGCTTGCCCAGTACCGGTTTGTCCTAAGGCCCCTGCGCTCCCTGCAGGACACGCCAAGGAGGCGCTGAGCCTGGCGCAGATGCAGGAGCAGACGCTGCAGCTGGAGCAGCAGTCCAAGATCAAAGTGAGTGGTGGCTGGGGGCAGCGGAGGGGGGAGGTGGGGGTGGGGTGGGGATGCAGAGGCTGCAGAGGTGAGGGCCCGGCTGTGGTCGGCGGTGGGCCTGGCGGCAGTGCCCGCACCCAGACGGGGGCGAGGCTCGCCCCGTAGGGTGCGGCCGGGCTGGGGGCGCTGAGCGGAGGCCTCACGGGTCTGCAGGAGTACGAGGCCGCGGTGGAGCAGCTGAAGAGCGAGCAGGTGCGGGTGCAGGCCGAGGAGCGGAGGAAAACCCTGAGCGAGGAGACGCGGCAGCACCAGGCTGTAAGGGTCACGGGGCCCCGCGGACACCAGGGTCCTGGGTGACCAGGAGGGCTGCAGGGGCACACGTGGTCCCGTGGGGAGTCGGGGTCTCCTGTCGCCTGGTCAGGGACCTGGGCCGCTTCATGCTGAGTGTGATGGAAGCCCGTGCGCCGGTGGACGGCAGGCGGGATGGTGGCCCAAGGCCCCGGTGCCCAGACCAGTCCGGGCCTACGTGTTGGTTTCGGGGCGTCCACCCGCTCCTCCAGCTGAGCCGTGTTGGGGCTGCTCTCTCCCTCCCCAGAGGGCCCAGTACCAGGACAAGCTGGCCCGGCAGCGCTATGAGGACCAGCTGAAGCAGCAGGTGAGTCCACACGCTGGCAGGTGGGGGTGTCTCCGCATCCTCTGGGGTGGGCGACGAGGACACTGGGTCCACGGTAGGTCCTGAGGGGGCGCTGGCATGTGCCCTTGGGCCACGCTGCACTGGGGGGCTTCCACAGCAGAGGCAGCCCCCCTGCTCTTAAGGTGCTCCCAGGTGGGACGTGACTGGGAACGTGGCTGTGACGGGTTCATAGGGGATTTCAAATGTCCGTGCCCATCGTGGGTGTCATAGCTGTAAAGTTTGGCAGTCAAAACCCAGAGCGATTTACGGGCAGCTGTGACCCTGTGGCCGAACTATGCTGGGGGTGGGGGTGTGAACTTGGCCCCTTGGTCATGCATGTCCCCCGTTGTGTTCAGACCTTCAGGCCCTGGGTCCGCCGTCCCCAGAGGGCCTGAGCCCTGGGGTGGTGGCTGCCTCCCACGGCTGAGGTGGCCAGCCTCTCGGGTGGGTGGCGACTGTTCCCTCGTTTTGAAAGCTTCCCCTTCTTCTATCGTGCCTTCCTTTCAGCAACTTCTCAACGAGGAGAACCTGCGGAAGCAGGAGGAGTCTGTGCAGAAGCAGGAGGCCATGAGGCGAGGTGGAGTGGCAGCGAGACAAGGGCCTTGAGGGCTGCGTCCTCAGAGCCGGCCTGGGAGGCTGTGGCTGGAGAAAGGGCTGCTGGCGGGCGGGGCAGGCGAGGGCAGGTGCCGCTGGCAGCACTGTGGGCCCTGCCACGCATCCGAGACCTGCAGGGGCCTCTGCCTTCAGAGCTGGGGCTTTAGAGCAGAAACCCGCGGGCTGGGTGTTCTGGGCTCGCTCTTCTCCTGCCCTGGGCAGCCCAGGGTGTCACGTGAGTTGCTGTCCCATGGGAAGGGTGTCTGCGCCCTGGGGCTCTGAACTCGGGGCTCCCTCCTCTCCGTGGCAGCCACCGTGGAGCGGGAGATGGAGCTGCGGCACAAGAGCGAGATGCTGCGGGTGGAGGCCGAGGCGCGTGCCCGGGCCAAGGCCGAGCGCGAGAACGCGGACATCATCCGGGAGCAGATCCGCCTGCAGGCTGCTGAGCGCCGCCAGACCGTCCTGGAGTCTATCAGGTGGGGGCTCGAGGATGGGGCGGCCTCTCTCCAGGCGCCTGCATGGGCCCAGTCCCTCCTGGTCACGTCAGTGCTTCTCCTGCAGGACGGCTGGCACCCTGTTTGGAGAAGGATTCCATGCCTTTGTGACAGACTGGGACAAAGTGACAGCCACTGTAAGTCCTGCTGCTCCCATGGGGTCGGTGGGGGCCTCTGCCAGGCTTGTGCCTGTCCCAAGAGGTGGTGGCTGCCGGTCCTCCCACTGCTCCCACCTGCGCTGGGTGTGACGGAGTCTCTGGGTTTGGGTGCTTGGGACAGTTTCGAGTTGACGCTGGTCGTGTCTGGGGGAGGGCCTTGTGGGGAGGGGGCACCGGAGGGGCTTCTCCATCACCTTCGGGAGGTGTGGCTGGAAACCTGCCGGGCAGTCTCAGCGGTGGGTCCCGCCTGAGACATGAGGGGCCAGCAGCCGTGCTGGGGATCCCCCTTCAAACGGGCAGCTTCCGGCCAAGTGCCCAGTGACCGAGCTCCCACCTGGTGCCGGCTTGTCCTCCAGCCGCCCGCCGGGGCTCCCGTGGGCTGCAAGCTCCACGGTCCCGCTGGGACACGTCCTTGGCAGCATTCCGAGAAACAGTTCAGGGGGGTCTCTTTGGGGTCTTGCCTTCTGCTGTGGTGGGGAGTCGAGGCTGCTGGGGTGGGACCGGAGACTCCCCCGGGTGACCGCTGCCGGCACTTGGCACAGGGTGGATGCGGTGGCGAGGGCTGGGTGTCAACCACAGGGCGGCACTGGTGCGCTGGGCGTCACTCGCCTCCTCTCGGGCCTGATGCAGGTGGCGGGGCTGACGCTGCTGGCTCTCGGGGTCTACTCCGCCAAGAACGCGACCTTGGTGGCTGGGCGGTACATCGAGGCCCGGCTGGGGAAGCCCTCCCTGGTGAGGGAGACCTCGAGGATATCGGTGCTGGAGGCGCTGCGGCACCCCCTGCAGGTAACGGGAGGCTGGCCGCGGGGGCCGGTGCGGGCCGCTCCTGGTGTGACAGCAGACACCCCGTGTCCTCCTTCGCTGCTTTGCCCAGACACTGCCCTTTTGTCCTGCACTGTGGGTCTGCCGTGACTCTCCCCTCCTTGGTGCTTTACCCGGGCTCTGTCGGATCCTGTGCTGGGGGACCCTCGTCCCAGGCACAGTGCCACCTCTGGGTCTGTGACGGGACTGTCCCCCAGCTCAACTCCAGGGTGTTTGCAAGCTGCTGGGCCCCTGGGGCCCTTCTCCTGTCGGGAGGCTGCTGGGAGTCGGCGGCCCTGCCCAGGGAGGCAGGTGTGCTGCCCAGCGTGGGCCCTGAGGGCCGTCTTCTCCCACGGGCTGCCGTCCCTGCACCGACCGAGGTGCGGTGGTCAGGGAAGAAAGAGGCCAGTGGCGGATCTTGGTGCAGCCACCCGAGGCTCTGGTCTTGTGGGTCCCTGACTGTGGGCCCTGGGGTGCACTTCTGTTCCCGTGTGGTAGGCTGGCTGCCCGTCACTGGTGGCCAGATGGTGGGCTGTGCCGACGACCCGATGACCCCGACCGTGTGTCCTCCACAGGTCAGCAGGCGGCTCCTCAGTAAACCCCAGGATGCCCTGGAGGGAGTGGTCCTCAGTGTAAGTGGTGCCGCCCTGCTGGCCCGGCAGAGGCGGGGGTTGAGGGGTGGGGGTGCCGCCCTTGCGCTGGCCCAGGTGCTCAGGAGGGACAGGCTCGGCAGCGGAGCGTCCCCCGATCTCAGCGCCCCGTCCCCTGGTAGCCCAGCCTGGAGGCGCGGGTGCGGGACATCGCCATCGCAACGAGGAACACCCGGAGGAACCGCAGCCTGTACAGGAACGTGCTGATGTACGGGCCCCCCGGGACCGGCAAGACGCTGTTCGCCAAGGTGAGAGGTGGCCTGTCCCCGGGGGCCCTTCAGTCCTCTGGGTGCCTGTGCACTGGGGCGGGCCGAGGGGAGGAAAAGACCCTGCTCGCCTGCCTGTCCCCGGCCCGGTTCCCCCGCCTGTTCCCCTGCCCCATCCTCCCTGCCGCCCCACAATCCACCCGGCTCCCCGCCCCTGCCTGCTCTCCAGAAACTCGCGCTGCACTCAGGCATGGACTACGCCATCATGACAGGCGGGGACGTGGCCCCCATGGGGCGGGACGGTGTGACTGCCATGCACAAGGTCTTCGACTGGGCCAGCACCAGCCGGCGAGGGTGAGTGGGCCCCTCCTGTCCCCGCTGCGGCGTGCACTGCCGTGCCCCGGTCCTGGTGGCCACTGGGTTGTTGCTGCTGGGAAGGGTTGTTGACTCTCCCAACAACCAGTCCTGGCGTCCCCGTGGCCCTGCAGTGCCCGGCGGGGTGGGGAGTTCGCTTCAGTGCCATTTCCGGGGGCAGCTCACTCAGGGCCCAGTCAGGGTCCTGTGTGTCCCAGTCGCTTTCTCGTCTTTGGCACATGGCACGACGCCTTGTCCCAGGTTGAGGGCTGGGGCTCCAAAGAGCTGAGGGCGGCCTGTGGTTGGGGACACAGCCTCTGACTGTTCCGAAGGGGCAGCGCTTGTGCCAAAGCCCTCCCACGGCTCACGCAGCCCCGCCCCTTCACAGCCTCCTCCTCTTTGTGGATGAAGCGGACGCCTTCCTCCGGAAGCGAGCAACGGTGAGTGGGGAGCCCCGTCTGGGGGTGGGGGTGGGCTCACCCGGGGCCCAGCTGCGTCTGCGTCTGCGTCTGCGTCTGCGCTCCCAAGCAGGGTCCCGGCCGAGGCCTGCGCCTCAGTGGCACTTCCTTTCTGAGCTTGGTTTGCAAACAGAGGTTGTATCGCTGGCATTTTTCAGAAGCTTCCTGAAGTCGAGTGTCAGTCTTCAGGGTTGGACCCGAGGTGCCCTCATGCTCCTGGGGGTGCACATGCTGCCTTTCCGGGGGGCCGCTCGCAGCACTTTGCCGCTCGGGTGGCCGGCTCGCACCTCACACCAGAATTTGTCTCTGCAGGAGAGGGTCAGTGAGGACCTCAGGGCCACCCTGAATGCCTTCCTACACCGGACCGGCCAGCACAGCAGCAAGTGAGGGCCACGCGCCGGCCCCGGGCCCCGTGCGCAGCACTCCCCGCGTCAGCCCCTTCGGGCCTCCCGCAGGGGGACGGAGGCACCGCCTCTGTTGTCGCTGCTCCTGCCGGGCAGGGCCAGGAGGCACCTGCACTGCCTCGGTGGCATCTGGGTTTAGGACATCTCCGGCCCCATTGTTTGTGCAGTGTGCCCAGGCTTGCCCGAGAAGGCTTACCGGGGGTCTCAGGCAGAGCTGGGGGGCAAGGTCAATGTCCCTGGCACCTCTGGCCACACCCCCAGAGATGGGCTTTCAAGGCTGTGGCCCCATAGCTGGGTGCCCTGGGGCCCAGATGCCCTGAGAGTGGGCTGGCCCCTTCTCCATCCCCTAGTCATGCTCCTCTGCACTGGCGAGGCCCCTTTGGGCCCCCCCCCCCACTGGCCAGCAAGGGGGTGTCCAGTCCTGTTGGGGACAATGTTCTGTCTGAGAACCTGGGGAGGAGGATCTGCTCCTGCCCAGTCGCAGGTGGCGCGGCCCTTCTGCTTGGATGACCCCCGGGATCTGAAACCCAGCTTTCTGGTTGAGGGGGAGTGGTCTGGCTCAGCCCTGGGGTCCCTGTCCCTGCTGTGCATGCCAGGCTTGTCCAGCCGCCCCGCTGGGCAGGGCCGTCAGCCAGAGAAGCCTGAGATCCAGGCAGGGGCAGGACTGTTGGGGGTGGGGCGGCACACGGTGATGCGCAGTCTCGCAAGGCTGCTCGGTGGGACCTGTGAGAAAGCCGCCCTGCGTGGGGCTGAGGCCCGCGCCCTGGGGAGCCAGCACCTGGCGCCAGACCCCTCAGCTCCTCTGTCTGCTGGCGCAGGTTCATGCTGGTGCTGGCCAGCAACCAGCCCGAGCAGTTCGACTGGGCCGTCAACGACCGCATCGACGAGATCGTCGGCTTCGAGCTGCCGCAGCTGGAGGAGCGGGAGCGCCTGGTGAGAATGTATTTTGACAAGTATGTTCTTAAACCAGCCACAGAAGGAAAGCAGTAAGTGTCCGGGCCGCCTGCTGTCGCTTCCCGCCCCGTCTCCCCGGGCCCGCCAGCTCCAGGGCCCCACCCTGTGCTTCAGTCCCCCTGTGACCTCACCAGGGCCTCCAGGGTCACGGGACGTTTCATTGCTGGAGGTCCTCTCACTCCCTGCCCACCTGCTCGGCCCCTGAACTCCTGTCCAGCTCATCACGTCTGGCCGTTGGCAGTCCCTGACCCTGTGCGACCAGTCTCCCCATCCTTTCCTGGTGCACAAGGGGTGTCAGAAAACAGGTCCCGGGTGGCGGCCGGGCCTGCGTCGTCAGGGCCCACGGTGTCCAGTTGCACCCACAGAGTGTCGCTCTGAGACCACCATCCACTGCCCACCATGACTCCCAGGGGCCAGGGGCCAGCACACGGCAAGGCCCCCTGGGTGGTGGCGCCCTCGTCCCGCACTTTGTCGGCAGTGCCCCAGATACGACACCGAGGCTGGGCCGTTTTCACCGTCTCTGGGGGCAGCTGTCGGCAGCGCTGACCTGAATCCCTGCTGCCCCTGGCAGTAGCAGTCATCTTCTGCTCCAGATGGCCTTGCCCTCTGCTGCCCCGCAACCACCGCTCCCTCTGGGCTGCCTCCTCGCTGTGCCCACCGGCCACCTTAGCCCGATGGCAGCCCAGACACAGCGGGGTGCGTCTGGTGCTGTTTCTCTCCGACCATCTGCTCGATGCCCCTGTGGGAGGCTCTGTGGCCCCTGGGGCTCCAGTGTGGGCCTTGCTCCCACTCAGAGCGCTGGGCGCCCCCCTGTGGTCTCCCGTCCGCCTGCGTGTCCCTGGCCCCACCTCCCGGTGCCTTCGTAGCTGCTGTGGAGTTGGGGTGCGGGGCGGGGCCTAGCGTGAGGTGGAGGTGGACCTGCCCCGTGGTGCAGGGGCCCCTCGTTCTCCCAGGCCCCGCCCTGCAGTGTGTCCCCCCAGCACCGCCATCGTCCAGCCCCAGCGGCCCCCCCCCCCAGGGCTCCCAGAGGAAAACAAGTGCCCACGAGGGCAGGAATGGCGGGTGCGTGGCCCCTGGGGGTTTCCCACGCAGGCTACCGCCCTCCCTCCAGGTGGGAGTCACGGGGCCTCGTGGGCCTCTGGACTTGCCTGGGTCCTGGCGTCCCGGCGTCACCTGGGAACTCCTGCTCACCAGGCGCCTGAGGCTGGCCCAGTTCGACTACGGGAGCAAGTGCTCGGAGATTGCGCGGCTGACCGCAGGCATGTCGGGCCGGGAGATCTCCCAGCTTGCCGTGGCGTGGCAGGTGAGCTGGGGGCACAGGCCCTGAGGGGGACGGACGTGGAGACCCCCGAGTCCCGGGAGGGCACTGCTGCCTCGCTGCCCCTGGGGTGCTCCTGTGGAAGGGCTTCCAGCCCAGACGAGACCCCCACCCGAGTCCTCATGGCAGCTGGGGGCGGGGGGCAGGGCCCTCATTTGGTCACCCAGATCAGGGTGCTCCCTGAAGTCAGATGGGGCCCCTGTGCAAACGAGCCTTGTGCTTGTGGTCTTTGAGGTCCCCGGGGCTCAGGGTCTCTACGGTGACTGGACTGTCCCACCCGGGGTCCTGGGTGAGGACACTGGAAGGGGCTCTTGCCTGATACCATGTTGGGTGGTATCGACACCTGGCATTCAGGGTCCCCTGCTCCTGCTGGAGCTCTCCAGGGTCTGGTGGTGAGGACGGGTTCGCTGTGACCTCAGGGGCAGCCTGGCCCTGGACCGGGCTGGATGGCCTCACCCGCGTGCTGTGGCTCGGGCACACAGGCCGGGGGCTCCGGTGACTCCCCAAGCCCGTCTGCCTCGGGCTGCGGGGTTGGTCCCGCTCACCCGCCCACCCTCCGGGCTGGAGGCCCCGGGCAGTGCTGCCTGGTCTCCGAGGACCCTCCTTGTGGCCCGGCCTGGGTCCCACCCCGTGGTCTTGTCAGCGAGGCTGGTGCCTCTTAGCACCCGAAGCCACTTGTTGGGGGGTGCGGGGCGCATGGCTCTGTGGGTCTGGCGCGGCGCCCCATCCCCTGTAGGTGCCGTCGCTCCCTTACCTTCTCTGTCTGGCGAGTGTCACTCAGCGTGACGCCCTCTGGGTCTGTCCACGTTGTGCGTGCCACAGTGTCCTTCCTCCGAGTGATGTTCCCATGTGAGTGTGAGAAAGACTGTGTATTCCTCATCCGTGGATAGACGTGGGTGGTGGTCACCTTTTGGCGGTTGTGAGCAGTGCGGCTGTGCACATGGGGGTGACAGCGTCTCTCCGAGCGCCGGCTCTGCGTGCCTTCGGGGACGCGCCCGGCAGTGGGATTGTGGGGTCCCGTGGTCGCTCTGTGCAGCACCTCCCGCCCCACCAGCGGGCACAGGGGCCCGGACACCGGTCCCTGCCCGTCTGTTCGTTCTAAAGGGTGGGATGCGGGACCTCCTTGTGGTCTGAGCAGCGGTCCCAGCCCTTCGCCCTTTCTGCACGGGGTTTGGCTCTTGGTTGTCGCGTGAGGAGCCCCTTACACACTCTGGGTGGAACCCTTACCGGCTGCGTGGCGCACAAGCGCTCCCTCCTGTCCCGTGGGTGCCTCTCCCGACCCTGCGGGCAGTGTCCTACGGCCCACAGACCCTCAGTTCCTTTGAAGGCCGGTTCACTCCAGGCTGCTTCTGTCACCTGTGCTTTCGCTGTCCCAGCCCGGAAGCCACCGCACAGCCCAGCTCTAGTGTCCGGAGGGTCTGGTCTTCTCCTGTGTTTTCTTGTGGGATTCGCTGTGCGATGTTAGACACTAAGGTGTTCGACCCATTTTGAGTTCATTCTGTATGTGGTGTGGGGTAGGGGTCGGACTCGAGTCTCCTGGGTGCGGACATCTGGTTCTCCCGGCCCTTTCTGTCCTGGCGCCCTTGCTGGAAACCATCTGAGCGCGGGTACGAGGGTCCGCGCTGGGCTTCTGCTCTGCCACAGAGTGGGCTCTGTCCCGCCAGGCCCCGTGTCTGTCCGTCCACCAGCCGGCCGGGACCACACCAGTGTGAGTGCTGTTGCTGGTGAGTGGGTTCCCATCAGGGAGTGCGGGGCTTCCGCTTCCTGGTTCCCCTCAGGGTTGCGTGGCGGACGTTCAGGGTCTCGTGAGATTCCACGTGAAGTCTAGGATGGGCCTTTTAAATTCTACAGGTTGTTTTTATAGTACTGACATTGTGACAATATTAAGTTTCCCGATGCATAGTCACAGATATTTTTCTGCATTTTGGTGTCTTATTTCCTTTGGTGTCTTAAGCAACATTTTGTAGTTTTCCATGTACAAGTCTTTTCACCTCTGTAGCTAGTTTCCAGGTATTTTATTCTTTTTGATACTATTGTAAATGGATTTTTCTTTTATTTTCAAAGAGTGTATTTATCATTTTTAGAGGGGGGAAAGGGGAGGAAGAGGAGAGAAACGTCAGTGTATGGTTGCCTCTCGTGCAACCCCTACTGGGACCTTCCGAAACCAAGGCCTGTGCCCCGACTGGGAATCGAACCTGCAACCCTGTGGTGCACAGGCAGGCACTCGATCCACTGAGCTACAGCAGCCAGGGCTGGAATTATGTTAACTTTCCAGATTGATCGTTGGTGCTGTGTAGAAACACAAATGGTTTTGTGCGTTAATGTTGTATCCTGCACATCTGCTGAATTGTTTTAAGTTTTTTGGGGGGATCTTCAGGATTTGCTCCATAAAAGATCGTGTCACCTGTACGACAGGTACCTTTGTTCTTCCTTTCCAGTCCGGGTCCTTTCATGTCTTCGTTTCCTCCCCGGCTGCTCTGGCCAGAATCCCCGCGCTGTGCTGGACAGAGGAGGAGGGTGGGCTCCCCGGTCTCACTGCTCCTCAGCCTTGCACCACCGCGGACACTGCTTCAGGTCCCCAGCCGCGACCCCCGAGGAAGCCCCTTTCTAGGTCTAGTTGGCCGAGCATCTCCATCAGGCGAGGGGGCTGGGTTCTGCCACGTGCTCTCCCGCACCCGCTGTGCGTCTCTGCCCGTGACCATGCCCACGGTGTGCGGACTTTCTGCCCCTCACACCCCGAGACCGGTCGCATCGGGGGCGGTGCCCCCCCAGGCTCCTCTGGGGACAGCTGTCAGGGGCTCCTTGTTTCCATGGCGTCGAGGGTGCGGGCCAGGTGTCCTCTACAAGCCTCCCGCGGGGTTTGTTGTTTTTCTCATGATTAGGCCGAGATGGAGGGGCTCTGGGAGGAGACCGGAGAGGTGAGGTGAGGTGCCCTCTGGTCACTTCATTTCTGGGACCTGCGGTCCACACAGCATCACAGGCTGTCGTCCTGGACCGCCTGGTTAGGGTGGTGGCTGCGGTGTGTCTCTGTGGCCGTCACTTTTGACCCCCTTTCCTCGTTTGTTTGGGAGCACAGCATCAAGTCCCGCCTGCCCTCTTCCCGGGGCCCTGGCTGCCCGGATGCTCGGGTTCTGGAAGGAGCAGCTGCACTCTCCCCGCTGCTTCCTGCCAGGGACCCACGAGCCCACGACCCCACAACCCGGGGCACCCCTCGGGGTCAGCCTTTCTCAGCAGCTCTTTGGGGTTGGCGCTCCTCCAGGGGCCGTGGGGCAGCCCCTCTTCACGGCCCAGGCTGGGCACTGAGCTCGGCGAACAGAACGACTGCTCCCCAGACAGTGGGGCCTGTTCACCGTGCCCCACGAGAGCTCCTGCCCACGTGGGTCAGTGCTGCCCTCACAGCAGGCTCGTCAGAGTTCGGGGTGTGGCAGAAGTCGGCCGGTCTAGGGCCTGGGGAGGGGACGCTGGGACCACACCTGGGCCCAGTTAGCACAGGTGCCCCCACCAGGTGCTCCTTGGACACAGCGCGGGGAGTGGTGGGCTTTTGGGGAGTTCCAGGCGCCTGGTGGTGGCGGGCTCTCGGTACCTGTGGCTCTAGAAGGGCTGGGCAGATGGAGGTGGACCGCAGCTGCCCAGTGTACGGGGGCAGTCGGCCCGGTGGGGCCACTCCTGGGACGCACTGTGCCTGGGGACCCTAACCCTCCCATCCATGTCAGGGTGGACCTGTGCCCGAGTGGCCTGTGGTGGTTCTGTCCCCTGCCCTGGCGCTGGGGACAGCTCTGTGTCTGAGACACAGGGCCCCCCAGGTCTGCAGCAGGGGTGGGGCTGCTTCCAGAGCCCAGGCCTGGGCTTCCTCGTGTTAGATGGTCACTGAGAAACTCAGTGGGGTGAGACAGGGGCTGGTGGGTGGCGCAGGCGTGGCGCAGGCTGCGGATTGCCCGTGAGCAGGCATGTGTGAGCACACTCGTGTGCACTGGAGGCCAGGAACGTGCTGTCAGCAGGCAGGAGTGTGTGTGCAGCCTGGGGGGGGGCGCTGGCCAGCGGTCCCCTGGTGGACTCGGCATCCCCGGCTTTGCTCTCACCTGCCCCCACCCCGAAGGAGGCGCCTCCAGGAAAAGGGCTCGTGGATGGGGGAGCAGTGTGGAGAGGGAGGCCAGCCCGCTGTCGTCCCTGGGTCTGGCCCTGATCTCCAGGCAGGCGGCCTCCGAAAGCCTGAGGCCGAGACTCCTTCCCTGCAGCTGCCCCTCTGGGCGCCCTGCCTCAGCTCTCTCTCTCCCTGCTAGGCCATGGCGTATGCCTCAGAGGACGGGGTCCTCACCGAGGCCATGATGGATGCCCGGGTCCGAGACGCCATCCAGCAGCACCAGCAGAAGATGCAGTGGCTGAAAGCGGAGGGATCTGGGCCTGAGGGCAGCCAGCCCCTGCTCCCAAGTGCTCAGACTGCCTGAGCAGGGCCGGGACGCCGGGCCCTGGGGCACACTGGCCAGGGAACCTTGTGCCTATGTCTCCTGGAGGTCAGTGGGGGTGCCGCACAGCCACCCACCCCCCCTGGCATTTTTTTAATGTTCCTCCGGTTGGGGCCCCGGCAGCGTGGAAGGCCCCTGCTGAGGACTGGCCATGGCTGCGCTGTCCGTGGTGGAATCGGCTGGGGAGGGCTGGGCTGGGGCCATGTTCAGGACACTCCTGGGAGACATGTTTCCAAAGCAGGCCCAGGGCGGCAGAAGCATAGTCCCCACGCCCACTCCAGGGGCAGTGGCCACACTGACCCCGCCCTGCTGCCCGGTCATGACCAGCAGGCCGGGAGCCTGATGAGGCCCCATCCCACCTGGAACCAGAGCCCAGTGAGGGCGGAGCAGAGGTGCCTGGGGTGGGGCACGTCCTCGACCCGTACCTGTCTCAGTGCCCTTGGGTGCCTGGTGGGGGCTGCTGCTAAGATTGGAGGCCCCACCCTGCTGGCTAAGGTCACCGGTGCTGGGGACCTGCCCTGGCCCAGATGACCTGTAGCCCACTGTTGGAGCTGGGGTCTATGTCCAGAATCTAATAAAAACGTTGACACCATTCCTCAGTGTCTGTCTCTTGGCTGAAAGGAAGGTCAGGGCTTGAAGGGGTCACAGGGTCACAGGTGAAAAAAGAGGCGGAAGCTGGAGCTTTCTGGAGAATTTACTGACCAGCAGGGTTGGGGGTCACAGTGAGGCGCTCACCCGGATGCCCTGGGCAGGGTGGCCGCACTTGCCACAGTGGGGCCCAGAGGCCTTATTGCTGCTGGGCCGGGGCCTTCCCCAGACCCCCGCCCCCCACCCCCCATTGTGGCCCGCGGACGCACACGCCCCATGCACATGCTCCCGTGTGCAGACGTCGGTGCGGCCGAGGTCCGGCCCCCTTCCCTGCGTAGACCATCTCCCGGCCTCCCCTCCATCAGAACGGGGAAGGACACGGGCCCACAGGAAACAGCCGGTTTTAAGTAACAGACGTGGTCCCAGGCCAGGCGCAGGCTGGGCTGCAGGACGTGGTAGGGCCCGCGCCACGCCAAATCCCTGCACCCTGCCCAGCCCTGGAGACCGGGGTCCTGCCCCCAGACCGGCCCCACCCCGACCCCTTTATAAAAAAAAGAGGAGACAGCACCTTCCGCTGGACACGCCCGGCGGCCCGGGCGCCCTGGCCCAGGTGGCCATCCAGTCCCGTGTACGTGGGCGCGGTGGCCAGCGGCCCCGAGAGTCCTGCGCGCGGCTCAAAGGTGCCGCGGGCTCGGGTGGCCGTTGTGGTAGAGTTTCTGCTTCACGTGCACCATATTCCCGGCCGCCTCCTCGAAGGGCCTGTGCGGCCGCCGGCCAAACTCCCGCAAGTTGCACAGCTTGGGCAGCCAGGTCCACGAGCCATCTGCGGGGGGCGTGGCCAGGGGCAACGGTCAGGCGGGGCGGGGCCGACGTGCTGGGTGTGGTCGTGCGGGCCGACGCGAGAGGAAGTGTCTCGGGGGCGTGGCTTTTGTGTGAAGCGTCTGCACCCAGGCAGGGTCTGGGTGGGGCTTGGCCCAGGCGGAGACCTGGCCTGGGGCAGGCGTTCAGGGGCGTGGTCGGGCTGCCAGAGTGGGTTCAGGGACCCTTGGGACACGGTGTGCAAGACCAGCGGGCCTGGCGCGAAGGGGCGTGGCCTTGGCGTGGAGGTGTGGCCCTGGACGTGGCGCGGTAGGGTGGGGCTTCGCGGGGCGGGGCAGGGCATGATGGGGGGCGGGCCCGCGTGTCTTGGCCGAGCTCACCGTAGCGCCGACCAGCCCTCCAGGCGCGCACGGCGCAGTGCAGGACGCCGTCCATCCACACCAGGAACCAGCTGATGCAGAAACCGAGCAGCAGCCCCAGCATGAGGTCGATCTCCTGCTTGGTGACGTTGTCTGTCACGAAGTAGTTTTCGGAGGCGTCCACCACTGACTGGTCCCCGTCGTACGGGATCACGTAGTGGATGTGGTGCCTGGGGGCGGCAGGGCGGGCTGGCACCTCTCCCGCAGGGCGCACGGGATACCTGCGAGGGTCTCTGAAGCAGCCCCTGTGGGATCTGAGGTCTCGAGGGGCCTGCGACTCACCCAGACCCCCGTCCCCAGGCGGAAGCTGCCAGAGGGTGGGAGTGTGTGACTTCAGTGGTCAGAGTGAAGTCCTGGCGCTGGCCAGGGGTGCGTCTGCTCTGCCTCCTCTGCTGTCTGGGGCTTGTCACTGACCCTGATGGGGTCACAGAAACAGTGCAGGTGGACCAGTCCGGGTGAGAGCCCAGGGCAGGGTGTCCCTGTCTGGTGACAAGAGTCACACAGCCCACCTGCTGGACACGGGGCTGACGCAGCTCCTCTGAGACCACCCCTCTGGCCTCTCCCTCTAGCCTGACACTACCCATACGTGGCAAACACAAGGGCCTCGGGCCAGATCCGGCCCTCCACCTTGTTTCCACCCGGGGCAGCGCCGAGCTCCTTGCCCCTAGTTGAGGAGCAGTTACATTTATACAGTCCTAACATTACATTCAGCCCTTTGAAGGCACCTGCGAGGCTGACGGGGCCCTGGTGACAGAGTTGGACACCCCTGCACTAGCCCTTTCCTCAAAGCCGAGTGCCCTCAGCTGGCCTGGGCCTCTGGCTTGCCTTCTGCTCCTCCGTCCCCGATTCTTTGATTCTCTGCCCAGCGCCCCATCCTTTTCATCCTCTCTCCTGGGGGTGCCTCCAGCCTAATCCCTTCATGGATCTGCATGTCCTCCAGCTGCTCCCGGTGGACAGTGAGATGACAACGTCTCTGTGCTCCAGGATTCCCGGGACCACGGCCCCTTCCCTGCCCACCAAGGCCTGGGCCCTGCGCCTCAGCCTCCCCTCCCTTCACTGGCCAGACTCAGGCTGCTGAGCCCCCACTTGGCTCTGAGGCCCACATTAAACCCTCCCCACAAGACCCCCTCAAGCCTCAAACCTGCCCGGATACCCTCCTCCTCCAGGAGACCCCCCAGACCCCATGATCCCAGGTGGCCACACTCAGGACAACAGACTCTGGGTTTATCTGTTCCTCACCCTCCCCACCATCGAGAGAGCCTGTGAGCCAAGACACAGGGGGCCCATGCACCCTTAGCCCCCAGCCACCCCTGCCAGCTAGGACAGCTCCTCCTCTCCCCCAGCAGTGCAGGGGCCGACCTGGGGCCCTGCCCGGGAGGCCACCACTCTCGGTTCTCCTCCTCCCCAAGCTCCTGTGCTGGCTTCTCCAATGCTCCATCCCCACCCTCCTAAAGTCCCTGCAGCCCGCCCCACACCCCACATGTCTGCTCTGAGCTCCAGCTGCCTGCCTGGCGTCTCCACGTGGGATCTAGAGACACCTCAAACTCTCACCTAAAAATAGGTCCTCCCTCCCGGAACCTGCTGCTCCCGTCTCCCTTTCAGTTAGATGCCGACACCTCCGCCTGGTCTTTAGTGGCCCTTACTTCCCGCCCCCCCAGCCTCGCTCCACTCCCCCCAAAAGAAACCTTCTCCCAAGGAAGAACAGGTGGGTGTTCTCCCCAACCTCAGGCCCCTGCTGTGCCCATACTGGCCACATGCTGACTTCTCCAGGGAGTCAGGGGAGCCCTGGAGCCCCAAGCTCAGCTCAGGGAAGCGGCAGCAGGCAGCCTCTTGTAGGGTCAGTCAGCAAGGACTACCCGACACCGCTTTTCTGATCAGTTTGTCACTAGCCATTGGGAGTCATCAGTAAGTGATGGAAAGCGATTGATCACCACCTGGAATGTGTATCAGGTGGCCACCAGGCTCCCAGGAGAAGACGCCCTCCTTGAGCCATCGGCAGTCCCTGTCACCCGGAGCGCCCCAGGCCTCACGGGGGCTGACGACACTTAGCATCACCCCCTCTCTGGCTCCTCCAGCCTTCGGGGCCCCGGACCTCGGATGGGGCCCCCTCAGCAGCTGCTCCCCACCCCTGGGCACACAGCTGGTCAGGGCAGGACTCTGCAAAGGCCGGGTCACTGACAGGACTTGCAAGGCCCCTGGTGCTCTGCAGGACGGATGAGGCCAGGCCCAACCACCCCGAGTGGCTCGGGACCCCCAAGGGCTGGAGAGCGCAGCCCGCGCTCTGTCGCTGGCCTGGCCCCTGCGGCTCCTCCCCTGCCCCTTCCTTGCCCCTCTTCCTCCAGCGCAGGTCCCTGGAGGTGGGGTCTCAGGTCTCCCACGGGCACACGTATTTCCATGATGTGTACATGCATGTGTCCTGCCTGGATCAAGCATGCTGCATGTGTTTACCTGAGGTCCAATGCATGTCATGTATACATGCCATCCACATGCACAGGACAGGACATGTATACCATGGACTCGGCCCATGAGCTCCACATGTGTGCATGTGCATGCTTGCCCGTCATGACTGTGGTGCACACCCCACAGGGGTGCACATGCACGTGGCTTTGCACACCCTCTCTGGGGGCACCGTGGCACGTGCATGGGTGCGTGGGCACAGATGCCACCTGCCAGCACATGCCCTTTGGAGCCTCGCTTTACATACATGTCTTCTGCACAAACTTTCCCATACAGGCATGTAGAAGGCACACATTCTGTGTGCATGGTTACTCGGTACACCGCGTGTACACACATGGGTAGAGTCCATTGTGGCATGTACATGGTTCATACACAGATACCGGGTGTGCAAAACTGCTCTGCGGGTGGCTGGATGCACACGGAGCACACTGGTCACTGCATATTGTATTATGTACATGTACTGGGCACACACATGTTTGCTGTCAACAAACAAGACTATTTTGTACACTGAATTTACATACCCTGTATGTAGTGAAGTGTACAAAGCACACACATGTGGACACGTACAGCCAGAAACACTCTATGTCTATCATAGGTGTGGCTTCCCATGTTCTGTGTCCAAGGACACACTAACCCATGCACGCTGGTCCAGCTTAGCACACACCGTCCCCATGTTTGCATGAGTCCACATGTACTTTGGACACTGCATATGCCGCACACACACCTGTGCAAACACACTCTGAAAACACCCTGCCTGCCCTCAGTACGAAGTCACAGGCACACAGACGCCAGTCACAACACGACAGCCCACACATGTGAAATGTGTGTCACCAATGCGTCCAGAGCTCGGAGTCGGGGCCCAGCACTGCGCCACCCCAGTCCTGGGAGGGCCGCCAGGCACCTGAGCCTACACCCGCCCCGTTGTCGGGGCCGCCCCGGGGGGCAGTGAGCCGACCCAGGCCTCTCCTTAGCGTGGTCTCTGGGCCAGCGTGGCCACCCAGGACGCACTCGGTGGTGCTTGGCCAGCACAGGTGAGGGCTGTTTGCGCTGCCGTCTCTACCTGCCCCGCTGCCTGGCTCTGCTCCGGCAGGCCGGTCAGCACCCACGGGCACGGAGCGTGCTGGGTCAGGAGAGAGCCCGTTGACTCCCCGCACGCGTGGCACGTGTGGCACGTGTGGAGCAGGTTGTGGGTGGAGAGCACGGGCTCCAGGACCCGTACCCCGCCCCTTCCTAGCTGTGTGACTTTGGGCAAAGCTCTGTCCGCTCAAGCCTCTGTGCACTTTCTCGCGGTTCCAGCGCGAGGGTGTCCTGCGGGGTGAGGGTGTGCATGCGGACATGAGCGTGTGCTGCGTACCCACACGTATACGCACAGACGGCACACACACTCGCGTGTCATGAGATGTTTATTTCGTACACGGACGTACAAACATGCATGGCCCGGAGGACGCTGCCATTACATGTGCACAGGATGGGGCCACGGTGGGCGGAGGGGCCTGGGTGACCTTGAGCAAACTCCACCCCCTTGCCTCAGTTCCTCCTCTACCACGGCGGGTGCGGGGCCCTGCCCGCCTTGACCAGCTGCACTTCCCTGTACCTGGCCCCCAGGAAAGTCCATGGCACCATGTGGGGTCCCGGGCGGAGGCTGCTGTGCGCTGTGGGCACAGCCCTGTGCAGGGTCCCTCCCGGACGCCAGGCCGGGCTGCTGCCTTTCTGGCCTCCAGGCTCTGGACCAGGAGACCTGGGCCTGTTCTGACCACCACCCACTCTCTGAAGACGCTTCTGGAGGGGGTCCTGGCTGACTCAGGCACGCTCCCCCTTCCTGAGCCCGCTGGGCCAACTCCCAGGTGCCTGCAGGAGGCTGGAGAGTCCTTCCCCCACCCGGGCCTGGTGCAGAATTCGGCAGCCCCTCCGGCCTAGTGCGGCCCTACACAGGCCTTCCCCAGGCTCCCCGCACCCTAGTGGGCCCTGTGCCCCAACCATGTGTGATCACGCGTGTGCCCCGCCAGGCACAGACTCACCGGCCACAGTTGCAGTGGCAGACGCGATCCTCGCCCCGTAGGTGCGGGAGGATGTAGTTGTGGAATCGGTCCAGCAGCGCGTTCATGTCCATCAAGCACGCGATGGCCTGGAAGAGCCCATGACCGGTCAGAGCGCAGGAGCCGCGGGCTGGGGTGTCTAGGTGGGGGCGGGGGCGCTCAAGACGGGTGAGAGAAGCGGAGGGGTGGGGGGCCCAGGCCCGGGGAGAAGGGTGCTCAGGGCAGCCCAGAACTGGGAGCGCAGGCAGGGCACGGGGAGCGCAGGCCGCGCGGGCCGGTAAACAAGGCGCGGGAGGGGGAGGCGGCGGGCGGTGCGCGGGCGCGGGAGGCGGGAGCGGGTGGGGGCGCGGGCGCGCGGGAAGCCCCTCCGCTCACCATCACGATCGACGCCCCCAGAATCATGAAGATCATGGTGTTCGCGCTCATGGACATCGGGCGGGGCCGGGCCGGGCCTGAGCGCCGCCCCCCGGCCCCGGCGCCCCCCCGGCCCCGGCCCGATGCTGAGCCCCCGGCCCCTCCGCAAAGGTCAGCGCGCCGCGCACCCACCGCCGCGGGCCGGGTAAGAGGCACGAGCTGGGGGCGCGGGGCGCTGGACCAGGCTGCTCCGGGGTCGTTCGGCCGCCCGGCCACCGACCGCACTTGCCTCTCTCCGCTCCGCCCTCGGCCCTGCCTCCCTCCCTTCCTCCCCGCGCGCGCTCCGGCCCCCTCTCCCTGCGCGCCCGCCTCCGGGAGGGACCACACAGCCGCCCCGCCCCCGGGCGCCCGCCCGACCCCCTCCCCGGGGCACCTGGTCAGTGTGGGCCCCGGTGCCCTGCCCAAGTCCCCGCCGGAATGGCACCCTGGAGAGAGCCGGGATTCCCTCTCCCTCCACTTCCCCCAACTCATCAGCCGAGGTTCCTCCTCCTGGGTCCCTGGGGTCGCGGTGTGGGACTCTGGGCCCACGGACAGCAGTGGGCCCATGCAAGCAACTGCCTTTCCGGGGGAGGCCTGCCTGGGCACAGGGAACAGCCAGGGTGTCACTACAAAGCCAGGGACATGCGACCTGAGGACAGCCAAGCAAAAGCCAAAGAACAGCCCCCAGAGGGAGCAGGACCAGCTTCAGTCTGGTCTCCCTCAGGGGTCAGCCCCAGGCCCCTGGGCTGGGCAGCCTAGAAGCCTGGAGGCCAGTGTTGGGATCTATCTGCACTCTGGTGGCCCCCCGACACCGGGGCCCCGGGGAGGCATCCCCGAGTCAGCCCCTGCAGGCACAGACCTGCCCCCTCCCCAGAGGTGACCAGAGATGTTCCACAGCCACGTACATCCGGAGGGGTCCCTGGGAAAGGGTGCTTGGGGCACAAGCGGATGACAGAGGGGACTAGGAGCCACAGGGAACAGGGCCTCATTCTGCCAGCAGCCCCGGTGGGGGTTGCTGGGAAGGAGGCTGGGCCCAGAGGCTGGACCACGGCCGGGAGCCCTTCCTGAAGGACGTCGGGGGCACCGAGCCCCCTGCCTCCTGGGACCAGCGTGGGGCCGAGTGCAGAGCCCAGGACGCTCACCGAGGAGCAGCAGCACCTGTTCATTGGACAAGTGCAGGTGCGCCCCAGCTGGGGACGGGGGAGGGGTGGGGCGCACAGTGAAGGAAGGAGACGTGGTGGAAGAAATGTGCTGAGAACTGTGTTGTTTTGCTTAAAGAAACTTTAATGTCACACCCAGAACGTGGAGGGGTAGCGCGGCCCTCGGGCCGGGGCCTGCCCTCGCAGCAGGGCGCACAGTGCGGGCGGTGGCAGCCCTTGGCGAGAAGGCAGGGTGGGGAGGAGGTGGGCTGCCGCTGGCCGCGGGCTCAGTAGAAGCAGACGGTGTGCAGGAAGGCCCGGCCGCTCTTCTCCTCGAACTCCTGCAGCAGCTCGTCGATCTCGTTCTCCATGTCCTCCGTGTGCTGGATCTGCGCACAGAGCGGCCTCCTGAGCGGGCACCAAGGCCCGACCCCCCGATACTGGTGCGGCCCCGGCCCTCCCCTGGGGGGACTGGAACGAGGGTGGGCTCTCAGATGTCACGTGGACTCCAAATGTGGGCCCACTGCCGCAGGGGAGCTCGGGCACAGAAGGCATGGTCCCCACCCAGGGCGGAAGCCCAGCCCGTGCTCTGGGGGCGGAGGGCCCGTTCTGTGGGGCTAGGCAGCACCTGCAGCCTCTGCCCCACTGGCTGCCACTAACGGCCCCCCAGGTGTCAGACCCATGAGTGTGCACACACACCCAGGCACCCCTGGTGGACAAGCACTGCCCTGAAGGAGCAGGTGCTGCCAGGGTACAGCCCTGCAGTGGCCCAAGCCAGACGACAGCAGAGGCTGCTTGCTGCCCCAGGCATGGCCTCTGAAGAGTGGCACCTCCCAAACTCAGCTCTCGCCGGTGTGACCCAAGTCACACGGGCAACTTCTGGGATGTGTCTTCCCCGCTGCAGCCCTTTCTCTTGCATTATGGCAGGATAATGCTCACACCTGCTGGAGCTCCAGCAGCCACGATGCACCACGAGGTGCACCACGATCAGAGGCTGTGCTAGGCTCCCTCTGGAAGTCCTGGTTAAGCCACTGTTTGTCACTCACAGCCAGCTGGCCTAGCGCAGGCAGGAAACAAGGCGTGTGGGCTCCTCCTTGCTAGGGGCTCTTGTCACACAGAAGAAAGAGGTTCTGCTCTGAGAACAGCTGCACAGTGGCTACAAAAGCCTTGTGGTTTTCCGCACAAAGCGGGGGGACCACCAGGTGAGTGGAGTGAGGAGTGACACAGAAGTCCCTCCGAGCCCTCCGACAGGACACATGGCAACTTCATGGAAGCAAGACACCTGCAGTCACTGCCTTCTAGAGTCAGCCCAAAAGCCCAAAGTGGATTCACCAGAGGCAGCTACTCAATTCTCAATCTGTGGGCACCTTTGCATGATCTGGGTTTTAACACTGGGAAGTGACTGGAACGTGAACCAAACTGTGTGACAGTCACTTCCACCGTGAACACTCCCGTGCAGGGGGATCTGGGCCCCGCCCCCAAGCAGGGAGCGCTGGGGCGTGGATACTCACGCACTGGCAGAGCTCGCAGATGAGGAAGGCCCCCAGGGTGGCCTCCTCGTGGTTGTCCTGGATGTCCACATTGATCACGTGCACTGGCTGGCAGGTCTCCTGCTCTCTGGAGTTCAAGTCTGACCGAGACAGAGTGGTGTGGACCTCAGGGGCTCCGCAAGACCTGCCCTGGCTGAGCATCAAAGCACCTCCTGCCCGAAATGCAACACCACACCCCACCTCCCTGGGGACAAGCAACTGTCCTGTGGCCCAGCATTCAGCAGGCCCCCTCGGAGAACCAGGTCCCCACTCCAGGCCCTCCAACCCTCTTACCAGGCTGCTGGCAGCACCAGCAGCTTTGCCCAGGAAAACACAATAGGCCGAAGCCCCAGGCTAGGCACCCCCCTGGCTGCTGCCTGGCCCACTGAGGCTGGGGGAGGACGGGTGTGAGAGGAACACATGGGACCCAGGACACCGCTGGGCCCAGGCACAGGTGGGGGCGCTGGGTCTTTGGGCTCACCTTCCACCACCTGGTCATACACTCTCTCCTCGCAGGTGAGGATCAGATCGAACAGGTCTTTGCAGTTCTGGAACCTTTCTGGCCTCGGCTTGATCCGTTTATTTCTGTCCAGCATGTGCAGAATGCCGTTCTGTGTGTAGCTGCACGCCAAGGTTAAGGAACTCCAGAGAAGGCGTGCCCTGAGCTTGCCGTGGCGCCGCCCACCTCACCCAGGCTGCAGGGGACAAGGCGGTGGGCAGACTGCCCGTGGAGCGGGCGTCTGGACCTGCCAACCTCAGCTGGCCAGGTCACAGCTTTCAGGCCAAGGTGGCCCAGAAGGCGGAGACTTGTGCCTGTCTACAGCCTCCTCTCGTCTGTCTGTCCAGCCCACCTGCCACCCCTGTGGCTGGGTCTGCAGCATCTCAGCCACACTGGCCCCAACCCACACAGCAACACTCACCTGCAAGCCCACCCCAGCCAGGCTCGGCCACAGCAAAGGAACCCGAAACCTTGTGGCAACAAGGGGGTCCCGGAGGAAGAAGCTGGACCACTAAAGATGAGAGCAACGGGGCCCCACGGGCGTGGCAGCGAGGTCTGTGCCAAGCAGGTGACCCCGGAGCTGGATGTCCTGCCCCCAGGGACCTCCAGACAGGGCCGCACACCCGCCCAACACAGTGGCTGTCCTTGGGGCCCCAGGGAAATGGTTCACTTCCTCAACAGAGACGGAGCCCCGACTCTAGGAGGCGGCCTCCCGGGGTCTCTCTGGACAGCAGGGGAGGAGCGACTCGCCGATTCCACCTTAGGCAGACAGGCAGGCTGACCTGGGCGTGCCGGGGGATGCATTTAATGTGGCCCAAACCTCAAAGTTGGGACGACTTATTTGAAGAAGCTCGTGTTAGCACACATTTCTCCCTTTCCTGGACACTGAGGACACCGGTTATAATACATTTAAATGGTTTACCTTTTAATGTATTAAAAGGTAAGAGACATAACTTTGGTAACAAAGATGCTGGATTGTTAGCTGTAATGTTTAATTCTTGACACTTTCTGACCAAGTTCACAAAGCCACTGCACTGCCCAGGCACAACCGCGTCCTAAATGGGGCCTCCCTTCAGCCCCACGAGTGGGCGCCGTGCTCTCCCTGCCCCCACACCCACGGCCCTGGAGGGACAACCACCAGGTGCTCAGCCAGGGCGGCTGCGCTCCTGTGAGCTCCATCCTCCTTCACACACCCCCGCACCCCTCCCTCCCCCCACGAGGCTGATGGCACAGGTGAGGGTCATGGAATGGAGTAGAAGGCCCATTTGGGGGATCAGACCCCACCAATCATCCCCCGGTACGGAAGGAGAAAGAGGCCTTTCCGGACTGTTTTTGCTTTGTTCCTGGCAAACCCCAGGGGTGCAGGTCCTAGGGGAGCCAAGCAGGACCAGGGACGGCTGTGCAGCGCGCTGCTGAAGACACCGCGACCCTCGCTGTTCCAACCCCCAGGGACCCAGAGCCACCTGAACCCCCACTCAGACCACGGGGGACGGGCGGGGGTGGGGTGAGCAGGGCAGCGAGGCCAGCAGGAGTCGTCGGCCACAGGACGGAACCCGTCAGAGGGAGGCTGGGAGGCAACGGCCTCCAGACACACTTTGTGGAGAGAGTGAAGTGTCTCGTGAAGACGGCCTCCAAGTGCAGCGCTGGACCCTCGTCCCTGAGCCTGAGGACACTTCCTGGGAGACCAGCAGGCATGGGAGCCGGGCAAGGGCAGGGCTGACCGCCCCGGGCCTGGCAGCAGGTGGGGACTTGAGTTTTTAGAACCCCCCCCCCCCCACAACACACAGGTGCTCCTGGGCTGACGGTGGCCAGGGGCCAGGCCGGGTCTCTCATGCTGATGACCCGGCTTGGAGATGCAAGCTGCTGGTTCCGGGGCCCCACTCGGGGGCATCGGCGCTGCCCACCCATGCCTGGCCCACCTTCCAATCCCCAAGTTCCCTACTGAGCAGCCAGTGCCCAAAGGAGCCCCCACGACAAGGAAGGCTCCTAACGTGCTTCTGCCTCCCAGGAACCCGGGACGCTTCCCAAGGTCAGTCAACAGGATGAAACCACAGCGAGGCCACTAGCTCTAGGGCACTTCGCCTGCTCCTCCTGGACACCTGTGGAGGGCACCCGGGGAGTGGGGCCTAGGGCATGGGGCCATTCCGCCTGGAGAAGCACGTTGGGGACAGCCACGCAGGGACTCAGCCTGGCTCCCACGGGGCAGCAGCGAGGCCCAGGTAGACACCCCACGAGCACTCAGTTTGAAAGGGGGTCCCACGAAGAAGGGGGAGGGTGAGTGTTTTCAGAGACAGGGAGTGGTGCCGGCAGGACTCGGAAAAGGGACCGGTCCCTCCCGGTGAGGCTTCGGCCCAGCGGCAGGGCCCCGCACCCCAGGGCGTCGCCCGGCCACCACGAGGACCCTGGCTAGTGGCCCTCCACACCCAGCCCAGCCCCTGGTGGATGGAGTGGGAAGCACAGCTCCAGCTTCACTGCCCTTGTCATCCACAGAATGGGAGTGAGGACAGGAAAACTCACACTCAGAACATTCGGGACGGCAGCGGGGGGCCCCCAGTGGAAACGGAAGCCCGAGGGGCGGGGCAGGGGGCCCCTGACCACAAAGGCCTTCAGAGCCAACACCCCGGCAGCACCCTGCACAGGGCAGGAGGGCAGCCCCGAAGGAGGGCACTGTGTGTCCTCCACCAGCATCAAGTTACGGCCGGGGACTGTGCTCTGGCCTCACTGGGCCACTAGGAGGGCCCGGGACACCCCAGTTGCTGCCAACACCACCTCAGTCCCCAGATGCCACCACACCTAATTCTTGTGTCCTCGCTGTGCGCCTCAGCCTCGGAAGTGACCCCGATCCTCTGTTGTGGATGCTCCCTGAGGGTGGGCCACACCCGGAAGCCAGCTCAGCATGGGGACCCTGTCACCTGGTTTTACTTCCAGTGTTAAACTTGACCAGACGACGTCAGATACGAGGCAGGGAGTCTCAAGTGGAGCCCGAGTCCGTTCTGGAAGATCCCCACGGCTCTGGGGCTCCCAAAGGCCTGAGTGAGCGCCCTCCTGCAGTTCAGCCAGGGCGCTGGGCCACTGCAGGCAGTCACAGGTGTCCACACGTGCTGGGCTGGAGGACACTGAGAACTCAGGCACCCCCGAGATAGCCCAGAGCCCCTCCTCCCTGGCTGTGGTCTCCAGGCTGGCTATGCCACGTGACCAGGGAAGCCCAGGGCGATGCCCCCACCCCACAGTCACCAGGAGGTGGTGGGCACCATGGGAGGAGGGCAGCGCGCCCTGGGGCCGGCCGCCGAGTTCTCCAGTGCCAGCTACATGCCACAAGCCAGCTCAGGGTACAGATTCAGAGGAGCAGGCTGATGGGGGTGTCCCCTGGCCCCATCGTGTAAAGAGGCGGCCAGCCCCAGACTCTCTGGTGGCCGAGCAGGAAGCCACCCGGGGCACCGTAGCAAGGACAGCTTTCGAGCCAGCACTTCATGTTAAGAAACAAATTTGAATTAACTTTGGTAATCAGAGCAGTTTCTGCAAAGCATGCAGGCTGCTCAAAGACGACCGTGGGAAGCCCCGGGCACCACCCTGATTCCAGGCTTGGTGGCTGGCTCCGGCTGTAGCAGCCTCACGCCATGGTGTTTTCAGGCAGAGACCATGACTCAGGTGGGGGACCAGTGGGTCCCCTAGGCCTCAACGAATGTGCAAAGCAGTGGGCAGGGCTGGGGCACCTCCACTGGTGCAGACCTGATGAGCAGGCGACCAGCTCAGACAGGATAGGGACTGGTCTGCATCACCTAAGACATCTTAAGGCTGCAATTCGTTTTAAGCACGAGAGCTTTTCTAAAACCTGAGGGCCTACCAGCTGCATCCGATCACCTGCTCTCTGGGAATACATCCACTTGTTAAAGAGACAGGCAATGCTTTTCAAAAACTACTTAAGACACAGCTGCCAGCCAGGGTGAGAGGAGACAAGGTCAAACACAGCAGAAGCAAGCGAGAGCCCGAGGCCTCCGGCGCCAGGCGGGCAGCCAGGGGCCGGTGACTCTTTCCCACTCCCCTCGCTGCACGAGAAGTGTTCCCGCCTGAAACAAGTCTCCGGAGACCCAGAGAGGACAGCCCCCTCCCGAGCTGCTGTGTCTGCTAACCTCACACCCAAGACGGAGGTCAGGAGGCTGCGGGGATTTACAGTGTGAGAAACCATCTTTATTTTTACCTTTTGCCCCGAGGCAAGAAGAGAGTGCACAGTGAAGAAGGGCGTACACACATCAGTTAAGCTGAGGTCTGAAAGAATGAAACAGGCAGACGAGAACGTGCAGCTTAAGTAAAAACCACGCCTCCCAGGCTGACTGGTCAGGGAAGGTGCACAGGAGCAGACGTGTGGACACAGGCTGCTGCGCCCGGTCTCCACCCGGCGAACACAGTCAGGGTCCAGGAAGAGTCTCGTCTGCCCTCCGAGCCCGCGCTGGGGGGTGACTGGTGACACGCGCTGAAAGCACACTAACTGCATTCAGTGGCAGGCTCTCACCTGCTTCAAGGCAGGTGGTTCTGTCGTCACAAAGCAATCGAGAGCTGAAAGGCCTGGCCCCGGGTCTCCTGCCGACAGGCCAGCCCTCCTTCCTCGCCCACCGCCTCCGCACTGCAGGCTGGTCGTTGCCACGTTAGAAGGACATAACCTGATCTTTCCACCAAAGGTTCTCCATGTGAACACAGGGTCCAGCCCCAGACCCCTCACTGGAAGCTGGAAGACCCCGGGGGAGGGAGCTCAAGGGCAGGAAAGGAAAAGCCCCAGAAGCCTCGGCTCCGGAGCCACACTGACGCCTGCAGGGAGCAAGCAAAGTGTAAGCTGCGCTGCGTTCAGGAGGACTTCACGGCAAAGGGAAGAGAAAAGATATGGCGGAGGGAAATGTGCACTTAAAATGGGCACTTTGAAGCCAAGAATGTCATCGAGGAATACTTGAAATACAAGAACTGGAACACATAAAGTTGGCTTTTGTTTAAAATCAACGCAGCCTGACACCCCCTAAACGCGGTCAGATCTGGAAAACGCTCCCAGCAGTGCAGCTGCCACGGGTCCCAGGCCATATGCCTGCCAGGAGGCCGCCCGGGAGAGGGTCCGGACCGAACTGGCGTGGGCTGGGAGAGCTGGGGACTAAAAGGAGTGGTGTCTCGAGGTCTGAGGGGAGAGGAAAATGTTCGGACATTTGCAGGGACAGCTGTGCAGCCCCACGCTTGGAGGCACCGAAACCACGACACTGCGCAGCGTCGGATGCTTCTTCCCAAGTCCCCCTCCTCGCCACAGAAGGAAGAAGCCACTTCTCGTCTGTGGAGGGTCCGGTGGACCCTGAGTGCACAGATAACCCCACAAGGGAACCGGTAACTGACAGCTCCCACCCCAGTGGAACCTCACTGGGCCTGGGGGACCTGCCCCCACTGCTCTCGTGCACCCCCGAGGGAGGAGCCACCGGGTCTCTGGCCCTGAGCCTGCAGATCCCACCGCCCCATCCAAGCTGTGTGACGTGACGACCCTGTGTGCCCTACATGTCCTTGACCCTGTCCGAGCAGCACCAGAAATGGACTTAATTCTGAGAGGAGAGGCGTGTGTTTGCTCCGCACGTGCCCGACTCAGCACGGCACGCAGCGGCGGCCACCATCTACCTGCCTCCCGGACACCCCGACGTGAGGGCCGCGTGACACCTGCGCCTGAGGGCCCACCTGCCGCAGACCACCACGCTGGGGTCTCCCGAGGGTGACCGGCTGGGATACAGTTCTTTGTCTTTCCTAAGGAGGTCGTTGTACATCTGGTCGTACGTGGTTTTGAAGTCATACACGTTGGGCTTGTCGGGCGCCGGCCCTGGTAGCTTCACGTGAGTCCCTGTTCCAAACGACCGGACGCTGAACCCCCGTTTGCTGAAAGACACAGGGAGACAAAGGTCACGGCTGGGCTGCATAAGACATAAAGTCCTGCAAATACACGGCACGAGATTAGAAATGGACACAACGAGTACCTCTCTTGATATTCCAAAACACGTTTTTAAATCCCTCACTTTAAATACTTCATTCAAATTTTTAAGATTTCATTTTGATTTATCAGTAAAGAGTGGGAAAGGGAGAAGAAGGAGAGTGGGAGAGAAACATCAGTGTGCGGTTGCCTCTCACGTGCCCCCTACTGGGAACCTGGCCCGAATCCAACCCAGGCATGTGCCCTGACTGGGGATCGAACCTGCAACCCTTTGGTGCACAGGCCAGCACTCAATCCACTGAGTCACACCAGCCGGAGCACTTTATTCAAAGGTTACAAGCCCTGCAGCACACTACGCAGAAGCTACACAGAACCAAAGACGACAGACGAAGGGCCCTCCGCGTGGGGTCCCTAGCGGCGCCGCAGCACCCAGCACGCGGTGGGCACGGGCTCGATCGCTGCTGAGCGGTGAGCAGGCAGGTTTCACTGTGAGGGAGACTGAGTTGTCGGGGTGACAGGAGGCTTCTGGGCGAGGCTCCTCCACCCACCCTTCCTGCCGGAACCCACGCCACGCAACTGCCGCGGAGAAAGGGCTCGGGTCCGCGCACACGCAGACACCCAGCATCCAACAGGGATGTTGCAAAGCAGGGGATAAATGAGCAACAGACCCGGCCAGGGCCCTCAACTGCGACATTCCCTGTCTCGTCCCCACTCAGGGCCTGACGGGGAGGGCGCCAGGCAGGGAAAGCGCCTGCACACATGTGCTGTGACAGGAAGGTGACGGCCAGGTTTTGTGGATGCACCAGCAAGCCTGGACAAGGCCACAGCGACCACGGCAGTGGGAGTGGTGGTCACCAAGGCAGCAACAGGCACCCACTGCCCGCCTGGGTCCACAAGGTGGTGGTGGTCACACAATGTCACGTGGCAGCTGCTTCTGTGGAGGTCACGCTCCCCCATGACAGTGACGCACGAACACAGTGGGGTCATGCTGGCCTCAGGACTGACTGCTGTCCCCCAACAGGCCAACAAGGACGTGCCCCGAAGGTGCCAGCCACGCCCCCAGGAGTCCAATGGCTGTTCCAGGTGAAAAACCTACATGGTCGAGCGAGAGTGAATTAGTCCTCAGACCAACCTGTATGTGCAGGGGATGAGAGAACCTGTCAATCCGCAGGTCTCCTCTGAGTTTACTTCGTGTCAAAGGACTGGGACCAGGCTTCACACCAGAGGGCAAGAGGGACCCAGAAGTGCCCCGACTCCACCAACCACATCCCCTGTGTGTGTGGGTGACCCCACGGACACTGGGGCGGGGCCAACAAGATCAGGAGCTGCTTCTATCACCCAGGGGAAGGGACATATGTTCTGAGATGGACCACAGCCCCAGGGGGACAGGGTGTGGTGCAGGGTGAGGTCTGTGCCCAGGAGAAGAGGGCATCCCCGCAGAGGGCGCGGCCAGGTCCGGGGAGCACACGGGCCGAAGGCGTAAACTAACCAGGAGGTAACACCCGGGGCCAGGAGTGATGTAAAGTGTGAGAGCCACGGCTCAGCGCCTGGCAGTCAGCCTGGGCTGCTCAGAGCCTGCAGGTCTTGCCTGGCTCTCAGGGGACAGTCCTGTCTCCTGGCAGTAGCCCTGACCCTCTCGGACAGGCCACGAGACCCACAGACAGGAGCAGCCCCTCCATGGTGCTTTGCAGACACCATAAACCAGGGAAACGTGGCAAGCCCGCACTGACCAAGTCTACGGGTGCCATTTCCGACCAGCTAAGAGAGAATGGCCTGCATTTTGTAGTACTAAGTTATGTTTAAAGACTTTATTTATTCATTTTTAGAATTTACTTGTTTATTTTTAGAGAGGGGAATGGAGGGAGAGAGATATCAGTGTGCAGTTGCCTCTTGCAACCGCAAACCAGGCAGGGGCCCTGACTGGGAATCGAACCAGCAACTTTTTGGTTCACAGGCTGGCACTCAACCCACTGCGCCACACCAGCCAGGGTGCAATCAAGTGTCTTTAACGTGTACACTGTTGTTCCACACGGTGCTACTGCACACTGTAACACGTTGCCGTGCAGTGTACACGCGACTTACATGCAGCCCCTGTGCAGGTCTGGAAGGCAGCCCGTCCTGTCTCAGGTGTGCCCGCAGTGTGTGAGGTGGGCACTGGAGAGAGAACCTTTGCGGGGTCGAAGTGAGAAACACAGTCCAGACCCCTCTTCTGTGATGCATCAGCCACCCCAGAAGCGCCTTCCAAAAGGACTCCCCAGATCGCTCTGGGCAACACCAAGGAAAGCAGCGAGCTCCAGCGGAGACGTGTGCGAGCGCGCTCCTCACTCCGCGGGCGTCCTCTCGGGGCCAGGCATCGCCACTCTCAGCATCGGTAACGCGTGCCCTGTGAGCGCGCCTGTACCTGGCCAGCCCACCGCAGTCAGGCCACGGGGCCCCTGTGTGCCCGGGGTGGCAGGTGTGCCTCCCCCTTCTGATGATGCACCAAAACTTCCTGCAGCTTACGACGTGCTAGGGCACAGTGATGGTCACTACAGGCCAAAGCTCTCTCCTCGGACCCTTGGTGGAAGCTGGGAGCCAGAAAGTAAACCCAATACCTGCCACCCAGGAGAGTGAGCAGCACGGCAGGGAGAAAGCCAAGGGATGGGCGTGGAGGTGACAGGCGCGACACATTGCCTGTCACTGGGGGACGGCAGGCATGCCACCTAGAAGCCGCCACAGGGTTCCCAGGAGGAGACCCTGTGCAGGCCTCCCTTCTACCTGCCACCTGCCGCAGATACCCAAGTCTGACCGGCCTGGGGGGCACCACCACAGGGCCCCTCTGCTGCCCCACTGGGTCTGGGTGCGCTGGTGTCCAGGCAGAACCCCCTCCATCCCTGTCTGCCCACACTCCCACAGTGAATCGCCCCCGCGGCCACCCAACCCTACCAAGGCTCCCCACCACCGGGGTTTCTGTGTGGAGGGAACTGCCGGGTGCTGTCCCCCACCCTCTGGACTCCAAAACCATCACCAAGTGCATTTAAGCGCCACAGGACGTGCAGTTCGCTCACAAGTGGCCAAAAAGCTGATCAGCGACACAAGTGCCATTTCCTCTGAACTGGTGCGGTGACACGTTCAGTCTCTCACGGGAAAACGCCAAGGGCTGGCACACACTCCCGACGCCCTTGCCGCCTGGTCTCCAGGGCCTGCTCTCTTCACACCGAACGGGCCTCCAGACACCTGTTTTCCCAGTGCTCTCACGAGCACCAGTGTCTGTCCAAAGAGCCTGTCACAGCAAGTGTGAACCGTGGGGGGCTGCCACCTGATGGCTGGAGGTGCCACACGGATGTGGGAGGAATGCCGGAGAGGCTCAGTAAAAACGGGGCTTCCCTCTCTCCCAGACTGTGGCTGCCTCACTGGAAGCAGGGCTCTGGTGGGGTTGCTGCCCTGGACCCGTCACGGCCCCTCCGCCAGGCAGGCAGACCTCTGCCGCGCGACCTTGTGCTCAGGGGACACTCAGACAGTTCCCCAGCCATCACGCCCGAATGCCTGCCTGGGAAGACACGCTGCTGAAACGTCAGTGTTCCAGTAACACGCACGTTCTCACAAGCAAATTGTGGGGCCTACACACACTTCAATAAACATCTTCTAGGATGTACCGTCACCCTCCAACACAAGGTCAAGAATGAAGCGGAGCGGCTTGAGCTCGTGACACAAACACCACGAAGGCCGCCCCGCCGGTGCCTTGCTTAGGTGTCTCCCGACCAGGCCCTGAGCCCCGACCCGGCTCTGCTGGCCACTGTGGCCCCTCCTTCCAGCACCAGGCAGTCAGTCCCAGGCAAGGACAAGTCACTGAGCACGGGCCCCACCTGCTCTTGTGTGCACCAGGTGGCTGGACAAGACCCTGCTGCAGGGACCAGTGCCCCTGCTGCTGGAGCGGTTCCCATACTTGGCCTGGCCGGTTCCCTCCCCACGTTCACCTTCACATGAAACTCGGCCCCCTTGGCCCTGTCCCTGAGGACAGAAACCGCGCAGTCTCTCAGAGCCCAGGAAAGCGAACGCGGTACCAGGCAGGCACCCCTTTGTGTCCGCTGCCATTCTCGGGACTCGGTTTCAGACCTTGTGACCTTCCAGACGACTTTCTTCAAGTGTTCCCAGAACTGAAGTCTCAAAGGTGCGGCCTCAAGGCCCAGCTGATGCTCCGGTAAGGGGTTTCTGGAAGTGTCAGACCAGAGGTGGCTGGAAGCATCCTGTGTCTGGGACCTGCCGGCGTCGCCCACACAAGCTCAGGCAGCCGAGACGTCTCGTTCGGGAAGAAGCGCAGGCACCTCTCTTCCAGTGGGGCCCATGCTCTGTAGCCACGATGTTAGGATTTGAGACCTCCCCCTCCCCCCGCCAAATCAGAGAACCACAGGATCTCAACCGACCGTGGCAGTCCCCACACCCTGGGCTCCTCCTTCAGTCCGTTTCTCCCACCGAGTCTCGATTCTTTCACTCATTTACCATGGCCACAGCCCCTTGGGTCCAACACCTTGATGTCACTCGGAAGCTGGGGCTTCTGGCTCCAGGTGGTGTCTCCTCCCCCACGTGCAGCCTCTGCGCACCTTCCCAAAGCCATCCTGCCAGGACTCTGCAGATGAGGACACAGAAACTCCATCTGGCAAGTTACGGGAGTCTGTCTTTAAAACTTGTTTCAAACTGCTGCAACGAAAACTGCAGCTTAGGAAAACAACAGGCCTCCTAACAAAAAAGTGAGTAAGCTGGCTCTAAAGGGAGTGGGATTTGAAACCATTTAGTCTCAAAAGACCAAAAAAGATCACCCCAAGGAACATCCTGACTAGCTCTTGAAAGTGCCAAGATCATTATCACTTGTAAACAACTCATCAGAAAATACAGTCCAAGGTAGTTTTCAACAAGGCAAAAATAAAATCAAGTGGGGTTTCATAAGTAAACCACCCACTGTGCGTGCCCAGTTAACGGCACTCCTTCCCCGTCTCCCTTCGGAAGCTTCCCCACGTGCGCTGTGTGTCTGTGACCAGACTGTGCGTCATCTTCCCGCTTCAAAGTTTCTGCAGTAGTTCTATGCTTTCCACAAAATCACCTTCGAGGCTGAAGGTTCTTCAAGTTGTAACAGAAAACCTTCACATAAATTTCTTCAAGATGCTTTTAAAAGACCCAACTACATAAATCTGTAAGTTTTTTCAAAAGTGGAAATGACACGAGATGTTGTTTAATCTCTACAGCAATTTAAAAACTAAAGGCAGGTGAGAACCATTTCTTGCCCAGGTAGCATGAGAAGACTGTGAGGAAATGAGGATTTTATAAACAGGCATTTTCTGGAATGCGGTCCGGGAAGACATGTGAAAGTGTGAAGTACGCCTATCTCTGACTCGGCAATTCCATCTCTGAAAGTTCATGGCAAGGAATCCACCAGAGGAGCGTGGAGATGTTTACGTGGCACAAGGCTGTCGACGCTGTGAGACCGGAGAACAGGAAGCCCAGGCATCTCTTCACGGGGCCAGGTGACTCCTCCGCCCCAGGCTGCCATCCAGTCACCTGCTGCCACAGGAGCAGACGTGTTCAAACTCAGTCCATCCGACCAGAGCGGAAAGGAGCTGCAGTGGGACACTCACAGCACGACATGGGGCGAGGCCACGGCGCTCCGGTGTGATCTCCCGCACTCGGGCGGGGGAAAGGCCCCCGGAGCCCCCTCAGCTTTGCCATCTTCTGCACACTGCCGCTCTAACAGAAGATGGGGCCCCAAACCAGCACTTTACAGAGTCACGATTCATGCCTAAAACGACGACACTCACATCAATAATGTGTTGCCCTGAACTTTCCTCTTTTGTCTCTGTTCTGAGCCTGCGCTCTTCATGGGTAAATGTGGAAGACAGCAATCTGGGCGAAAGCCCCCCACAATCTCTGCCCTGGGCTCTCCATACCTGGGGGTGGCCCATCGGCTGAGCTGGAAAGGACCTGTCTTCCTGCAGTGACTGTCTCAGGGAAGCAGAGGCTTTGGACCTGACTTCACTAACGCTGCTACAGTGACTTTATAAAAGTCTCCCTTTCCAGCTCTTGCTGGTGTGTGTAGCTCAGTGGACTGAGTGCTGGGCTGTGAGGCCCAGGGCCAAAGGTTCGATTCCCAGTCAGGGCACACGCCTGGGTTGTGGGTCAGGTCCCCAGTAGGGGTACATGAGGAACAACCACACCTTGATGTTTTTTCCCCTTCCCTTCCCCTCTCTCTAAAGATAAATAAACCTTGAAAAAAAAAGTTGTTTTCCTTTCCAAACATTTCAGCCCAACTTTGTTAAAAGAAATGTCATCCAGAACCATGTCAACTGTGCCCCTAATTAAAAATATTAAATCTCATTCTCCCCAAATGATTCCCCAGGAGTGCGAATGTTGTATTTGTTTGCTTAAATTCACGGGATTTTAAAAGACTTAATGCGAAAATGCAGTTTGGGGATGTGGCGTAACGCAGTGCACTTCTAACACATTTCTAGTTTTAAAGTAACTTTCTAGTTTAAAACGACACTAAGCGACCGCTGTAGACAGCGTAGTAGACGTTGGGAAGAATCAAGCTGCTGGGAACAGATGGGGGTAGCCGACTCCTCCGGCCTCAATGAACCACTGGGGCGTGGGGCCGGTCCGCTTCTCTCAAGTTTACTCGGGAGGGTGATCACTGGGCTGACGAGCAATGCAAGCAGCCAAGGAAAAAACTGTATAAAGCAAGAATACACGTGTGCTAAACACGTGCACCACCGGGGTCCCAAAACAGCGGTTCCCACTGAAGAAGAAACTCGACGCTCCAAACCAGGTCCAGAAATCACCGCCTGGAGGCTCCCAAGGGGCCAGTTCCCGTGAGACGTGAGAACGTCGCTAGGAGCAAACACACAACTCGCGAAGTTGACAAAACAGGCCCCTATCCTCTCTCCCGGCCTCCTCCTGTACTGCAGCCGTGTCCAGCACGCTGCTGGCAGTCACGACCCAGGACGACACACCCTGGATGGAGACCGCCGTCTCCCAGACCATCAACAACGTCTGGGATCAACGCCTGGTCAGGGAGCCGTCTCCGTCGGGAACCCCGCTATTAAAGGCCCAGGCGCCCGCACAGAGTGGGCGCGTGCGGCGCCGGACCTTCGGATGCGCCCGGACCTCTAAGGTTCCCGAACCCTGAGAACGCGGGCTCACACCCCGAACTTCCCCCGATGCCACGCATTCGTGGGGGCACGGCGCGGCCAATCCAGCCTCCTCCACTCCCCGCAGCGCTCTGCCCCCGGGGCCGACCGGCGCGGACCCGCGGCGCCTCGGGCTTCGGTCCGGGCCACCGCCGCCAACTCGGGCCAGGGAGTCCCAAGGGCGCGCCTACCTGAGGATGTTGTGGGCCTCCATGCTACGGTTCTGGTTGCTCGAACACACCACCGCCACCCGCAGCGGCGACGACGGCATGGCGGCGGCCGCCCCGTCCGCACTCTCCGGCTCCGGGCTCCCACCCAGTCGCGGCTCTTCCGCACGAGTAAGATGGCGGCCGCGGCTCCCGGAAGTCATGACGCGAAGCGGCGGCGCCGGCGACGTACCGCGTCGGGACGCGCGGCGCGGGCGAACACACGGCGGCCCAGAGGCCTCGCCGCCGTCTCAGAGCCCCAGCGGCGGGCGGAGGAAGGCCCACCCGGCGGGCGTCAGGCTGCCGAGAACGCTTCGGCCCCGGGCGTACGCAGGCGAGGCCCGCAGTCCTCACGGGAACTGCCCGCCGTCCTGCGCCGGCGTCCTGATGTCACAAGGCGGCGCCGCCGTCCCCGGGAGTGACGCGTTAGGCGTCACGAAGGCCGCGCCGTCGTCGCTGGGAGTGACGCCACTCACGCTCAAATAGGCGTGGCCATCAGCTGAAGGTAATCCGGCGATTCTCTGCGCGGAACTCAGGGGGTGCGGGGTTCTTGGTCCTGCCGCCGGAGCCATCGCGCTCGCCGAGACGCGCTCTGTGCGCACCCTCGGCCGGTCCCGGGGCGCCACCATGTCTCCGCTGCCCGCACCTCTCCGGGAGCGACGCCCCTGCCGCCGCCCGCCGGCCGTGCCGCGCTCGCGCAGGCGTCCGCCATCGCCCTCCCGCGGAAACCGTGCAGAACTAGGTGAGTACAGGCGTGCGTGGAGAGAGGGTTAGAGAGGAAGCGTAGATGAAGGACTGTGGCCACGTTTATGACTGAGAGGTTAACCCAGACAGGGCGTGTGGGAGGAGCTCTCACACCCGTGTCACCCGGGAGCCCTGCAGGGTCGGCTCTGGGGTCCCGACCGACCACCTCGGGGACGAATGCCCCCACCCTTAACGTCCTCTTCGCTCTCTCCAGTACTTTCTCCATTTTTCCCCGGCCGGAAACCCGCATGGCTGGCCTTGGCATCACCTTCCGGATCGCGGTCTGCCTTTACCCTAAATGAATGCTTTTTGCTGCGTGGACACTGACTTTTTTACTACGTCCGGCATATTTGCGGCTCATCACAGAGAAGACCCCCAGGGCTCCGGGGCTGGTGAGCAAACAGGTGTGACGCCCACGGAGCTATCCCAGTTTCCTGTTTTTCTCCATGGCTCGGGAGCTAAAGGGTGGTTTTCTCCTGGACCTGATCTTCTGCAGGTTTGTTCTGAGGTTTTTTGGTCTTTATTATGAATCTATTCAGGGTTTTGGGGGGTTTCTTTTCTCTGTTAACAGGTTTTGTTTGGGCTCTTGTTTGACACTTTGGCTTGACCCCCTAGGGGATCAGGGTGTTTCTTGGTGCCAGCCCATTGGTGCCAGCAGTGGCCTTTCAGACTGTTTGGAACCAGAAGTCCCACGGAAGCCATCATTCAGATACCAGGTGGGGAGGAGGGACTCCTCCAAGGTGTGACCTCTGCCTGACCCTGGAGCCGGAGCAGTCCGAAGGGACATTGTTGGCTTTAAACTGCCCCAGAGGGAGTCAGCCAGCACCCCTCCGCTGCCTCGGGCTGCGCTGCTGGTGCAGGACCAGTCCGTCCGGGGGTGTGACCACTCTGTCCTGCCCTACCTAGTCATCCAGCACCTGCGGAGTGGATCCAGTGTCCACTGGCCTTGCTGCCACGCCACCCAGAGGGCCGCCGAGTGTGAGACTTTCCCTTAGTAAGTTTTTCTGGTTCTCGGACACCGTGGCAGCCTCTGTGGGCGTCTCAGCACCTTGGCCTTTCCCTGGTGCTGAGTCCGAGCTCACAGAACCCAGGCTCCCTCCGGAGCTGCCACTCTCCCCAGAACCAGCTGTTCCGCCGACCTTCTGTGACCTGGCTATCCTAAAGCGACAGGTTCCCTGACATGGGCCAGCATGGAGCCTGTTGGGTGCTTGAGCTGTTTTAGATGGTCTGTGCCCTCACTGTGGAGAAAATCTAGAAAATGGGGTCTTGCCCTGGCTGGCGTAGCTCAGTGGATTGAGCGCGGGCCTGCGAACCAGAGTATCGCGGTTCGATTCCCAGTCAGGGCACATGCCTGGGTTGCAGGCCAGTTCCCCACAGAGTATGCATGAGAGGCAACCATACATTGATATTTCTCTCCCATTCTTTCTCCTTCCCTTCCCCTCTCTCGAAAATAAATAAATAAAATAAAATAAAAAGAAAATGGGGTCTCAGTTGTTTGAACATTTTCAGGGCACACCTCCTACGGGGACCCTGGCTGAACGTGTGGTTAAAAACCTCAGTGCCGCTTCCACCGGTGTGGCTCAGTGGGTCGAGTGCCCTCCTGCTTCAACTCCTGGTCAGGGCACATCTCACGCCTGGGTGGTGGGCCAGGTCGCTGGGTGGGTGTGTGCCATAGGCAACCAGCTGATGTTTTTCTCCCTCTTCCTCCCTCCCTTCCCCTCTCTTTAAAAATAAATAAAATCTCAAAACAAACTAAAAAACTATGGTTCCTTTCTGGCCGCTGGCTCAGTTGGTAAGAGCGCCCAGATACACCAAGGTTGCGGGTTTGATCCCCGTTCAGGGCACATATTAGGAGCAACCAATGAATGCAAAAAAAAGGGGGAGGAATGAGAAATTGGTGTTCCCCCCCAACCCTCATTCCTCCCCCTCTCTCTCTAAAATCAATTTAAAATTTTTTCTAAATAAATAAAATGAAAAGCACATTCACTCATGTGCGTTCTTAACTAAATGTGACCAAAAGTAATTTAGGCTGCCAACAGCCGTGTTCCTCGGGGCAGGGCAGGGACCTCAAAAGAGGACGGCTCCCTCGGAGCTGCTGTGTCCCCTGACCTTGCACCCAGGATGGGGGCTGCGGGGATTTACAGTGTGAGAAACCATCTTTATTTTTACCTTTTGCCCCGAGGCAAGAAGAGAGTGCACAGTGAAGAAGGGCGTACACACATCAGTTAAGCTGAGGTCTGAAAGAATGAAACAGGCAGCCGAGAACGTGCAGCTTAAGTAAAAACCCCGCCTCCCAGGCTGACTGGTCAGGGAAGGTGCACAGGAGCAGACGTGTGGACACAGGCTGCTGTGCCCGGTCTCTACCTGGCGAAGAGTCAGGGCCCAGGAAGAGCTGCAGACACGGGTGCCTTCCGAACCCGCACTGGGGGAGGGGTGGCCGCACGTGATGAAGCTGCACTGACCATTTTGCACTCAGAAGCCATCATTGGGAGTTTCGAGAGGCCGCCAGCTGAGCCCCAGCGGGGGCTAGGGTATGGGCTGGCGGCGCGGGCGGCAGACCTGTGAACTAGGTCCTACTGCTTACAGATGAGGAAGCTGAGGCAACGAAAGGCGCTGTGGCCTTCAGTGTTTCCAGTCCCCGCCAGTTATTTCTACTTCTGTCAAAAACAGCTTCATATCTTCAGGTGCCAGTGACACAGGCAAAACCTGCACCACAAACAAGGCATCTGGACCCACCTCCAGGGCACAGGGAAGCCCTGATCCCGGGAGAGCAGCCTGTTAGCCCACACAGTTTGAGGGGGGGGGGGCTGCAGAAGAGTGGAGGCCGCCATCAGAGGGGCACAAGGGGACCGGGAGGCTCCTACAGGAGGTGGGTGTGGAGGGGTCTGGACAAGGTGCCCTTGGTCTTTCAGGTATGCCAGAGGGGCTAGGAAGGGAAGGAGCCTGGGTGTCCCTTGCACCCCTGGAAGAATGATAAGGCCACCTGGGGAGGAAGACTGGGGGGTGACCTGAAAGCAGCAGAACTGCTTGGCCAGCCACCAGGTGCAGGCTGGACTCCAGGCCTCTGAGGAGTCCTGAAACCGCACCTCTGGGGAAGGCTGTGGGTCAGGGCAACGAGCCCCTTCGTCGGCTCACAGGCCAGGTCTCTGGCCCTAGCTGGTATGAGCTGATGCCCAAAACTGGGGCCTGAGATCAGGAGAGTGGGGAGGAGGGCCGGAGAGCAGGTCCCAGAACCATGAGGCCCCAGCTCTGGAACCCAGGAGCCCCCCGCAGCTGGAGGGCGGGCCATGGAGCCTCAGGGGTTTCCTACAGGCCTTCCTGCGCCGCGTGGGAGACGGTGCGGCATCCTGCATAGGTGGGTCAGAGGCTCTCTGCCTTCCGGCTGGGAGTGGAACCCAGCCCACTCATCCCCCGACTGCTGCTCCTGCCCCCTCCACCCAAGGATGAGCCACCCCGGAGCCTGCCCTCCTTTCCTGCTAGTTTTGCTCCTCAGGGTCACGGCAGCACCAGGACCTCAAGGACAGACCAGATGGTGGAGGGCCTATCCGGAGGGTGGGTGGTGAGCTAGTGCATGTCACACAGGAGCCCCAGGGCTACTGGCTGTCCCTGCCCCCACCCCAACTCCAGGAGGGAGCACTGCAGGAGGGAGCAGGGTCAGGAAGGGCCCCTTTCTGGAAACACCTAATTATTGCTGGTCATCACAGTTCAAGCAGGTCACCCTGAGACCCTGCTATTCCCAACTGCAGCAAATGCTGCGCCCACCCCAACACCCTGCCTGCACTGTGGGCCCAGGAGATGATTTCCCAAGTCGGTGGGTGGGCAGGCCCACAGTGGGACAGCCTGCCTAGCCCTCGGCCAAAAGCTGTAAGGTCAGGAGACCTGGGGCTGGCCACACCTGACCAGGTAAAGACCCAGGGCCAGCCACTGGGCTGCCGCTCCTGGAGCTTGAAGGAGCTGGGGAGAAAGGGGCTCAGCTCGCCCCCACCCTGCACCCTTGTCCCACCTCCCAAATAAGCACACAAGGCAGTGGTCTTGGTCTAAGGACAATGGACATTGTAGACACTGGCACCAGGCTCACACGTGAGCGGCGCCACGCCAGGGGTGAGCAGAGCGGAGACGGAGGGAGTGGGCATTGCGAGGGTACCAGCCAGGGCCCAGGGTTGCTGGTGGTAGCTAGGGTGAGGGTGACAGGGTTTAGCCACAGTGACTCCAGAAATGCCAGGTCCAGGGCCGTCACAGTCAGGGGCTGGCTCATGGAGAGTGAGCCCTGGGTGTCGCGGGTGGTCAGTACAGGAAGCAGCCTCAGCCAGGGTGCTCAGGTCCACCTGGAGAGGAGCAGGGCTGGCCTTCTGTCCACAGTGGGTATGTGGGCAGTGGCCTTGCCAGCGGATCCTGGGCTCCCGGTCCCCAGCACAGGGCAGGAAAGGGGGATGTTGTCGGTTGTGCTGTGGATGAAACCTGGGATCTAGACCACGGGGCAAGGCTGCCCTCTGCCACCAGGCTCCCTCTTCCTAGCCACCTGCCCCCACTCATCACAGCACGTCCTCATCAGGGGCAGCACTGCAAAGTGAAAAGGGGGGAGGGCACCCAGCCCTGAACTACCAGCTTCCCCGTGGTCGGAGAGCACTCACCCCCGGAGCAGCTGGGTGCCAGGCCCCGCCTGCTGAACTGCACGTGGAGCCCAGCTCGTCAGTCACCCTGCAGGGACACACTATGGGACGCTGTTTACAGAGGCTCCTGCAAAGCTTGAAGGGGGGTCCCCAGGAGGACTCTAGTCGGGGCAACACACAGCCCGCCAATCTCGGGGACACCAGGGGACAAGATGGCTGGCTTCTGCAGTGGGCCCAAGACACTAAGGCACAAAGCTAACCTAAGCCCACTGGGGTGAGGTGGAAAGACAAGCTCCAAGGGGACCTTGGGCCAGCAAAGCGCACAGTGACCAAGCAATGAGGACAGGTCGGTTCTTCCCACTTGGCACAGATTGCAGCTGCGGGGGACGGGGGATGGGGATTGGGGGGGCGGTGCTAACGGCTCTCACTAGAAGGGGTTCCATGTCCTGAGGGCCCCTGTACAGGCTTCTAGGAAGCAGGAAGAGTCCTGGATGCAGCGGGCACCCCCGCTCAGGCCCAGGGGGCAGTTCCAAACTGGGTTCTGGGAATCAGATGCCAGGCAGGCAAAGTCGTTGGATAACTCCTGGCCCTGGCGAGGGCGGGCCGGTGCCCTCTCCATCTCCAGCAGGCCCTGCGTGTCGATCCCGAGGGAGCAGGAACCAGGCAGCAAGAGTGGGCCTGGGCCTCCCTGGCATTTGTCGGTAGACAGAGCCCCGGCGGGCGGCCACCTTCAGCTTCAGGGCTGCCGGCGCAGGCCCGGGCGCCCGAAGGCGGGGTGCATGAGGTTCTCCGTGATGTAGGCCACGAGCAGGCAGATGACCACGAGCATGACGCAGATGGAGCCGCCCACCGCCGTCATGGCCACAACGATCTCTCGCATGCCGGCCGGCTCCGCAGCAAACTCCACGCATTCGGTGGGCCCGGAGGGCTCCGGGGGGCCGGCGGCGGCGTGCTCGGTGTGCAGAGGCAGCAGCTGCAGGCACAAACGGTAGCGCACGCCGTCGTGCACGTCGGGCAGCAGGTAGTCCCGGCAGGAGGCGCCGAGCAGCACGCGCTCGCACGGGAAGCGAGTGTAGGCACCTCGCCACGAACAGTTGAGCGCGAAGGCGCGCACGCGGAGCGCCTGGGCAGGGGGCAGGCGCCACTGCAGCAGCACGCTGCGGTTGCGCAGGACGCTGGCGCGTAGCAAGTGGCCGGCAGAAGCGTGCACTGCGCAGCCGGGCGCCTGGCAGCTGAAGCCGCGCGCGGGGCTGCGGAAGCACAGGCGCCCGCCGCCCGCCTCCGGGCCCTCAGACAGCACCTTGTAGGGGCACCAAGGCGCGTCAGCCCCCGGCTCCCAGCCTGGCGGCGTCGGGGCGCCCGCGGCGCAGGGGGGCGGCGCGCAGGCGGCCAGCAGCAGAAGCAGTAAGAGCAGCAGCGGCGACGGCGGCGGCAGAATGCGCATCCTGCAGCTGGGCCGGGCGCGGACTCACGAGCGCACGGGCGAGGGCGGAGGGTCACGCGGACCACGCCGCCGCCGCCACCACCGCCGCTCCCCGTGCTCGCCCGGCGCACCGCGCCCTCTGCTGCCGCCCGCTCCGACCCGCCCCCGCGCTCGGTGCGCGCTCGGACCCAGCGTGGCGGCGGAGGCGGGGCCGCCCCACGCTCCGCCCCCCTTAACCCTTGCTGGGCCGCGGCTTGTGGACCCCGGGAGGGTGGATCTCAGGCGAGAAGAGGCAAGGGGCAGTGAACCCAAGCCCCTGGCGGGGGCCACCTGGGCCTCCCAACCTCTGTCCTCGGCTGCACGCGAGTGTTGGCTCTGCGCAGGTCCCCCTGGGCCTCCGTTTCTGGCCGTATCAGCTCACTTCTGATCCCCGCTCCCCTCCTTGGCCCCACCAGGCTTTCTGAGGCTTTCCCGTGGGCTGTGGCGGGCAGTGGTCCCGGGGGCAACTCCGCGATTTCCTTAGGCCATGCCGTCGAGGACGTGATACTTCTGGACGTGGAGGGGAGGCAGCGTCCTGGGACTTGCAAAACCTCTGGTCACGCTGGTCCACCCCAGACACAAGGTGGGGACCTAAAGTAAGGGTCCTGTCAGCGAGGAGGCGGGGAGGGAAGCCTCCCTTAGCCCCCAGGGCTTCTGTCCTTCCCCAGCTGGATGGCGCAGACCAGGAAGGGGCTCGAATGATGAGGCTTCCTTGGGTGAAAATTTTTTTCATTCTTCACACAAAATAGACAGCTACAGGGCAGACCACCCTCTGCTCTCGTTAATCCCCAGGGTAGGCCTCCCGAAGGCCCCGGAAGTGGGTCAAGGCTGGACAAAGAACCCCCCTTCCCCACAAGTCCACCTTCTCCCACACTTGTCTTCAGGATGGGCCCAAGACCCTTGCCGCTCAATCCCATTTCCACCTGGATCCTCTAGCCCTCCAGGACCAGAGGACAGCTGGCCAGGCCTGCCCGATCTAAGTGAACATGAAGCAGGAGCACCTTCCGTTCAGGGAGCAGGGTCTGGCTGAACGGTGGCTCTGAGTCCTGGGAGTGGTCACTGGCCACTGTGCTGTGTACCCGGGGCTCCCTGGAGGCTGTTCTCCCCTCAGGGAGGGACTCGGTGGGTTGCAGTGCTCAGGAGATACTGGTCCCCAGCTCTGGACAGCCATGGAGCACCCCACCCCCACCCCCAGCCTCACCAGTTCCTGGCCATCCCCCAAAATTCAGGTCTCCACCAGATCTCAAGGCCTCTGGCAGAACCCGAAGCCAAGGGCCAGAGGCCCCCACTCCAGCCCAGCACAACTCATTACCTGGCCTGGAGGGCCCTGACCCCAACACCAGGCCTCTGCAGCTCGTTGGGACCCTGAGCAGGGTCTCCAGGCCTCTGCACCGTGTAACTTGGGGGTAAAGGTTTGGGGAGGGGCTTTCCCTGGCTCCCCCTTTCCCCTCAGGAACAGAGGCCCCTGGGCCCCTGCCCCAGCTCCGTGGGGGACTCGGGGGTTCCACCAGAGAAACAAAGTGATGGTGAGGAACCCCCACTGCCCCCTGGAGCACAGGCCAACCTGCTCACACCCGGTCCAGCGGCAGGAGCCCAGTGGTGAGCAGAGCGAGGCTGTGCGTGTGAGGGGAGGCTCTCCGTGCCTTCGACATGCACGTGGAAGCCATGTGGCGGCACCCGATGAGTGGACAGCCTTTGCTTTCCAAGTTTTGATATCACAAACTTTGCGACAAAGGTGCCTTATCACAGTCACTGGGATCAGGATCCTGGGCGCTAAAGTAGAGGGCGACCGCCACCTGCTGGCCCCATGGGGCACTGCCGCGCGGGCCGCAGCCTGGGCGTCGGCAGCCGTCTGTGTGAAGTTCCACTTTAAAACCTTTTCTGTCCTTTTTGTACCCGATTGGCTCGCTGTCTCAGCCTTTGTTCTGTAAGTTGAGAACAGTCTTTCGAGTTTCTGGCCTCAGGCTTTGCCTGCACTGGTTCTGCCAGGCGACAGCTCTGTACTTGGTGCTTTGCCAATCCTGGGTTTGGGGTCGTGTTTGGGAAGTCTTCCCAGTCCTGAAGCTAAAAACGGATCATCCTTCGGGTTCCCGGTACTTACATGGTTTTATTTATTCCGCATCTATTTTTGGTCAACTCCAAACGTTCCTGTTTAGGGCCCAAGGCTGGGACTCAGCTCCGTTACTCCCCAGGGGCCTGTGAGGTGGCCTGTACCTCACAGGCTTGGCACACAAGGTCCCTGCTCTGTCCCCACTGTTTCCATTGTTCGGACCTGAATATGCTTTACCGTCTGGTAGGGTGAGCGCTCCATTACTTCCATCGTTCAGGTGCCAGAGACACATTTCCAGCGCAGGTGGGTGAGACTCAAGCCTGAGCAGAGCCCTGGCTAGCAGCCTGAACTCTCACCCCTCCCGTGGGACGGGGTCACGTGTCCAGGCCCGGACTGCCCAGTGCTTTTCCACAGCAGGGCGTGGCAGCCTGGCCCTGACCCTGACTGGGCACGTGCCTCAGCTCTGCGTGGACTGCGAAGCAGTTGGTAAATTGGGAGTGATGACCTGGTGCCACCTGGCCCGTCCAGCTAAGGACACCCATGAGAACACAAGTGTCCAGGACACTTTTCAGTGCCCAGCAAGCACTGGAAAATGGTCCTGGTGTCAATGCGACTGCAAGCTGAAAAGAGGGGCATTAACTGAAACTCTGCACTCTGCGGGGTGTGGCACCCAGGCCCCCTTCCCGTTGCTGCTTCCAGAAGGACGCCTGTGCATCCTGGGAGGATTAAAAGGGGTCCCAGAAGAAACATTCACCAGTGTGCCCAAGACCACTCTGCAGTGGCCTAGGGGTACCCAGCCCTGCCCAGGTGAGCAGAGCATCTGCCCAGCTGTTAGGGGCGGGGACTGCCACTGTTCCCAACATCCATTCATCCATTATTTGAATGACTTCACCAGTCATACCTGGTCATGTGGCCTGGCACGTACCAGCTTCCATTACAGCTGCATGAGCCAAGTCCTGGCCAATGGCATGTCAGTGGTATGGCACCTCCCTCCCCGCTCTCTCTGGAGGAGCCAGCCCTGGGCCATCCGGTACCAAAGAGAAGACCCATCCTCGGCCTTCGTAAGCCCCTTTTATTCAAAGCTTTCCTGACACTCTTGGAGGGGCGTGACCCTACCTACCCCCGAGTGTCACTCTGAGATACAAACGGGAAAAGATGGCTCATCAGACATTTAAAAAGATCTTTCAAAAAAAAAAAAAGATCTTTCAACAGGAAATGGAGAGACGGAAGCAAATGGAGAAGAGGAATCTGGATGAGAGTGCAGAAAGCAGAGAGGCTTTTAAAAATCTATAATTAAACTGAACTGAGAAAAATTGTACCTGTGAAAACCATTATGAAAAAAAGCCCTGGCTGGTGTAGCTCAGTGGATTGAGCGCGGGCCTGCAAACCAAAGGATCATGGTTTGATTCCCAGTCGGGGCACGTGCCTGGATTTCGGGTCAGTTTCCAGCAGGGGATGCAGAAAAGGCAACCATACATTGATATTCTCTCCTTCTCCTCTAAAGATAAATAAACATCTTTAAAAAAACCTTAGAAAGGAATAAGAAATAAACATGAACTCAAAAAGACACAATAGATGAAAGCCACGGTGTGTTTTCACACCTCCCAGCAATGAGCAATTCTCCAGCTTTCAGTGGCCGGGGACCGCTGTCCTACACCTTAGTAAAAAGTTTTGTAAAACAAAAATGAACTGAAGAGCTAAACAGGTGTCAGGGTCCACGTGAAAATAATTTAACATCTGAAAGAGACTGGCATGCTCATAGCTCGTGGTATGAAATATAAACAGAAAAATACACAGAAACCCTATTAACTTGCAGCAGCACTTGGAAAACGTATACCTATTTACAGACTTTAATGCTGTGGCTCAGTGGACTGAGTGCTGGCCTGCAAACCGAAATGTTGCCAGTTCTGTTCTCAGTCAGGGCACAGGTCTGGGTTGCGGATTGGTCCCCAGGTGGGGGCATGCGAGAGGCAACCTATCAATGTCTCTCTCGTGCATTGATGTTTCTTTCCCTTTCTCCCTCCCTTCCATTCTCTATAAAAATAATTTTTTAAAAAAAGATGGGTTCATCTATACAGGATGTCTCTCTGAGACAAGCCCTTAAACTTCAGTGTTTTGAGCATCCTGGCATTCTTGGCACGTCACTCCTCAGTGCCTGAAAGGGAGGTGTCTTGAGCCTTATGCTCAGGACTCACCGCTAGGGCTTGCATAGTGTCACCAATCTGTCTACCTGGACCGGGCTTGGGGCAGGAGGAGTGGCCCAGCCATCCCACGAGCCATCTTGCTTTTGCCTTCCCTGCTCTTCCTATCTGAGCTCCACCTGCCCCAAGCTAATCTTTGCTCTCAACCTGCTGCTCCCTATTGCAATTCTTTTCAAATTTACTGTATTTTTTTTCCATTACCATTTAGTCCCCTTACAAGCCTTCGTCATTTTGCTGAAGTAACTTCCACGCCCAGCTTTGACTGTTGGGGGTGTGCTCCTACAGGGCGGGGCCTCTTACCTCCCGGGAGGAGGGGCAGCAGAGCAGGACCCGAACTGCAGCTGCTCCACTCCCAGGGCTGCAGATGGGCCTGCAGGGCCGGCTGGCGCTCCCTGCCACCCCCACCCCATGCTCTTTTTCGGCTCTGACACGGGTGTCATTTCTTTGCAGATCTGTCCTTTCCAGCAGCCACAGCACCAGCTGCTTCGCCTGCTTCTGATCGCAACGAACTCGCCCGGGTCACTTTTTGTGACCTTTTATTAGTTGCTTTCCTTCCACTTCCATTGGTCTGTTCTGTAACAGTTTTAACTTTAAAATACTTAGTGGTTTTTGAGGAAGACACAGACACAGTTTGGCTCGTTTATTTACGCGCTGCTTGGTTGCTTCTTGCATGTGCTCTGCAGCAGGAATGAACCTGCAGCCTCGGCCCAGGGAACCTGCTGTTCTCAGAGCAGCAATCCCACCTCACCGGCGTCGGGGGGCTCTCACCCGCTCCTTCCTGCCCCCTTAACAGCTTCCTCGTCCAAAACTACCGGGTGCTGTGAAGGCCGCCAGCCAGTAGCAAATGTGGCAGCCGGGAGAATTTCAGTCACGAGCATTTTGTCAGCAACGCCATTTGCTTCTCTCCTTCAGCCGCCTAGGGCGATGGCCTTCCAGTGACCTTTCCACTGTGGGCAGCTGTCAACAGCTGGTCACTGGCCTCAATTCAATGTCAACAGGAACCCCCAAGTTGGGACGCACTGAGCTCCGCGGTAACACAGCGCGCCTGTGAGAACACTGCCGTGATGGCGGAGCTTGGAGAACAAACCCCATCCTTCAGCGGAAAATGCACTCCGGTGAGCAGGCCCGAAGCTGGCTTATATAGACGGCAGGCCCTGCCCACTGGCCCCTGATTGGCCACTACAGATCTGCTCTGATTGGTCAGAGATGAGCAGCTGTGATTGGTTGGGGACAGCCTCAGTCCTATTGGTTGAAATAGGATTCCAAGATCACTTCTAAACCGACTACTCAGAGACTAGACGCAGTGTAGGCAGGTCGGTGCAGGTGCCAAGGCTTCTCCACCACGAGCCGGTTGTGTGAGAAGCACCTGTGCAGAAATGGCTGCTGCTTGGCCACCGGGAGCCCTTCTTATTTCTCATGGCCCCACATCTTCTCAGGTCTTCATTTTCTTCATCTCTGTCAAATGTACTTCTTCAGCGTAGTTGAGTTGTTCTTTTTCAGATAATTGTGAACGTTGTATGTAGTTCCGTTGTTTGCTGGCCTGAAGCTTCTCTTTGGTCAGTACACGCTAGAGACAGTGCAGCCAGCCAGTCACCCTGGATCCTGTTGGCAATGGAATGACTTGCATCCCTTATTGCTCATTCAGGGGCCACTGTCCTGCTGACCCCACATCCAGACTTTCTACCTCAGTGGCTCACCTTCTGCATAACATTTAGGACGACTCTGACTGCAGCTTGGAATTGCAGCAGCGCAGTTACTTACATCCCACTGTTCCAGTGCCCCGCTGTCTCCACCTTTCCCATCAAACAATTTCAATGCTTCTGCATCTTCACAGACAAGATCCAGTTTAACTAAATCCTGACACCATCTACCCAGAAGGTAGCGTCAGATCCCACAGGGTAGGTAAGGGTTCAAGTCCTCTAAGACTGACTTCAGACTCCATCGCAATGCCAGGTGGTTATCTGTACTTCTGATCAACTGGACATAAATTGAAGGTTTCTATAACCCCATCCTTAGATCTGACTGATTTGACAGAGCTGCTCACAGAGCTCGGGAAGTTTATTTAAGGGATCACCAGTGTATTATGATAGGACATAACTCAGGAACAGCCAGATGGAAGGGGTGCACAGGGCCAGCTGTAGGGAAAGGGTCATGCGATGCTCTTCCCAAAACTGCATGTGCTCACCCACGCATCTTTTTCATTTGTTTGAAGGAGGCTTCATTAATTACATAGGCACAACTGACTAAATCATTAGCCATTGGTGATTGAACTAAATCTCCAGCCCCTCCCCTCCCCTGCAGCTCAGAGGGTGAGACAGAATTCCAATCCTCTAATTACATGGTTCCTCTGGCTACCAGCGCCCACCCCTAGGGGCTTTTCAAAAACAACCATATTTATACCAACTGTGGTTAAAAGAGGCTTGTTATGAATATCAAAATAAGCTTTAAGACTCTTAGGAAAAGCAAGAATTTTTGGAGCTCAGTTCAGGAAACTGGCCAATGACCAAATACATATATTTCTTACTATAAATCAAGTATCACAGAGCTTAAACCAACAAAAGATGGAAGGTAAATTTAAGGATACCTACCAGAAAAAGGTAAACAATAGGATTAGTCCAAGAAGTCCATCAGAATCTCAGTAGAGCCCTGGCTGGCGTGGCTCAGTAGACTGAGCGCTGGCCTGCGAACCAAAGGGTCGCAGGTTCAATTCCCAGTCAGGGCACATGCCTGAGTGGCAGGCCAGGTCCCCAGTAGGGGGTATGTGAGAAGTAACCACACATTGATGTTTCTCTTCCTCTCTCCTTCCCTTCTCCTCTCTCTAAAATTTTTAAAAAGATTTTATTTATCTATCTTTAGAGGGGAAGGGAAGGAGAGAGGGAAATATCAATGCATGGTTGCCTCTTGTGTGTCCCCTGCTGGGAATTGGCCTGCAACCCAGGCATGTACCCTGACTGGGAATCGAACCACGATTGTGTGGTTCGCAGGCCTGCGCTCAATCCACTGAGCTCCACCAGCCAGGGCTAAAAATTTTTTTATTTTAAATTTTATGTATTTGTCTTCAGAGGGGAAGGCAAGGAGAGAGCGAGAGAAACATCAATGTATGGTTGCCTTTCATGTGTCCCCTGCTGGGAATTGGCCTGCAGGGAACCTGCCTGCAACCCAGGCATGTGCCCTGACTGGGAATCGAACCGCAATTGTCTGGTTCGCAGGCCCGCGCTCAATCCACTGAGCTACACCAGCCAGGTCCAACTGCCCACCACTGGGAAGGTCAGTGCTCGAGAGGCAGCTGATGTAAGGGAAGAGGTTTTATTCAGGGGCTGGCCACCTAGAAGGCGAAGACTCATTGCAAAGCCCATCTCCCGCTTCACTGCAGGCAGGGGGCTTACAAGGAGCAGGAAGGACAAGGAGAGTAAAGAGGTCATGGGGAGAGCTTGTGCCAGTGCTGCAGCGTCCTTGCTGGTCCCAATGTGGGCCTTTAACGTCCCCACCCTAGGACCACTTGGTGCCAGCCAGAGTCCTGCAGGTGGGCAACCTGTGTCAGCCAAAGTTGTGGTCAAGACCAGGTTTGTACTAGCAGGAAATGGAACCGCTGGCACTTGCAATGTGCTTACAAAGAAACTGTCAGTGTGTGAGTTCTTTTTATTAGTTTGTTAGGACATTTTATTCTAATTCCATTTCATGGTAAGTCAGAGTAGCATAAAGTTTTTATTCCCTGTTACAGTATATCATGTGACAGACGACACTGAGGTTGAAGAGAAGATGCTAAATGCTTTCACAGGGAACAGATCATGCACAAATCATCAGAAATTAGAATGGCATCGGAGTCTTCAACTGCAGCCTTGGGAGCTGCCTCTCACAACAAAAAAAAATTATGACTTCAAAGTCCTTGAAGGGAAAGTTATTTCCAACCTAGAATTCTATACCCTGCCAAACTATCAATCAGAGTGAGAGCAGAATAAACACATTTCAGACACAGACCCTTCCCTGGAAGCTACTAGAGGGCTGACTCTGGCAAAATGAGACAGTAAATTAAGAAGCGGGCACAGTACAGACCCCCCGAAGCAGGGGCTCCATTACAGGAAAAAAGCATAGATCCACACGGCTGACCACCCAGAAAAGCTCAAGATGACAGCTGTGCAGGGGCTTTGAAAGCAATCAGTCTGGACAAGAACAGGGAGCCAGAGGGCTCTGGCACAGAGATCCCCAGGATTAGAGTGTCTGGGCCTCCGGAAACTGTTACCGATATGCTTGTGGCAAAGATGTTAGAGCCTTGGGGGAAAACTGGCTATGGGACAGTAAACTCTAGGAATAAGAAAACTATTAAGTAAAAAAAAAAAAAAAAAAAAAACCCGGGTGAGTATTAAGAGAAAAAAAGAAAATATTGTGCAAGAATAGAGGCATGGTTTTTTTTGCAATAACAGGAAGCAGCCAGCAGTCCTGGAAACGCACCCGGGAAGTTGATGTAATCCTAATGGTTAGGGAAGTCTTGTGGCCATTCGGTGGGGAGGGGAGGAGGGGAGGAGGGGAAGGGGTTGTTTGGAAACCCAAGTTCTCACTAACGTTATCTGGAAGTCCACAGAAATGCCTAAATACATAGACAACTAGCAGCCTCTGGTCTAGCAACAAGGAGGTTCCTGTCACAGGAAAAGCTGCAAGTTTCAAGTTTTTGCCTCCGTGGAATGCACAAAGGACGGTGATTTTTACTCTGTCCCCCGTTCTGCGCGAATTAAAGCCGTGTACTGCCGTTACTTTGACTTTAAAACAAATTACATCAGAAGAGTTGGCTCCAACCACACCTCGTCTCTCCTTCCCCGAGGCCAAGCCAACGTCGCTGCGGACAGATGCCCAGGTCCCCGCAGCCTCCGTCTCCCCGGTAACGGATCGCGTCTCCAAACCCAGGAGCGCCACGTAGGATCTGGAGATGGCGACGCGCCTGGCACACTTACGCACTTCCGGAGCAGGCCCCGGAGGGGCCAGGTCCCCAGTCCGCGCGCTGCCTGGATTGGATACTTGGGCTCCGGCCTCCTGGAGCCGAATTTCGTCCCGGTGCGTGTCCGGCCCGCAGTAACCCGGGGCGCCAGTGTCCCCGCGCGCACCCGACAAGGAACCCGGTCCCTTCCCCTGCGGCTTCACGCCGCTCGGCCCCTGTCCCCTAAGCGGGGTGATACAAACCATAAGGCTGCCGCAGTCCGCACCCCTCTGAGGACGTGCATCCCACGTCGTCCGACGCAAGCGCGCCTTGCGTCCGCGGCGGCGCAGACACAAGCTGGAGCCCCGGCTCTTCCAGCGGAAGCAGGGCTTCCCATCGTTACGGGGCTCGGGTTCCATCACACGAGTCCTGCCGCGGCACCCCTTACAGCTGTCTGCGTCAGCGCCGCCGCGGGGCCTCCTGGGAGTTGAGGTTCAGGTCCGCCCCCGCTCCAGGCGCTCGCTCGCTGCAGACCACAACTCCCGGCAGGCCTTGCGGAGCCCCAAGAGCCCGATCCCTCGCTGGGGGCTTGGGCGTCTTTGCCCGGTGGGCTGGGGTGCGGCGGCCTGGCTGGCTGGTGCTGGGCAGCTGAGAGGCTGCAGGGTTGCTGGCCGCCTTGCTAACAGAGTCGGCGCTTCTCAGGCCCCGGGAGTCCCTGCGACTAGCGGGCGGGACGCAAACTTGCGAGCAAGTGGAGGAGGGGTCTACGGTGGTCGTACTGTGGCCGGGGCCAGGATCTGGCAGCCGCCGGGGGCCTGCGGGGCTTCTAGAGGAAGGGTGATGGAATGACGGGGCGGGGCGGCCCCGGGCGACGGCGGCCCGGGACACCTTGGGGGTGGGCGCCCGACCCTGTCCTGTCCTGGCTCCTTGTGTCCCGGCTCCTCCCGTGGGCCAGTGTTCTTGGCCAGCACGCAGCGCGGCGCCCTGACGTCTGCACGGCCGGGGCCGCAGTCCTTCGGCTGCACTCCCGGCGGCCCCAGAGCCCAGGGAGCCCTGCAGGACAAGAGGCAGGCTCCTGGGGCGGCCCTAGGTTTCGTGGGCGCTGGCCTGGGAATGGGCATTCAGACAGGTTAGCTCTGTCCGCGCGATCCCGTCGGAGTTGCTAACTGCGTGTCTCCCCGTCGCCACAGGGTCGTGGCTTGCGCCTGTGGCCAAGCTCAGTGCCAGTGCCCAGCTCTCAAGGCATCAGGGCTGTAGCCCAAGAGGCGCAAGGCGGGCTGCAGGGGGACTGGACGGCCAGACAGGTGAGCTCTTGAAGGGTCTGCAGTGTGGTACTTTAGGTTCAGTGCTCTTACTCTGTCTGGCGCCATGTCAAAGGGGTTTTGCTTGCTTTTGCGTGTGTGTGGCGGGGGTAAATAATGAATTGTGCCTCTCCCCCTCCGAGTTTGAAACCAGTTGAGATAACAAAGTCGCCACACCAACTCCTGGCAGGCACCAGCGGGGCTGGAGATCAGGCAGCCTAAGCAAGTGGAAGCGCTGGCAAACCTTGTCTGTCCTGGCAGGTCCCATTCCGCCATTTCTGTGGCCTAAATGTCACGATCCCATCCACAACGGGCTGGTGCAGTGGTTGGAGTGTGACCCTCCAGTCTGCAGGGTGCCCGAGGGTCTCTGCCTGGACAGTGACCGCCCCACACTTCCTTTGGGCCACCCGACCCACAGGTGTCAGGCAGGGCCAAGGGCGCTTTCCTGAACTGTCTCAGGGCTTCACCCCACCCCCTCCTCGAGAATGTCCACCTCTCTTAGCCAGAGCTGCCACTTGACAGGAACCGCCCGCCCAGTCAACACTGGGGGTGTTGATTCCAGCAGCAGCAGGCCCTTGCAGGTGGGGGGGCTGCTTCTGTCGCCCCCAGTCTCCTCTTCACACAACTTTATCCCTCTGAATAAAAGTGTTTTGCCAACTTCTTAGCCGAATGTGATTTAATCTTTATGGCATTTAAGTTTTTCCAATAAAACACTGACAAGTAGGGGACACTGTGCTTGTGCACTGTTCCCGCGTGGTTCGGAACTCGTGGGCGCCCAGGCGGGCAGACCCTGTGAAGAGAGAGACCAGCAGGCAGCCCCTGGGGCCACTCTCATGGTGGAGACAAACGCTGACGGTGTGAAACTGCCTTTCACAGCCATTTCTCCTGGACTTGTTGGCAGGCCACCTGCAGGGTCTGCTGTGCTCTGTGTCGGCAATGGCTGCTGGTTTCCAACAGGGGATCTTGGTGGCTGAGCAAATGTGTGACCCAGGAAATAGCAGCTCGGGGTCTGGGAGGCCGGCGTGAGGCTGGTGTGCTCTCTGAGGTAAGTCCCGTTTGGCTACAGCATGTCGGTCACATAAGTGCTGCCACCCCGGCTGCCTCAGAGTCGTTTCAGACATGTGCAGCCACAGCCTCGGAGGGGGCTCAGTGCCAGCCAGGGGCCTGGCCTGGGTGGGGCGGGGGGCGCTGGCACAGCACTGTTTCTGGCAGAGGAAGGAGGAAATGGCTCTGGGTGAGCCCCCTGCTGGAATGGGGGCTCCGCTCCCAGCCCCACCTGCTCCTGGCCCTGGTGCGGCCCCCACTCGCTCCCTCTGCACACCCCCCCCCAGTGGACCTTCCGAGGTGAGGCGCGAGCTTTGACACTGGGACCTGGTATCGTCACGTGGAGCCTGGTCGACCCAGTCCTGGGCCCCAGGGAGGACAGTGACAGAGACCAGGCAGGGATGTGGTGGCTCGCCTCACCTCTCGAGGGTCCTAGGATGCTGTGCCAAGGTGCTTCTGAGCCTGGGAGCCGGCTTGGAGTCACGGTGAGTGCAGGCCGGCAGCAGACGGGTGTTGCTGGAGGTGGCGCCCAGGCCTCTGGAGTGGGTGTGGAAGGCAGGTGACAGGGAGGCTCCCAGAGCACGGGTGCCCCAGTGTGGGACGCTCCTCTGTCCTACAGTGCGTTTGTCTGGGCTAGCAAGGTGGGGGGGCATGGGGGTCAGCCCTGGGAGGGCAGCAGCTCACAGGCCCAGGGCTGGAGGCGGACTGCCAGGCTGTGCTAAAAATACCGGGTGTGAAGACAACAGAGGCCCCGGTGACCCTGCCCTGCCCCCCACGTGCTGCGGTCACTGGCTGAGGCTTGCCCCTCGTTTCCCTCGGGCCCTACCAGGCGCCCCAGGCCACTCTCTCTTCTCTGCCCACCTGCTGAGAGCAGGGCCACACCTGCTCTGCTGTTTGGGGTGCCCCCACCCGTGTCTTGTTGGAGCGGCCCTGTAGCACACAGCCAATGGGTCCCCGGGCCCGCAGACGGGCAGGTGTGGTGGCCGGCCAGGCAGGCTGAGGCCAGGCCCCAGGTGGGCTGCCCTGCTGTGACCACGGCACTGGTTGACAGCACTGGGGGGGGGGTCCTGCCCGAGCTCTCCATCTCGGAGTGGGGCCGGCCTCTGGGCTCTGCGGTCCGGGTGTCCCCGCAAGCGTGGACCTGCAGTGGGCACGGGCACGCACACGTGTGGCTGCCTGCAAAGAGGCTGCTCTGGCGACTGTGCCTCCAGGTGCGTTTGGGCAGGAGGAGGGCCTGGTGGGCCCAGCAGAGGCCGGCAGCCCGGAGAGGGACAGGGTGGGGCTCGTGTCCTGAGGGACAGCGCTCTGCTGCCACGGGCTGCTGTAGGCCAGGCTACTCTGCCAGCGTCAGACACGTGTGATAGCTGCTGACTGGGAGGCCACAGGCGGGTGGCCTGCCGTGCCTGCCTGCCTGCCAAGGTGGCAGCCCACGGGGCCCCTCCCCTTGCCTGGGGCTTCCTGCAGCCTCCGGGGATGGGTCCTCACACGGTCATTCTGGACACAGACACTTTGGCTGTGGCAGGTCTGGGTGTGGCTGCCGGACCGAGAAGCCCTTCCATGGCCCTGGGCCTCGGTGCTCACCTCCTGAGTCCACATGGGGGAGGGCGGCGCAGGCCCCAGCAGAGGGGCCCGAGAGGGGAGGCCGTTGGGTGAATCAGCAGTAAGTTGCTTCTGTGAGGGAAGGCGCCTGATCAGCCCCTGGGTCGGAAAGGTCTGTCCTTTTCTAAATGCCCACTGGTCCGTGGAGGCCCCGAGGCCCCAGGTGGTGGAGGGAAGGTGCCGGTGCAGGGACGCTGCCAGGAGGAAGGGGTTTATAGAAGGCCATGTGGCCTGAGCAGCTCATACTCCCGAGAACACGGGTCACTCGCTTGGACCCTCAGGCAACAGCCCTGCTCACTGCGCTGGATGTAGGCTCTGGGGTGGGCGGGGCAGAGGGTGGGCAGCAGGTTACCTGGGCTCTGGGGCCTGTGGCCAGGGCAGGAATGGGGCGGCGGGCAGAGCATGGCCACTGCCCCTCCTCACTGCCCGTCGGGGGCCTCAGCTGGCTCACGGGGTTTCTGGAGGTGGTCAGGCCTGGGCTGGGGGTGTGGCAGTGCCCAGGCTCTGGAGCAGGGCCAGGTCGGGGGGCGTGGTGGCTTTCCTCCCGGGCTGGCCGCGCAGGTGCCCTACTGCAGCTCAGCCACCCCCTGCAAGCCTCTGGGTCTCCCACCGGCCTCCCACAGGCTGTGCAGCCAGTCCACCGCAGGGCCACCCCCTCCCTGCCTCATCGCCCCAGCTGCAGCGTCTGGAGGCTCCACGAGGTCCTGCTCTGTCCCCCGGACACCACCGGATGGTGTCACTGGGCACCATCTCCAGAATGGGCACGGGGGCTGCTGCTGTGCCTTCCAGGAGCCGCTCAATCCCGTCCTTCAAGTCCTGTTGGTTTTTGCTCTTAACCGTCTTCCAAGTCCATTCATGTTGCTAAAGACACTGCACCAGAGAGTCAGTGAGAGGCACAGGCCCTTAGTGGGATGTTTGCAAGGCAGACAGGCGTGCATTTCCAGGTCAGGGAACAGTGACCACCCGGAAGGTCCTGCAGCCGCAGTGGCCACCTCTGCCACTGTCTCTGGGGCTGCAGGCCTGAGATTTGCTTGCCACATTGGTGACCTTTGTGAACCGGGTCAGTTTGGGGCACATGGCTGTTCTACACGTGGGCCTGAGCTTCACCTCCAGCTGCTGGTAGTGGGGTGGGGTGGGTTTCTACTCCTCTGGGGCCAAAGGGGTGCTGTGCGCACACCCCGGGCAGCTGGGCTTCCGGAGATGGCCCAGCAGGGCAGCCGGTGACCTGGGGGGCCGTGGGAGACACTGCACGGGTGACCAGCCACATGTGGCCCTTGTCACAGGGTTTCACCTGCTCTCCACAGGGGTGTCTGCTCTGTGCGCTGGGGTTGGTGCCCTTCCCACGTGGCAGGTCCAGGTCCTTTGCGGGACAGCAGACTGCGTGCCAGTCCCAAAGGTGTCCCAGCCCCTGCGGTTTCCTAGGCCTCGATGAGCAGCCTGACCCTCGGTGCTGTCCACCCCTAGTCAGCTGTGCTGCCTGACCTGTCCCTGCTGCCTGGGAGCCACGTCCGCTCTGTCTTAAACGCCCGCAACTGGACCTACCAGTGGGTCCTTGCCGAGGGGACCTCCCCTGCCAGGTGTGTGCCCCAGTCCCCGGGATCCACTTTCCTCCCATGGGGGCTGCCCCCCACTCCTCCAGTGCACAGCAAGGTGGGGTCTGGGAGAAGCTTGAGGGGCCTTCCCAAAGGGGTGTCCACTCCCTGCCCCCGCCGCCCCTGGACAGTGACATCTTCGCCGTCCGGGTTGCTCCGCACGCCACTGCCTGGTGGCCAGGGGCCTCCCGCCCTCCCTAGCGCGCATGCTCACCGCACTTCTCTCCACCAAGCTCCCCCGGGGTGGGTGTCTACCCCGCTCTCCCTGGCAGCCCTGCCGTGGCCTGAGGGTGCCCCCTGTGCCTGCAGGTCCCCAAGTAGTGCCGCCTGCCATGGATCCGGACCCCCAGGCGGGTGTTCAGGTGGGCATGCGCGTGGTGCGCGGCGTGGACTGGAAGTGGGGCCAGCAGGACGGCGGCGAGGGAGGCGTGGGCACGGTGGTGGAGCTCGGCCGCCACGGCAGCCCCTCGACCCCTGACCGCACGGTGGTCGTGCAGTGGGACCACGGCACCCGCACCAACTACCGCGCGGGCTACCAGGGCGCGCACGACCTGCTGCTCTACGACAACGCCCAGATCGGTGCGTGTGCGCGCAGGCGGGGGGTGGGGCATGCCCGCCCGCCCGCGCTGACCCTGCCCCGCCCCCAGGCGTGCGGCACCCCAACATCATCTGTGATTGCTGCAAGAAGCACGGGCTGCGGGGCATGCGCTGGAAGTGCCGCGTCTGCGCCGACTACGACCTGTGCACCCAATGCTACCTGAGCAATAAGCACGACCTCACTCATGCCTTCGAGCGCTACGAGACGGCCCACTCGCGCCCGTGAGTCCAACAGCTGCCCTGGCCACCATATGGCTGCGCCTCCCAGGGCCCTGACAAGCACCTGTGACCCCTGACTAAGCCACCTACTTGCTGTCCCCCAGGGCAGGTCAAGGCCTTCCTGAGCCATTTCCCTGAAAAATGGCCAGGGTCTCGGTCACTTTAGGGGCTTGGGCATTGCCACCTGCTGCTGGTCCACTGAGCAGGCTGCAAAGAGTGGTGCCTTGGGGTGGGGTCTCCTCTGCCCTGGCACCAGAGCCAAGTGTGGCTCTGGGAACAGGGCACGGAGGGTGGCCTGTGGGCATGCAGCCAGCATCTGCCGTGGAGGCCCTGGGCCTGGCAGGGGGAGCCAGCCCCCAGGCTCGGCTGAGGAGGGGCTGCTGGTCTGGCTGGAAGGCTCCTTGGCTGTGGTCCGGAGGGTCAGGCTGGGCAGGAGGCCGCTGGGTTGGGGTGGGCACCCAGGGGCACCCCCCCATCCCCTTGGTCCTTGTCACTCCCCACACTGTGGCCAAGCCTCATTCTTACATGAATGGTGGCTGTGTGCTAGACCCGGGGGGCAGCCTGCACAGAGGGCGCCTGGCTCTCTGGGGGCAGCAGGTGCAGGGGGGCTGTGCTGTGCAGCTGTGCCGGGGGTGCCCGTCCTGCCCAGCCTCGGGGAGGGTCTCCTGGAGGAGCGGGGTCAGCAGGCTTGCTCCAGGCCCTGAGCGAGGGGGGCGCCGACCTGCTGGGCCGCCGTCTGGGCCCTGGGTGTGGGGAGCGGGGCTGGGGAGGCAGAGGGCCTGCCACCCTGCCGCCGGGCATGGCTCAGGATGTGACAATGATCTCGCAGGGTCACGCTGAGTCCCCGCCAGGGCCTCCCAAGGATCCCGTTGAGGGGCATCTTCCAGGGGGCGAAGGTGGTGCGGGGCCCGGACTGGGAGTGGGGCTCGCAGGATGGTGAGTGGCAGGGGTGGGGAGGGGCCGGCGCGGGTTGTGGCCGCACCTGGTGGCGTGGGCTCAGCCTGCTGGGGGGGTCCACTCCTCCTCCAGGAGGGGAAGGGAAGCCAGGCCGAGTGGTGGACATTCGGGGCTGGGATGTGGAGACGGGCCGGAGCGTGGCCAGCGTGACGTGGGCTGACGGCACCACCAACGTCTACCGCGTGGGTCACAAGGGCAAAGTGGACCTCAAGTGTGTGAGTGAGGCGGCCGGCGGCTTCTACTACAAGGAGCACCTCCCAAGGCTCGGTAAGGGCGTCCTGCCCGTCCTCCTGCCCTGGCGGAGCCGGCCCAGGTGGTTTACAGGGTGGGGCGGGTGTGAGGAGGGCAAGGGAGGGTGCCGCCTGAGTGGGGCCCGCCGCCTGCCCCCAGGCAAGCCGGCAGAGCTGCAGCGCCGGGTGAGTGCGGACGGCCAGCCCCTCCAGCATGGGGACAAGGTGACGTGCCTGCTGGACACAGACATCCTAAGGACGCAGGACGGCCACGGCAGGTGGAGCCCCAGGGTGGCCGAGGTGAGCCGCCCTGCCCGCAGGGCCTGTGCCTCCTCCTCACCTCAGGGCCTCAGCCGCAGCCCCCAGGACCCAACCCTTTGTCGGACAGCTGGCACCGCGCTCACCGTCACGGCCGCAGGGGTGGGTGCGAGCACCGCAGCCGTGAGACGCCCCAGGGCCTTCCCTGCCAGGTGCTCACCAAGGTGCCCGGGCACCGGGCCGCGGCCCATCCTCTTGCTTCTGCACCCCTTCCATGGACCTGCTCGGCCCTGAACACGGAGCAGGGGGCCTGGCAGGGTCCTGGGGATGGTCCAGGTGGGAAAGGTCACAGGCAGGCAAGCCACTGGGAGCTGTTGCGGGGGGGGGGGGCAGACCTGAGTGTCTCTACGGAGCACCAAAGGGAGCCACCAGTTAGCTTCCTTTCTGAAATGCCCACGAGGGTGCTGCGTGAGAAGTCCGTGGGAGTGGGAAGGCCTGTCAGGACACAGGTTGATGCCTGGCCCAGGACGCTGCGTTGGGAAGAGGAACAGGGAGGGGTTTGTAGAGGGTGGGCAGCAGAGGTGGTGGGAGGCTGGAAGGAGGGACGTCTGTAGGTGGGGACCCTGGGACGGAGTGGGACCAGGGAGAGGACATGCCATCGCTCAGCTCAGGACCCGGCGTCTGGGACCTGCAGGAGCCTTCAGGGAGGATGTGTGTGGGGTCACAACCCGGGTGGTTTGTAGAGGGAGCCCTGTGCAGGGGAGGCCCCTGACCCAGCTCCCATGCTCCCCCCTTCCTCATGCCGGGGCCGCAGCCCCAACGCCCTTTGAGCCCGGCCTTGGCCCTGCTGCCCACTCCCCTGTCTGTGTGCAGGGGCAGGCGGACCCTGGGCTGCCTCCTGGCCCAGAGAGGGTTCTGTCTGCTCCGGGCACAGCTGCCCACTGCCTCTCTAGCTGTCGCCCCACGGCACTGAGGCTGAGCCCCCTGGGGGGCCTGGTCACCTGTGGCCCTTGTCACACCAGACCCGCTGGTAGAGTCTTTGGTCAGGCTGGGATCAACTTCAGGCACCCCTGTCCGAGGCACTTGGCGGGGGCACCCTGCTGCAGGGCCCTGTGCAGCCATGCTGTCCTGGGGGCCCCCTCACAGGCCCCCTCTCTCTCAGCACAAGTTTCGGGCGGGTGACGTGGTGCGGGTCGTCGACGGCCTCAACACGGTGAAGCGGCTGCAGGCTGGCCACAGCGAGTGGACAGACGACGTGGCGCCTGTGAGGCCCCCCCACGCCCCCAGCCCATCCTTCCCTCCAGGGAGGCCTGCCTGTGACCCCACCCTCTCCTCAGGCCCTGGGCCGCGTGGGGGAAGTGGTGAAGGTTGTTGGAGACGGGAACCTGCGTGTGGCGGTTGGCGGTCAGCTGTGCACCTTCAGCCCCTCCTGCCTGGTGGCCTACAGGCCTGAGGAGGACTGCAACCTGGACGTGGCGGAGCGCACCCGGGAGAACAAAAGTGCGGGCGCCTGGTGGCAGTGGCCGTGGGCAGTGGGGCCACCCCGGGCTGCTGCTGAACCTCTGCCTCTCACCCCAGGCTCCCTGAACATCGCCCTGGACAAGCTGCGCACCCAGAAGAGCGACCTAGAGCACCCGGGCAGGCTGGTGGTGGAGGTGGCCCAGGGCAACCTGGCCCGGGCCCTGGACCTGCTCCGGAGGCACCCTGAGCAGGCATGTTCCCGAGACCCTGGGCTTGGCCAGCCCCCTGGCTGGGGCAGGGCCTGGAAACTGACCTCTTGGCGTTCCTGGCAGGTGGACAGCAAGAGCCAGGGCAGGACTGCCCTGCAGGTGGCTGCCTACCTGGGCCAGGTGGAGCTGGTGCGTCTGCTGCTGCAGGCGCGGGCGGGCACGGACCTGCCGGATGAGGAAGGCAGCACGGCTCTGCACTACGCGGCACTGGGGTGAGGCCCGGGTGGGGCCCGGGGGGCTGGGCCTCCGGATCCTCCAGCAGCGGGCGGCACACCCTCCCGCCTCCTCACCTGTCCCATCAGGAACCAGCCCGAGGCTGCCAGAGTGCTCCTGACCTCGGGGTGCCGTGCCAACGCCCTCAATGGTGTCAGGAGCACAGCGCTGCATGTGGCCGTGCAGAGGGGCTTCCTGGAGGTGGTGAAAGTCCTGTGTGAGCTGGGCTGTGATGTCAACCTGCCTGTGAGTGCCAGGTCCCCCAGCCCTGCCCCTTGGCTTGGGCCAAGGAGGCCTGTTGCCGAGTGACTGCTGGCCCATCACTGACAGGATGCTCAAGGGAACACGCCGCTGCACTGCGCCATCTCCATGGGCGCCAGCGCCAGCGGCATGGTGGAGGTCCTCACCGAAGTGCCAGGCATCAACGTCACCACCACCAACAGCCAGGGCTTCACCTTGCTGCACCACGCGTCCCTCAAGGGCCACACTCTGTGAGTTTGGGGTGGGTACATGGCCAGGAGCCAGGCTGCGGGCCACCCAGGGCCACCCCGCCCCAGACACTCCCCCCTGCTTCCCAGGGCTGTCAGGAGGATCCTGGCCGGGGCACGGCAGCTGGTGGACGCCAAGAAGGAGGACGGCTTCACGGCGCTGCACCTGGCTGCCCTCAACAACCACCGGGAGGTGGCACAGATTCTTATCCAAGAGGTGAGGACACAGGGCCGCCCCGGCTGGTGGGGGACCAGGAATCAGGGCCTGTTAGGGCCTCGGGGCTGAACCTTCGCCCCTCCCCTCCCCAGGGCCGCTGTGACGTGAATGTCCAAAACCAAAAGCTCCAGTCCCCGCTGCATCTGGCCGTGCAGCAGGCCCACGTGGGGCTGGTGCCCCTGCTGGTGGGCGCGGGCTGCCGCATCAACGCTGAGGACGAGGACGGGAACACCGCCCTGCACGTGGCACTGCAGCGTCACCACCTGTTGCCACTGGTGGCTGATGGGGCCGGGGGGGACCCAGGGCCTTTGCAGATTCTGTCCAGGGTGAGGAAGTGTGCATCTGGGTGCAGGACCCCAGGGACTGCCCCTCAGCTGTGGGTTCCCCGCCAGAGCCAGGCCCTCCCGAGGGGGCGGGGCAGCCCCACACCCTGGCCCGCAGCCCTGCTGTTCTGTGCTCCTGACCAGCCTGGGAAAGGGGGTTGAGGGGCAGGTTTCAGAACTCAGCCCCTCCCTCTGCCTCCATTCCCGTGGCCTCAAAGGGATGTTGGGCCTAGGGGTACCGGTGCCTCAGACGCTCCCTCGGGCCAGCGCTCCCCGCGGGGCCGGGCCCTCACCTGCCTCTGCCTCCCAGCTGCAGGCCTCGGGGCTCCCAGCCAGCATGGAGCTGACAGTGGGCGTGGCGGTCGCCTGCTTCTTGGCCCTGGAGGGCGCAGACGTGAACTACACCAATCACCGAGGCCGGAGCCCGCTGGATTTGGCTGCGGAGGGTCGTGTGCTCAAGGCCTTGCAGAGCTGCGCCCAGCGCTTCCGGTGAGCCTGGCGTGGTGGGGGGCGGGGAGCAGTGCCCGGGCTCGGAACCCATTCAAGCCCTCTCCTCCAACTGCAGGGAGCGGCAGGTGGGTGGGGGTGCGGCTCCGGGCCCCAGGCTGGTGCTGAGCATCCCCAACACCGTGACGAACCTGCACGTGGCAGCGCCGTCGGGGCCCGAGGCGGCAGAGTGCCTGGTGTGCTCGGAGCTGGCGCTGTTGGTGCTGTTCTCGCCGTGCCAGCACCGCACGGTGTGTGAGGGTGAGTAGGGGAGGGCGGCGCGGGTCCGGGTCCCCGGGGGTCCAGTGCGGCCACGCCCAGCCTCCTGCTTCCCTCCCCTCCGCAGAATGTGCGCGCAGGATGAAGAAGTGCATCAGGTGCCAGGTGGTCATCAGCAAGAAGTTGCGACCTGGTGGGTTAGGATTCGGCGGGAGGGGTGGGTCTCGCACGGCCCCTCGCCCCAGTCCCGCCCTCATGCCCCCCGTGGCCATCGCCTGACCCAGACCCGCCCACAGACGGCACGGAGGTGGCCAGCGCAGCCCCCGCGCCCGGCCCACCACGGCAGCTGGTGGAGGAGCTTCAGAGCCGCTACCGGCAGATGGAAGAGCGCATCACCTGTCCCATCTGCATAGACAGCCACATCCGCCTCGTGTTCCAGTGCGGACACGGCGCCTGCGCGCCCTGCGGCGCCGCGCTCAGCGCCTGCCCCATCTGCCGCCAGCCCATCCGCGACCGCATCCAGATCTTCGTCTAGCCGCGCCCCTCGCTCTCCGCAGCCACGTTCCACCGGCACCCTCCAGAGCCCCACACCCCGTGTTTTATAAAAAGATTCACGGACTTTGCTGCCTGGTGCCTGCTTGTGGGGCGCGGGTCTCCGGGGCACTGCCGAGCCTTGGTGCCCTCGTCCTGCCCACCATGCTGCCGGCCCCTTAAGCTGCCGCACTGGCCCAGCTGTTGGCCTTGCTCAGCTGCCAGACGTCCCGCCCCCTCCCGACCGCACATCCTGCCTTTCCCAGGGCTCCTGGGTCCAGACACCGCCTCTGGGCCAGAAACACCCTCCCAGCACAGGCTGCCTCTCGCGACTCGGCAGCCGACTCCGCAGCACCCGCCCGCCCCTCCACTTTCCTCCCGGGCAGGCTGTGGAGATAGGCTTGGACCGACGCGGTGCCTGGTTCTCGCTGTGGGCTCCGGGGTCGCGGTGAAGTAGGGCAGGGGTGGGGCACGGTGTTGGTTGTAGACCAGGGCCCAGTCTCAGGGTCTCAAGGACTGGGGAGAGGGCAGGCGCGTTGGGCAGGTATTCAGCCACAAGGACGTGGGCGCTGTCCCTGCTCGCCCTGCAGCGGCACTTTTCAAGAACCACCCAAAATGCTCCCGCGGAGCCTCACGGCTGCTGGCCAGGCACTTGGCGCCGACCCTGCTGGCCCAGCGCACCACTGTCATTCTGGGCTCAAGGCCTGGATGGAGAACGGGGAGGGCCAGGACCCTTGGCCTTGTACGGACTGCCCCACACACCCCTCCAGCCCAGAGGCACCCTTGCCAACATACCGTCTGCCCCCCCCCATCCCGGTACAGTCTGAATGCCACCCTTGAGTGTTCCAGCCTCAAGACACTGCCCCCACCTCCCACCCGGGACCACTCCAGATGCGGGCCCTCTGCCCGGCTCCGCCGCGAGGGAGCCGGGTCGGAGATTCCTGGCTCTCTACGGATCCTGTCCCTGTGCGCCTTCCCCCCACATCCGCCACCAGGTCCCACCTCTGGCCTCTTCCAACTCCTGGTGGGACCCCTGCAGGTCCCCCTCCCTCCTGGCACCATCCCCGAGCCGCCTATCCCGCCTCTTCCCGCTTAGCCGCCTGTACTCACTTGCCACGTCCCTTCCCTCAGCGTCCCCGCCCCTCTCATGAGGACCCTGAAGGTCTGCTCTGGGGACGGGCTGCGCCGAGGACGTATCCTGGGCTGGCCTGGATGGAAGTTCTGCTCCGGAGTCTCGTTCAGTGTCAAGGGAGTTGGGGGCGGTCCATTGAAGGGGAAGCCACATGTCATTTAGCCCCAGCCAGTTCGGGACCCCAGCCGACCATCCTTGCCCGATCTTGAACCCCCGGCATCTGTCCCTTCCTGCCGACTGGGTACCTCCTTGCCCCCACCTCCTGCCCTGGTGGCTCCACCCCACAGGCCCTGACCAGGCCACTGCCACCGACCCGCAGGCCCGGGGTCCCCCTCGCTGACAACAGGATGGCCAGCTGGTTCCCTTCAGGGGTGGCTGTCCCCACCCCCTGCTCCCCACCCCCACCCCGGGGCTGTAACCCGAGCTGTCTCAGCGCCTCCCCTGGCTATTCGTGCTCCTGCAGGTCCCACAGCCCAGGCACCCAGAGCCCCGACAGCAAGTCAGAGTCCATAGGAGCCATGGCCCGCGGGCCCTGCGTCTCCTGGGCGTGGTGGGGCGCCCGCGCGCCGGCCGGCGGGTTGGGGGCCCTGCTGGGCGCCCTGTGCCTGCTGCCTGTCTTGACGTTGCTGGCCCGGCTGGGGGCCCCGGCTGCCTGGCCCTCCGAGAGCGCCCCACAGGTGAGTCCGGTGAGTCCGCCCCCGCCTGCAGATGGGCGCAGGAGTCCAAGTGTCCGCGAGCCCTGGTGCCTGGTGGGATTGGGGCAGGGGGCACCCTCTGGCCCCCAGCTCCACCCACTCCACCCCGGCTTATCTTTAGTGACATTTTTTGTTTTCTGGCTGTAAAAGAGACACTCGCCGGCTTGAGGTAGAAAACCAGAAAATGCAGAAAAACCAAAAGTGGAAGTCAGTGCCTCCCCACCCCATCGGCTTCCAGCCAGGTCACTGGTGTCTGGGACTCGGGCAGCCCCGCTGCCTCCCCAGAGCACTTGCTTCCCTTGAAGGGAGATGCCACGCCCCACCCCGCGGGGGTCCCCATTACCCGGGGGCCGGGCCCGCTGCCCCACCAGGCACCCCGCAGACGCCGCTACACGCTGACCCCAGCCAGGTTGCGCTGGGACCACTTCAACCTCACCTACAGGTGCGACCCTCGCCCTGGGGGGGAGGCTGGGAGCTGCCTGGCCAGCGCCTCCTCCCCGACCTTGAGCCTCTACTCCAGGATCCTGTCCTTCCCCCGGAACCTGCTGAGCCCCAGGGAGACCCGGCAGGGCCTGGCCGCCGCCTTCCGCATGTGGAGCGAGGTGTCCCCATTCAGCTTCCGTGAGGTGGCCCCCGAGCAGCCCAGCGACCTCCGAATAGGTGGGTGCAGCGCCGCCGGCCCCCGCCCACTGCCAGGACCCCTCTGAGCCCCCTGCCTCCCCAGGCTTCTACCCGGTCAACCACACGGACTGCCTGGTGTCCGCATTGCACCACTGCTTCGACGGCCCCACGGGCGAGCTGGCCCACGCCTTCTTCCCCCCGCACGGCGGCATCCACTTTGACGACAGCGAGTACTGGGTGCTGGGCCCCACGCGCTACAGCTGGAAGAAAGGTGGGCTGGGGCGGGCGGCGTTGGGGGGGGTCACACGGGCCGGGAGAGGGAGGCTGCGAGGAGGCCACGGGAAGCCCGAAGCCCCCAACCCCCATGCCGCTGGAGAGGAGCGAGGCTGCATTCCTGGGCGCCGAGCTCACCGCCGCGGCCTGGAACGTTCTCATCGGCCTGCGGCCGCAGCCCTGCCGGCGAGCAGCCGCGGGGAGCCAGGCTGGGGGGCGGGCAGGCCAGGCCCCATGCGCTGACCGGCCGGGCCCGCAGGAGTGTGGCTCACCGACCTGGTGCACGTGGCGGCCCACGAGATCGGCCACGCGCTGGGCCTGATGCACTCGCAGCACAGCCGTGCGCTCATGCACCTCAACGCCACGCTGCGCGGCTGGAAGGCGCTGTCGCAGGACGAGCTGTGGGGGCTGCACCGGCTCTACGGTGGGTCCCTGAGGCGGGCGCCTGGACGGGCGGGTGGGCGGGCGCGCACGCGAGCGGGCCGGGGCCGGGCGGGCACTGAGGCCCGTCCGCCTTTCCGCAGGCTGCCTGGACCGGCTGTTTGTGTGCTCGTCCTGGGCGCGGAGGGGCTATTGCGACGCCCGCCGCCGGCTCATGAAGAGGCTGTGCCCCAGCAGCTGCGACTTCTGCTATGGTACGGGGTCGGGGGGACAGGGGGGTAGTGGGTGGGAGCGGGGGGGGGGCGCTGACGTAGCCCTTCCCCGCCCCCCGCAGAGTTCCCCTTTCCCACGGTGGCCGCCACTGCGCCGCCTCCCAGGACCAAAACTCGCCTGGTGCCCGAAGGCAGGAACGTGACCTTCCGCTGCGGCCAGAAGATCCTGCACAAGAAAGGCAAAGTGCAGTGAGTAACCCGCCCGCCACGGCGAGGGGGGCGGCGGGCCTGGGGCCGTGCCCAGCGCTCGCCTCTGCCTCCGCCTCCCGCAGCTGGTACAAGGACCAGGAACCGCTCGAGTTCTCCTTCCCCGGCTACCTGGCGCTGGGCGAGGCGCACCTGAGCATCATCGCCAACGCCATCAACGAGGGCACCTACACGTGCGTGGTGCGCCGGCGACAGCGCGTGCTCAGCACCTTCTCCTGGCGGGTGCGCGTGCGCAGCTGAGAGCGCAGGGCCGCCCATAAAGCGCTTTCTCTCTGACGTCTCCGCGCCCTTTCTTCGGACCGGGGGTGGGGGTGGGGCAACAAGTTTTGGGCCGTGCGGGGGGCACCTAACCCGCGCCCCGCTGGATGTCGGGAGCCTGAGGCCAGGATGCCTCATGTGCCCGGCACTGCCCCTCAGGGTGAGGGCAGTTCTTCCGGACCGAGGAGCCTTTCCCAGCCGGTCCATGGAGGGTCCACGCGCTCTGGGTTCCCTCAGGGAGGAAGGAGGGCTGAGCTGGGGGGTGGGGGTGGGCCGCGGGATGGAGTGGCCGGGAGCAGAGCTGGGGGGTTGGGCCCATGCCAGGGACCAGCTTGCCTCTGCCTGAGCCGCCCCGTCCAGTTGGAGCAGGAGCCGAGGCTGGCCGGCCACGTGGCGCGGAGGCCACACCTGGTCCTGCGTGTGGGGCCTCTAGGATCCCCGATCGTGCCCAGGGAAAGCAGGGGAAGGATGCGACAGCCTTCTGAATCCATCTCCACGGGCGGCACAGCCTCGAAGGAGGCCCACAGCTGAGCTCACATGCTCAGCTGCGGGGGCCTGGGGCAGCCCACAGCCTGGGACGGCCAGGAGGTGCCTGGGCACAAAGCCCGCTCGACTGCTGGCAATCAGGGCCACTCTCCGACCCGCAGAGCCGGGAGGTCGCGGTGGCAGAGGTTGCACTTGCTGACGCACCTGCCTTATGGGGCAGGTTTGAAAAAACACAGCTTTTCCTTCCACAAAGAGATAAGATTTAATTCTACAAATGTACAAGCCAAGATAAAATACAAACGAAATGTAGAAAACAAGACCAGCAGTCCGAGACTCGAGGTCTATTCACAGCAGCCTGGGGGGGGGTGGGCAGCATCTGTGTCCAGTCGGATCTGGACCCTGGCAGCGCCTCCAGCCCCCCGCTGTCCTGGTCCCCTCTGAGCCCCAGTCCCCGGTGTTGCTGGTGTGGGATCCACAAGGACTCAGAACTTGAGGCTGAAGCCGGGCCCTGCTGCCGAGGCCCCCTGATTGGTGGTGGTGAGGTGAAAGCCGGTCTCCTTCAGGTCGTCGTCTCCCTGGGAAGCAAGCGGTACTGTGGGCCCGGCCGGGCCAGCCCCCCCCAGGCCCCCCCCCCGGCCTTCCCTCCGGTGGCAGCCCGCCCTCACCAGCTGGCTGTAGCCCAGGCCTCCCTCCGGGGGCCTCGGGCTGGTGCCACGCTTCACCCTCTGCTGCTCGCTCTTGGCGGGCCACGTGGGGAACATGGAGGGCTCGATGGGGAGGGGCGTCTCCCGGAAATACTCATGCTTGAGGCCGTCCTCGGCGCTGACCCTCCGCCCAGGGAAGTAGGTCAGGAACCTGGGGGACAAGGCAGGTGGAGGTGGAGTCTTCTGCGGAGGGCGGGGTGGGGGGTGGGGGTGGCAGGGCCCACGGGGCTCACTTGTTCATGAGGTCGAAGCCCTGGTCTGAGAGCAGGGCCCCGAAGCGCTTGCGCAGGTTGTTGTAGGGGTGCTCGGTGAAGGTCATCTTCTTCACCGCAGGGAGCTCGTTGTAGCCGGGCCAGATCTTCTCGCTGGGGGTCCCCAGGTCCTGAGAGAGGAACGCCTCAGACGACCATGCGCGGCAGACAGCCCCCCCGCCCCCGGAGGCGCCCTGACCCACCTTAAACACTTTGTTGATCTGATCGATCTCCGACTTCCCAGGGAACAGTGGCTTCTGCGTCAGCAGCTCCCCGAAGATGCAGCCCACGGACCACATGTCCACCGCCGTGGAGTACTCCTGGGGGCGGGCACAGGCTCAGGGGCAGGTGGCGCTGAGCACGCAGGGCACCCCACACAGCTAGGGACTCACCTTGGCCCCCAGGAGCAGCTCCGGGGCGCGGTACCACAGGGTCACCACGACTGGGGTGTAGGCCTTCAGAGGGGACCCGTACTCCCGCGCCAGCCCGAAGTCCCCCACCTGTAAGGACAGGGCAGTGGTGAGCAGGCTGTGGCCGGGAGCCGGGCGCCCCCGGCGGGCCACGGCTCACCTTGAGGATGCCGGCGTGGCTGAGCAGCAGGTTGGAGGTCTTGAGGTCACGGTGCAGGATCCAGTTGTCGTGCAGGTGCTTCACGCCGCACAGCAGCTGGATCATCAGGGTCTTCACCTCCCCTGGAAGGTGAGGCACAGGGGGCAGTCACCCTGGGAACGCCCCCCACTCGGCGCCCGCACACCCACACAGTGTGCGGCGCCTGTGGTGATCCCACCGCCCCCAGGAACGACGCTGGGCTGCCTGAAAGCAAGGCTGTCCTCCTGGGGACAGAACCCATAGGCCACCTGGAGGGGACACACTCAGGGGACCACAGGGCCCGGCCCACCTGGCAGGAAAGGCTGCTTCATGGTCTCCATCAGGCTCTTGAGGTCGTGCTCCACGTAGTTCATCACGATGTAGATCTTGTCCATGTTGCTGCCCACGACGATCTCCTGGGGAACGATGGGACCGTGGGCACCCGCGCCCCTGTTCCCGCCCAGGCGGCTGTGCCCCAGCAGCCTGACACCCCAGGGCAGACGCCGGGGGACAGCAGGCACTGACTGAGAGGGACAATTCTGATGTGCCTGGCGTTTCTGGAGGCCAGACTGCATTTCTTCGATGTCTGAGAAGGAGCTGAGCCCAGGGTTCTACCTCGCCTGACCCTCTTGGGAAGCACTGGCGGGCCACCTACCCTGACGGTCACGATGTTGGGGTGCTGTGCCTTGAGAATGGTATTGATCTCCCTCAGCGACGTGATCGGGAAGCCTTCCTTCTCCTTCTCCATTTTCAGGCGCTTCAGAGCCACGATCTCATCTGCAGGCAGCGCAGAGACGGGCTGGGTCCCGGCCTCCCAAGTGCAGTAACCAGGGTGAGCCTGGGCGCTGCCGGGACCGGGGCTCGCAGACCTGGGTGCTGAGGAGCCCAGACCCTGGCCACCGAAGTACAATGTGTCCAGGCCAGCCCCGTCCTGTAGAACTGCCAGGGAGGGTCCCCCACTGTGCTCCACTAGGACCAGGGCACACGGCCGACACCTGACACCAACACTCCCCGAGTGTGCGGGCTCACACGACCTTGCTGACGCCTGAGACCCAGGTATGCACACCGGAGGTGGGGGGTTGTGACCCCCACACCATTCAGGGGCTGTCACTCAAGGCTGGTGCCCCAGCAGCTCCTGGGCCCTTGCCTGGCTGACTTCCTCCTCCCCTTGTGACAACAGGTGACATCCCTTCAACCGAACAGTAGTCTCTCGTGGTCAGGCTGACCTCTGGAGGCACCAAAGGCAATGCTCTGGGGCGTCACCCATGAGTCTGCCTGATGCTGGCTAGGCAGGCAAGGCCTCGTCCAACACCAGGCAGGGCGGCGCCCAGGACTGCAGGGGCGGTGGGCTCCCTGGCCTGAGGCTGGGGCGCAGATCCCTCTGCCCCAGTGTGGACAGGGCACCAGTGGGAAATCCAGCTGCCCTCCCCGAGTCAGCACGGGGCCGCAGGCGCCTGGGCGTGGTGGACCGGCGCGTGAGTGTGCCCGGGGACACTGCCCCTCAGGCCTCCCTGCCCCTGCCCCCATCCGCCTTTCCTCTGGGGGCCGTGTGAGACCCTACCCACCTGTCTTCTTGTCCTTTGCTCTGTAGACCACGCCGTAGGTGCCCTCCTCGATCCTGTTCAGGCACTGGAACTCCTCCACGCTCCGACAGCCCTGGGGGGGGGGGGGCGGCATGAGGTGTGACGTGACGGCAGGAGCGCACACCCCACCTGACACCCTGGGAGGGACGAGTGTTGGGGGCAGGGCAGGTGCTCTGGTCTCTGTTGTCTGCAGTGAGAGCTGCCCCTTCCAGATGAAACAAAACCGCACAGACGAGGCCGGTACCAGGCACGCCCTTCCTGCAGGCCCTGTGTGTCCTGAAGGGACCCAGGACAAGGCACCCTACACCACCAAGCCCCCAGGCCCTCCCTCTGTGTGCACCCTGCTGGGCTGCAGCCCCCCACGTGGCCCGGGGCCAGGGGCGCACCGTGGAGAAGTGCCATCTGGCAGACCTGCTAAGGAGCCAGGACAGCTCAGGCGCAGTGTGACAGCCAGAGGGAGCCCTACTGCCCCCGGAACCCGGGGTGGGCCAGCAGGCCTCGGGGCTCCAGGCAGGGCCACCAGCCATGGAAGCCAGGGAACCAGAGGCTCCTCACCCCCTCAGCACCCACCCCTTCCCAAGGGCCCTGCAGTGTCCCCACTACTGATGTCCCAGGAAGAAAACACGTGCAGACGCCCACCGCGGCCCAGGACCCCGTGCGGCCCCTGGAGGGGGGGCCCACAGCAGGAGTGACCACCAGGCCGGCCACTCACCAGGCTGCCTGCCTTCCACACATGGGGCCCCCATGGGCTTCGTGGCCGGACCCCGCCCACAAACGTGAGGGAGGCCGGCGGCCAAGCCCTTTGCAGCAGCTTTTACTGCACTCAGGTGGCAGCCCCCACCCAGCACCCGGCTTCTGCTCTCAGCCACGGGCCTGCTGAAATCAGCAGGGCAGAGCCAGCTGGGGTGGAAAGCACCTCACCTGCAGGGCGGGCAGGTACTTGGGCAGCTCTTGCTTGAGCTCGACAGGCGACAGGGCCGGGGACTCGGGCGCGAACTCCCCTTCGGTCAGGGCGCTGCTCTGTGGGGTGGCCTCGCCCACTTCTTCCTCCCCTTCTTCACTTTCTCCAGAATCTCGGTCAAAACGTGATTCTGGAACTTCCAAATTTACAGCCGGTTATGGGACCAGAAACGAACCACTGTCACAAGCCCCATCCTGCTCTGGGGTGGGGACACCAAGGTCACAAAGAGGCCACACGATGGTGACACGAGAGCTTGACAGCAGTGACATGTGAGCTGCTTCCCCAGACAGAAGGCACCGGGTCTCGCTGGCTGGGCCACGACCACCACGGGCCACTGTCCAGATGCTGGGCTTCAAGGAGAAGGCCGGGACTCTGCCCTGAGGGCACCGCCTGGCTGCCTGCAGGCCCCCTGGGCTCTGGTGTGGCCCGGGGCTCAGCCCCGAGGCTCAGCCCCGAGCTGCTGGTCACCATCCCCGTGGGCTGCGGCCGGGCCCGGGCCGGTGGACCCCGCCTCCTGTCCAGGCCCCAGTGGCACTCAGAGTGGCGTTCAGTTAGCACCGTCCCCTCGGGGGGATGCCGGGCCCCCACCGGCCCAGCGTGGTGCTCGGTGTGGCGCCCAGGTCTCAGCTCAGTCCCGGGACGTGGCCAGGATGGGAGCGCCCTGTGGTCTCTGGGGCCTGACGTGGCCCGGAGGGCAGTGTGTTTTAGTGACTGCCGCAGTCACGCTCACAGCTTTAACCAGTGTCACCGCCCCCAGGGACAGATGCGGAGAACGCCAACTACCACAGGGAGGCCTCTTACCCACGAGGATGTGGTTCTCGGTCTCTCGCTCTTCATCTTCACTCATCTCTTCTTCACTCACTTCCTCTGCAAGACAGAGCGGGCATGGGCCAGCTGTTGCCCGGCTGGGCAGCGCCGCCCAGCACGCCCCGGGGGCTGCGCCTTCCCCCATCTCAGGTGAGTCTCAGGTAGCAAGGCATTTTCAACTTGTAAGTTTTCTAAAATTAGACTTCTATTACTTATTTGTCTGTAGTTCCCAAAACTCTATCGAAATACACTGTCGCGTGCCCTGGCCAGGTAGCTCAGGGGGTCAGAGCATCACCCTGATACACCAAGGCCAGGGCACATACAGGACGAAATAAAGCAGACAGAACACACCGCCACATCCCACACTCTCCTCACCGGCTGACTGTCCAGACGCATCCTCGGAGTTGCTCCCGGTCTCCTCTTCCTCCTCTTCCTCCTCCTCCTCCTCTTCCTCCTCCTCCTCCGATTCTTCACTGCTGCTCCCCTCCTCCTCCTCCTCCTCCTCTTCCTCCTCGGACCCGGACCCTGATTCCGCTTTTGGAAGCAAATGGCAGAATGTGAGCTCCCGAGCCCTCCCTGCGTGGCGTCGCGACCGGGCCTGGCCAGGCGAGCGGCTACCTGAGGAGGACGCGGCCGAGCTGGTCCTCCTCTCGCTGTCGCTGATGTCTTGCAGGTCGGACAGCAGGTCTCTCTCTTCCACCTTCTCTTCTTTCACTGACAAAGTGGGCCACCGCACGTGGATTTGGGGGCCTATTTTAAGGATTTCCCAGCAACGACCCCCAGCACAGCAGCCCAAGCAGGTGCAGCCGGCCCTACCTGGCTTCCGGCCGTCTCCCAGCTCGAACCTCTCCCGGGGCGGCCGGGGCGGGCTGCGGGCCCAGTGGCTGGCCTTCGCTTTGTCGCCATAGTCCTCTCGCACGGTCCGGTGATGGGCAGAGACTGGCACCAGGGCAGAGCAGGACACGGCAGTGGCAGCAGCCTCCACCCCGCAGGGCCCTCCCTGTCCCCCTCACCCGCACCCCTACGAAGGGCGATGGCCCTCATGTGCACGGGGCCACACACACCTGCCAGCAGGACCCAGGGCAGAGGCCAAGAGGCTGAGGAAGGAAGGCTGTGACCTGGAGGCCATGAACCCACCCCGAGGACCAGGTGGACCCTCGGACCGTCATTACTGGTCAAAAAGAAGGGCTGGGGACCATGTCCTCAAGCCTGGGCACACCCTTGTGGGCAGCAGGGACACAGGACACTGACATGGCCACCGCACGCCAGGCCTGCGACAGCCCCCAGCCGGAGGGCCCCGGGTGCAACTCCCGGTACCGCCTCCCCTCCCGGCTTCCCGGAGCCTCCCTGGTCCAGCAAACACACCTTCCCGCCGTGCCTCCCGCTCTTTGCGCCGCTCCTCTGCGCGCCGCTCACGCTCCTTCTGCTCCCGCTGCTCCTTCTGCTGCTCCCGCAGCTTACGCTCCCGCTCCCGCTTGCGCTCCAGCTGCTCCAGGCGGTCCCTGCAGTGGACACACGCCACTTCTTCCACACACAGAACGGTCCCTCCCTCTTACCCCCAGTGCTTCCCCCCCCAAACTCGTAAACTGCCTCTTTTGACTGTTCCACCCACAGAGAGCTCTTCAGGGTCAGAACCCAGAGCAAGCAGGTCTCGAGGGCGCCGCTCCCAGGAGCAGGGCAGAACGAACGGCTGGCGCAAGCAGCGGCCCCGTCAGAAACTGTCACCCGCTGGTGCCTTCCTGTCCACCAGCTCCGAGTGCCGAGGACCAGCCAGACACACACCGCAGCACTGCCTGCACCCGCCTGCCTGCCAGGCACGTCTCCACGGCCACGGTGGGATGTGTGCAGAAAACAGCTTCAGGACCGTGTCAGTGCAGGGAACACTAGTGACCGAGGTGTGTGTGGGTCGTGGCACCACAAGGTGGCCAAAGAGTGAGACCCGACCATAGGTAACTCGCACGCCCCCTCGTTATACCACCGAACACGTGAACACGTGAAAAGAGGCGCATCCTCCTGCCCCAGAAACGCAACAGTGGGAAGGCCAGGCCTGCGGCCGCGCCACCGACCCCACTCAGACGTCACCCCAAGGGGCTGGGCAAAGGCACCTTCACTTAGTTCTGTAGGTGCGAGCCTAAGCTAGTTAAAAATACAGCTGCGGTTCACTTTACATAAGAAACCTAACAACTGACTGTAATTTTCACAAATGTGTGAAACTGTGCAACCACCACCACAGCCAGTTGTAAAACCTGCCCACTGCTGCCGGGGCCTGGCCACTCGACGGGCCACAGCGTTGCCCCCACGCACCACGGCCGTGGGTTCAATTCTCAGAGCACAGACAAGAACCAACTAACAATAGCATAAATAAATAAGCGGCGCACCACACCGACACGTCTGTCTGCCCCTCCTTCCTGTACAAGATCAGTGAGTAAACAACTGAAAAGCAGACACCTTTCTGTCGCCGGCACACTCCCTCCAGCCTGCCCACCGTGGTCGGCCCCACCCTAGACGACCTTGCTGTCTGCCTGCTCTGAGTTTTCTGGACGTTCCTCCTGCTGCTTCAGGCCGCCTGCTTTCCCCTCCCCAGTGTCTGAGGGAGGCGCCGCGTGGTTGGCCGGCCACCGCCCCTCTCGGACGCTGATGCTCAGAGCCCACACTGTGCTCTCAGTGCAGCCGTGGCTGCATCCGCGGGTTCTGACGTCACTTTCGTTCCAACTCACATCAGAACCCTCTCCATTTATTCATGGTACCTTCCTCAGGCCACAGGTTATTCAGAAATGGTTGAGGGCCCCGGCTGGTGTGGCTCAGTGGATTGAGCACGGGCCTGCGAACCAAAGGATCGCAGTTCAATTCCAGTCAGGGCATGGGCCTGGGTTACAGGCCAGAACCCAGCAGGGGACGCACGAGAGGCAACCACACATTGATATTTCTCTCCCTCTCTCCCCTTCCTCTCCCAAGATAAATAAAATCTTAAAAACAAGAAAAAAGGAAAAAAATGGTTGGGGGACTTTTCCGACTTCCTGGGGTTTCTTTCGGCTGCTGATTTTCAACTTAATTCCCTGGCGGTAAGAGGCACAGTCTGTATGAGTTCAACTCTTCTAAGCTCCAGATTTGTCGTACAGCCGAGCACGTCTTTGTCAGAGACTATCTTGGATGAGTGTATTCTGCCCCTCAGGTGGGACAGCTGGCACGTCCTTGGGTTGGTTGACAGTACTTTGCAAGTTTCCTAGAACCTTGTCGACTCCTCCTGACGCTGCAGACATATCCAGTGATAACCAGCTACCGTCTTTGCTCCACGCACCCTGGACTCTCGTAGCGCAGGTGAATGTGCACTTGTCACCGTCCTATTGTCCTGAGGTGTTTGGCTTCCTGTGACAGTCTCAGCGCCTGCCCACTCTGATGTGAAAGCAGCCACTTGAGCTCTGTGGCTGCTGTTTGCACAGCACATGTGTCCCAGCCTTTTACGTGCAGCCTGTTTCTGTCCGACTCGAGGACATTCCGCTCACAGGCAGCGTACAGTTGGATCTCATTTTCTGACAATTTTGCCCTTGTGCGGGGCACAGAGACCATTTCACCATTACCATAGTCATGGGTGTGGCAGGACTTGTGTGGTTTTTCGCTGTTCTGTCTTCTGTTTGTTCCTCTGCTTCTGCCTGTTCGGGGTTTAACCTGCACCGTTAGTGAGTAGGCAGTTCACTCCTTTGCTCCCTCTCCATGTCTGCTCTAGGGGCCGCAGGCTGCAGCCCGTCAGATTCACACGGAGTTCACCCCCATTAAACACAGAAACGGCCCCCCCCAAGCCTCTCTGCGGCCTGCACAGCAACCATGTCTACATGGTTACCGCTTCCCACAGCCGCGTGTCTTTTGGGGAAGTTCGGGTGTGAGACACACACGCTCCCAGGTTCTTCCCTGGGAACCCACCTTCCCGCCTCCAGGGCTCCTCCTCTTCCCGCAGACCTGACAGTCTGGCACTGCCTCCGACTGGCTGAAGGCCCCCGACAGCGGGCCGCTGCAGTCTGTGCGCAGGTGGGAACGCCTCGCCTCCGGCTCACTCTGGAAACCAGTTCTGCCTGACACACGATTGTTGGCCTGCAAGTTTTCTCAGCGTGACCTGGCCGGCCCCTGCTTCTTGCCTCCCCCGTGAGCGGTCAGCCACCAAGGACCGAAGCTCCTCTTGTAGGAAGATCATTTTTCTCTTGCTGCCTTTCAAGATTTCCTCTGGCTTTTACAGACTGAGTAGGATGTGACTTTGTCTCTCTGTACTTGGGGTCCATTTATCTTTTTGCAAGTGTAAGTTTTCAGTCATTATTTTGCCTTTTAGTTTTTAATTCAGTGAGTGGGGAAGGGCAGCAGGGAGGGAAACAGCGATGTGAGAGGGAGACAGTGGCGGGCGGCCTCCAGACTGACCCCGCGGCCCAGGCTGGTGCCCTGATCGGGAACTGCTGCTGTGACCTTCCGGTGTGGAGGACGATGCCCAGCCAAGGGAGCCACACCGGCCGAGGCTCAGCCCTCATTTCATGCACGTCTCTGCGCCCCTGCCCTCTCCTCTCCTGGGACTGCTACCACGTGGACGCTGTCCTACAGATCTGAGGCTCTGTCCGTTTTCATCCCATCTTTTTCTTCTTTGTTCTCCAGAAAGCACAATTTCCATTGCCCCACCTTCAACTCCTGGCTTCCAGGTCTTTTCTGAAGCCGAGCCTTTCCTAAAACTGGACACTCATGTCCTACTGGTGCTGCCCCCTACTCCTTAACAGGAGTCCTACTTTCTCAGTTCTTTGTCCATCTCGATATTTTTTGTTGAAAACTGGACACTTTAGGAAACGTAGCAACTATGGGTTCCAATTTTCCCTCTTGGCTGTCGCTGTTTTAACAACCCGCCGGGCTAAACCTGCCTCCCTCGTCGAGTGTGGCCAGTGCGGCCGTTTCCCGCGTCCCTTTTCATTTTCCAGCCTGGTGCCCTTGGGGTCGGTCTCACAGCTGCGCGGCCAGCCCACAGTGGACACTCAGTGCAGCGGAGCAGACACGCGTGCTTCCCACGCCGGCTGCACACTCGGACGCCACGGGGGCAGCGTGCACCTCCCGGAGGTCTCCGACCTTCGCCTCCTGGCCTCAGCCCCTCCCACACCCCCTGCGACCCCAGAGCTCTTCTCACGTGGCTTCCTCAGACCCCGTCTCGTGCAGCCCTGGCCGTGGGAGATGTGAGCACCTTCTCCACAGCAGGCCACCCCCCACGCTTTCTCTGCAAATGACCCCACACACTGCGGGGCCTGGTGTTCCCACATGTCCACGTCCCGTCGCCCTGGACCAGAGGACAGGGCTGGGGCTACCAGACACTCTCTCCTGGGAACTGGAGCCCACCAAGAGGCACCTGCAAACGAAGCCTGGTGTCCCAGCTCCTGGGCTCTTCTCAAGGCCTTGGGATTTCCTGTTACTTTTCCCAGAACTGGTCTGTTTCTCTGTGACCCAGAGAACTCTAACACCGTATCTGGAACAGAACGCAGAGACGGCGCTGAGTGAAGAGTTGCTGATCCCCGCACCAGTCTTCTCCTGAGCACTGTGCCAGCATCTGCACGGGGCACGAGGCCGACCGCCTCGTGGACACGCCCCTCTTTACCGTGGCCTGGACACAGCACAGCACTGCAGGTCCCGCCACAGGACACTTCCCTGCGGAGTCCAGCTCAGAGGCCCCTGTTCCTCCTCTTCACCTGTTGTCAGCCGACAGGTCTGGGAAGTAAATCCCTCCCTTCGCCGCCTCCCCCCCCCACTGTCCCGAGTCTGGCACGAACCGCCACACCTCCTGTCTGAACTTCCGAGTCCAGCCCCCCGCACCCCAGCCAGGAGCCGCCCTTCACGCCCACGGCACACTCACACAGGGTCTCCGGCGTGAGTCAGGCTGTGCTCAGTCTGGCTGCTGAGGGGCTTCCCCACCCGCAAGATGGGGAAGAGGTGGAAACCCAGATTTCCGTTCCCTTCACTATTTCCGCTCACTCGGTTCACACCCAATCCTGGCTTCCAAATGCAGTGAAAGCGCCCTGCCTCCGGGACCACCCCGCGGGAGGGCCCCTCCCGTACCATGTCTGCTCCACGCGGCGTGTCCCCACTGTGCGATGGGACGCTGCCACCAGGCGCGGTCAGGACCCCGACCACCCGCCCTCACCTCTCCCTCCTGGAGTGCTCCCTGGCCATCTCCCTCCGCTTCTGCCTCTCCCACTCCCGGCGCGCCTTGTCCTGCTCCTCTCGGTGCCGCTTCCGGCGCTCGTGCTCCCTCTCCTTCTCCTTGGCTCTGGCGTGCTTGCCTGGCGAGGGGGAGACGTGTCACGCAGGAAACAGACATGCAAACCCTTCGCTTAGAGACACCCAGCAAGGGACAAATGTTTAACGATTTGGAGAAACACTTGTGGTTTTGTGGCAAAAAGAAGATAAACACATAAAACTAAGACAGTGAGCCTCCTACTAACGAAAGGACAAAACAAGGTGATTATCACTATATGGTAAAGGTGGGGCTTTCCACCTTAAAAGTTCCCTGTAGCCAGCTCTGACCGGGTATTCCTTTCCTAAGTTTTAGGAAATCACCATTCATAAAAAACAGGAGACAAAGTCTAGCTCCTTTGCGTGGGATTCTCCATGTACCCTAAAGCGAGGCCAGTCCAATCAGACTTCCCCAGGCCCGGCACCCCGGAGCGCGAAGCCACTATGAGGATCAAGCACCGCGCTCGCGGTCAGAGCGAGCCGGCACTGAAGAGTGACTCTCCCCTACTCCGGGGAAGGCAGGCAACTCTGTGAACAGTCTGCCTGAATAAGACAACTGTCACGACAGGAAAAAGCAAAAAAAGAAATAGCTACTCAGAATAATTTACTTATGCTTTCAGCTAAGATTTTACTTCCTCTTCCTTTCCCACTGTTTCCAGAGAAGGTGAAAGACCAAGACCTAGGAGCAGACAGCACGGGGACAGGGCAGAAAGCAAACGTGGGCTCCCGTACCCCCTTCCGCAGAGTGGCTGCGGTGCCGGCGCTTCTCTTTCCTCTTCTCGTCCTTCCTGTGGTGGGCCTTCTCTTTCCGGGACATCTGCTGGGGCGGTTTGATGGCTAAGGAGTCGTCCTCCTCTCCTCTGGAACGAGACACAGCAGCGCCGAGTTGGGCGGGAGAAAGCCCCTCAGGGGTGTCAGGGTGCAGTGGGCTCTCTCCAGTGGGAGGGTGCAGGGCTCCAGTCACGGAGAGAGCAGGGTCTGAACCAGCATTTAGGAGACTCTGTTCGTTGTGACACTGGTGGCAAGACTGTCGGTTCAGCATTCACGAGTAGGGACAGCGTGAGTGAGGAACCACCATGGCACACGAAATGTAAACGCCTGAGGACACTGGGGTGACGCATGTGTGCGGTATCTTGCCTGCGGTAACCACGTCATGTGTGTGTAAAACCTCGTCAAGTGCACATTGTAAATACGTGCAGTTTGTCACTTGTGCCTCAATGAAGCTGTTTTTAACAAAAAAATCCCAGCGTTTTAATCAAATCAAGTGACCTGAAAAGGTGACTCAACAATACTTCAAGTAACTGCATGGCCAAAATCCCAGGGGAAGGCACACGATGGCTTTTCCACCCAACGCACGGCCCTCTGTGCGGAGAGGAAACTAGTGCACAGAGACCAGGCCCAGGCCCTCTGTGGGGTCTACCCGGGCTGCGGCGGCCCTCCTCGTGGGCAGAGAACTTGGACAGCGACTGCGCTGACCCCCGCAAACACCCGGTGGGGGCGCACGCACACAGAGCAGCCCGACCACGGAGGCACAACCACAAAGGCAGGAAACACACAGGCCCTGGATCAGGGACCCCGAGTCCTGCCTGGCAGCTCTCCCACCGTGCCCTGAGCAGGCCCAGGCCCCCGCCAGCACCCCTCACCTGTCCTCCATGGAGTCCTCGCGGCGGTAGGGCGAGTTCCTGATGGTGATCTCCATGCGGTGGTCCCTCAGCTCCCCCTCCTCCAGGGAGTCCCGCTTGGAGTCCCTGTCATCAGACTGGGAGGCGCGCAGGAAGTCACTCCCCTGGCGGGGCCCGGCGTCTTTGTGGACAGGGAAATCCTCCCAGCGTCCCCAAGCAAACTTTCGTATACACTTCGTGGGGTTTATAAAAAGGTCTGTTAAAAATCTCTATCCTTAAAAACACAGAAAGCTCCCATTCAAATCCCGCGAACGTTAAAATGAGACGCTCGGTCCCTCAGCGCCTGTGACGAGGCGCGGAGGACTGCGGTCGTTCCGCAGACACAGCGGGGCCTGAAAGCGCACCTCCTACAGAAAGCTTCCCGCGCCGCTCTCACTACCGGGGCCTGCGCCTCCGCGACCACGCTGGGCCCTCCTGCCAACGCCCTCACCGAGTGGCCAACTGGCCGAGTGGACCGGGCGGCGGTCCTGGCAGGACGGACGCGACCCAAGGAAGTGGCTAAAACAGCCACTTGCAGCCCAACTCCCGCTGCGCTACCCCGCCCCCCGCGTCCGAAACGGCGCCTGGGGGACACCGGCGACGAAACGGGGAGAGTCGGCCCAAGTGCACCGTGCACCGCGGGTGCCCAGGCCCGGCCCGGCGCTACCGACGGTCCTGGGCGCGGACTGATATGTGAGCGCTTTTGCTGGGTTCTAGAATAGGTGCTGGGCTCACCTGCGACACCTGCAAGTACAAAAGAACTTCACCGAAGACGCGCTGTGCTAACGGGGAAACAAGGGCAAAGACACTAATCCCCGTACTTAAAAACCAGGGCTTACATTTTTTAAGCGCTTTATCTCTGCTTTCTCCTCTTGCTCCTTGCGGCGTTTCTTTTCTTGAAGAATTTCATCTAAAGTTTTCACTTTCCAAGAGTCCTTTTCATCACCCATTTGAGTTCGAACACTGCAAACCGAGAGAACCGAGGCTGCGTCGGGGACGACGCCCTGGGTCCGCGATCCGCGAGCGCACGGCCACCGGCCAGCGCGTCTCCGCCCCCGGCCGCGGGCCCGGGTTCGCGCGGCTCAGCCGCACTCAGCCGGGGAGGGTCCGGAGCGGTTGGATCCGGCAGCGTCGGGGCCCGCCGCCTCCTTAACCCCGAGCCCCACGCGGGCAAGACGGGACGGAGGAGACGCGTCTCAGCCGAGGAAACCGCCTGCTACTCACCCCTGCGCCGCCGCCGCCGCGGGTCCCGGAGTCTGAGGAGAAACAGCGCCCGGCGCGCCTGGAGCGTCGTTACTTCCTGCGTCGGCGCGGGACGATGACGTGGACGCCACTCATAGCTGGGGTTCCTGCCCCGCGTAGAAATGATGCTGGCGCGAGCTCTGTGCGTCACTTCCGGCCTCGTCGCCTGGTGACGAATTCCGCCGCTAACCGGATGCGGTTGGGGTTATTGCCGCCCCTCTTCCGCCCACGACGTTAGGGCCACCCCGGAGACCTCGGAGCCCACCGGTCGGCCCGCGGGGCCGGTGCCCCGGTTCCCCTTTGGAGGCGAGGCTGCCCTGCCCTGCGTCCCGCAGGGGGCAGGGCGGAAGGCCGCCGAGGCTCGATTCCCGAGCAGGGCGCTGGCCTGGGTTGCGGTTCGGTCCCGTATGGAGGCGTGAGAGAGGCAGCGGATCAAAGTTTCTCGACCTCCTTCTACCTCCTTTCCCCTCGGCCTAAAACATAAAAGTAAAAATTTTTAAAGGGAATAGCCCAGTTGGCAGCATCGTTGCGCAGGCCCCGCGTCCCCCCTCCCCCGTCGTCCGCGGGTCTCAGACAGTTGAGGTTTCTTCCCAGCCTTCCCGCTGAAAGGTCGTGTTGACTTTTTGCAGGTCTTTGTTACAGGCCGTGTTTCCACTCCAAAAGTGGCGCCCACGAAAAGCGCCCTCCTGACCACGTTTTGGGAGCGTTAACACCTTACCTACCAATGAAGAAAATGAGTACACACCATTTGTTTTACTTTTGCAGAACAAGAGTCACAAAGTGGCTGCCAGTGGCTTTATTGAGACAAAAGGACAGGAGGCACCCACAGGATACACTTAATACCACAGTGAAGGAACAGTGACTGAGTTACTTTAAAGAAACGACTTTCTATCAAGTACTGATGTAGTCACACAAATACTGGCACGGGCGAAGTACAAAGCACCGTGGACACCGTGGGCCTGGACTCCACAGTTCTGTTGGGAAGAAAGTGAAGATTACTTGGCTCTGATGTAGTAACAGAAGGTTATTGACAGGACCCTCGTGTTTCCCAGGGTGGGAAAGCCCTGACTGGCTCCCTCAACTGGCAGGTTCCCTGCAGCTCAGACTGCAGTCAGCACTCTAGAAACGGCAGACCAGCTGTGCCAGCTTTCCCCAAATAAAAACGGGGGGGGGGGCACCCAGATAAATAAGACTTTGCCAGTTAGAACAACTTCTAACCCAGTCTGGATATCTGGGCATGGGCCCCACGGCCATCACTCAGAATCCGAGCCAGCGAGGTTGGCAGTTTTATGCCTTGGCTGCCAGGCAAGCTGCTGACCCCGTCTGCTCTTGGCTCACCCAGCACTGAGAGAAACAGGCAGATACATTGAGAGGCTAGGACTTTCTTACTTATAAACTAAGAAAATTCAGAGGCCCCCACCAGGGCATGTAGATACTTGGGGAAACAATAAAGCCCTTAATATGAAATCTGTCAAAGGGAGAAGCAGGAAAGGACTTCTAACTGTGACATCCTTAATGTTTCCCACCCAGAGAAACAGTGAAAAGACGTCCAGGCCCGAGGAAGCACATCGCTGGGACAGGTGGAAGGAGCCCCGTGCGTGTCTGTCCCCTGAACTGGCCCCTCTGAGCAGCCATCCACGGGAGTGTGCCACAGCAGGAAGCAAACCCATGGGGTTGGGGAAAAGTATTTGGGCACCGCCATGTGGCTGACATTCTTTGTGCAGCACGGTTTTTTCTGCTCACCATGTTTATTTTTCCTCAAATTAAAGCCACATTTTTGGTTGGGCAAGGGCGTTCTCAGCTCTCCGAGGCAGACAGCTTTCATGCTGAGATGCAGATGTGGACTGCTGGGTTCCGAGGTGAGCAGCCTCCTGTGCCATCAGTAGTGGATGGTTGAAAACCAGCGACCTGCAGGCGTCTACGTGTCAGTGGGCGTGAGCAGGTGGCCTGACTCGACCTCGGTGCAAGTGTTTGTGTATAAAGGCACAGACAGCCACAGACACAGTGACCAGGGAGGTGACGACACGCGGCTTCAATGCTGGTGCACACGCACCTGAGACAGTTTGGCGGGAAGAACACACTGTAGAAACCACACAAAGCTAATGAAGTGCTGTTTGGACGGTCATTAAGCACAAGGCCAGGCCGTGACCCTCCGCACAGAACTGTCTAGGAATGCCCGAGAAGTGGGAGACTCCGGGGTGCAGACAAGGCTGATGGAAGGAATGTGAGCCCCGGGCAAGGGCTGTGCCAGCCGCAGCTTGGGACAAGGAGTGTCAAAAGCAGCTTGCGGGGAAATTGCCTAACAATTTAGGAAAATCTTCATTTCACTTCTGGTCCAAAAACTTGGAAAATCGAAACCAGCTGAATGCCAACAGTAAGAGTGGAGGGCCGGCACATCATGGGTGGGCCCCGGAACTCCCTGAGGACACTCAGAAACAGGCGGGTGTGTCACTTTGCACTTGGGTGACAAAGTCCAAGGAGGCCCACGTGGAAGTCCTGCCCCAAGGGCCACAGACGGGCTCCCTGCTTCGTTCAGCTCCATTCCCGAGGGCGCAGACAGGGGCCCCAGAGAGCGGCTTTCTCTGGTCCTCACAGATCAACAGGACATCCCACCTCCCTGGCCACCTCTGATGAATCCCCCTTAGTTTCGCAGTTTTGTTTTGGGGGAAGAAGAGGCGGAAAGGGACCAGAAGCCTGAGGGAGTCCAAAGAAACGCCCTCAGTGTGAAAGGGAGGTTGTCAGCAGGTGACCCCACACCTGCCTGTCCTCTGGCCACAGGGCAGCCTTTTAAAAGCTTATTGTTGTTTAAAAGGCCTCATTTTAGTTCATCATTGTGGCAGACTTGTCAAGCAGGCAGAGCTCGAGGAGACGTAATTATTGCTCTTTGTTTCCAAGAGGCCTGGTGTCCTGAAGAGGCAGTTTCTGCATTTTCCAGTCGACACACCAACAAGGAAACCAGTGATGCGGCTGTGGAGGCCTAGGCCTGAGCAGCAGGGCGGAGATGGGACAGCAGCTAGGGCCTCAGGTCCTTGCTGTCAGTTACTTCTGTCAGTCCCGCAGGCGAGCTCCAGGTCCCCAGGGGCCAGACCTGCTCCCCGAGCAGGGCTGCCTCTGACCAGCCCCAGGGCTTAGGACCGCCCTGGCCAAAGGAGCAAAGGAGAGGCCCCCGAAGACTGGCCGGTGACAGGCCCCCACAGAAGTCCCTCCAGGATGGGGATCTCAGCCCGACTCTGGCACAAACACCACATGGTCATCTGTTCATTTTGGGGCACAGCCAGGTTGAGCCAGGCAGCAGCTCAAAGTGGGTTACCTGGCCCCCCAAAACCACGTGTGCCTGCATCTCCCTGTGAAGAAACTGCACTGCCGTTTCAAACAGTGTCATGAGAACTGTAAACACCCCACACACTCTTTCCCACTCCTCCCCCCGGCGCATCCCTTTAGGAGGGACGAGCTGGGAGAGGACAGGGATGCCCGCAGGGACCCTGCAGAGCAGCCTGGGCCAGAACCACAGGGACCACCTGCATCTCCCTTGCCTGAGCTCAGCACAGCAGGTGGCAGTCCTCGGTGCATGAGGGCCCAGCAGGCTGCGGGGTGGGGGTGGGGGTGGGGGGGCCTCCCTCCCTGGAGTCACTTCTCCCTAAGTGGTGCCAGGTGCAGGCAGCTCCAGGGCAGGGAGGCAGGGAGGCAGGGCCCCACACCCGGCCCTCAGCAGAGGGGAATCCTTGTTTCTGCCCTATGAGTCCCCTCCCCACCCTGCCAGGCTCCATGGCCTCTTTGCCAAGGCCCGGGGTGCCCCAGCCCTCTCTTTGGGCACAAAGGTCTCCCCAGAGGACCAAGGAGCAGGTCACACCTTGGGTGGGCCTTGATGGTTGGCCTGGAGCAGATAAGTTCACCCACCAGTACTGAGCAGGCACCTGGACCAGCTCTGGCTTCACAGGTGTCCCCGGGGCTGTCACCCACAGAAGAGTCCGAGCCCGGCCTGACTGCAGTGAGGCTGGCGGTCTCCCCCGCCCTGCATGCAGTGTGGGCCCGTGGGAGGCACTCTTCACATCGTGCAGCAATGGCTCAGTGGCAGCTGGCTCTGGTCTCCCCACAGGGGACCAACGTCTGGGCACCCTGCAAGGTCCCGCTGGTTTTGACTGGAGACCCCAGAAAGGGGCAGTTAGTGCTGCGCATGCCTTTTCCCCACCCAGCTGACCCACAGAGGGGGCAGGGGACAGGCGGCAGGGGGAGGGGACTGCGTCAGCTAGGACAGAGCGCGCAGGGCCCGTCCCGGCACCTGCTGCGGCTCCAGAGCTCAGTGCTGTGGCCTGGGGTCCTTGGGAATCTGCGGCTCCACGCCGTCGCTGGGCGCCTGGCTGGCAGGCGGCGCAAGGTTCTGCATGGTGTCCCGCTGGCGCTGCTTGGCCTTGTTGTAGAGCAGGACGCCAGCTGTCACCAGGACGGTGCCCACAGCGGACAGGCTGGTGACTCTGTTGCCGAAAACTATAATACTGAGCCAGATGGACAGGGCGTGCTTCACGGTGCTGGCGACACTGCAAGACAGAGCAGGGGTGACCACCTGCCTGGATGCCAGCCCTCGTCCAGCCCCGTGGCTGACCGTCCAGGGGTCCTGGGTGAGTGGCAGTGAGCTCCGGGCAGGGCGGAGCAGCGGGGGCTCTGACTGCTGCTCACTCCTCCCTTCTCTCTCTCTCTCTCTTTCCAGGTGGGTGGGCTTTTCATCAGGAACGATGTCAAACCAGGAAGGAGGGGCCGAGCAGCCACATTCCCATTTTCTAGACTTAATAATTGCCGCTCTGGGCCCCGGCTGGTGTAGCTCAGTGGATTGAGCGCGGGCCTGGGAACCAGAGTATTGCGGTTTGATTCCCAGTCAGGGCACATGCCTGGGTTGCAGGCTGGTTCCCAGCAGGGGACACATGAGAGGCAACTATACACTGATATTTCTCTCCCTCTCTCCTTCCCTTCCCCTCTAAAGATAAATAAATAAATAAATAAATCTTAAAAAAAAATTGCCACTCTGTCTGGCGTGGCTCAGTGGGCTGAGTCCCACTGCCAAGCAAAGGGTCGCCAGTTTGGTTCCCACTCAGGGCACATGTCTGGATTGCAGGCCAGGTCCCCAGTGGGGAGTGTCTGAGGGACAACCACACATCAATGTCTCTTCTTCCTGTCACTCTCCCTGCGATCCCCTCTCTCTAAAAATAAATACATAAAATCTTTAAAAATTAGCGCTTTGCCTTATTTTGCTCCTTTTCTGGTACTTTCAAGGAAGCGATGGACATGGTGACACGTCACCCTCATCACTCCAGTTTGCTCTCTGGGGAGGGAGGCCAGGCCCCGCAAACCTGGGCCAGGCCCCGGGGCTGCTGGTTCGGCGGCAGCGACACACATGGCGGAAGCGGGGTCACCACTAGACACATGAAATGTTAATAGGTTTGTCTTTCGGGGTAACAAAAAATTTAAACTTTATGTTCTCTACTTTTCAAAACTTTTGTATTGTTTTTATAAGACGAATAAAACAAAAAAATTAAAAAATTGGTTCTCTGTTCTTTGACTTTTTCGGAACCATCACTAACGATCCTCGAAAGACAGACTCGGGAATATTTGGAAATGACTCTTGGCCCCAGAGGGAATCAAGAATGCATGACAGACACACAGACGATGCCCACCACCAGCTTCGGAAGAACTTAGAAACCATGACCTTCACCCGGGGTCCTGCAGGCACTTCCTGTTCGGGACCAGGAGCACCAGGCCTGGCCGGGGGCAGGGTGCCCGTTGCGCAGCCTGGCACAGTGGGTCGTGCAGGGGCCTGCACGCCCGGCCACTGCCTGCTCAGGGTCCGAGCACATGCTGTGCTGACTCCGGCTGCTCAAACAAGCAGAGAGACCTCCACGTGCGTGGTCTGCGGACACCGAGGCTGCGGCAGGGGCGGCTCCGTGAGCCCCAAGAGCCACACAAACCCACCGAACCTGCTGCTGTCTCCACGTGGGGACAGTTCCAGTCCCACCAGAGCTCAGAAGTTAAAGGCTGTTGAAACAGAAACCTCCGCCCCTGCCCCCACCAGGCCAGGACGCCTGCTCCTCCCAGCCGCTCCCCAGTGGCCCACATGACACGGGCCGTGGCCACAGCTGCCACTGTCACGGGGCTGTCTGGGCCTGCCGTGATGCCTGCTCACGCCTTTGCAACTGCCACTGAGACCCTGCTTGCACTCAGCGCACCTGGTCACAACAGGGCACAGTGCGAACCGGACCCCCAGGCACCTCCGGGCTCCAGAGCGCTGAGTGACATGCTGAGGGCCCGAGGGGGACGGTGTCCGGGACTGTCCCAGCAGAACGCAACTTCAGCTGCTCCAAGCCACGCCTGCCCCAGCGTGACACACCCCAGTGGGGAGAAGCTCATCACACACTCTGCGTGTCTCTGCTGCTTCACCGACACCAGTGGCCAGGTCCTCAGTGCACGTGACCACAGCACCGCCGCAGCACGCGGCAGCAACGAGCATCTTTCACGAGGACGCAAGACCCCAAGGCCCCCACAGATGGCCCCCACGCCAGCGCCCCGAGGGGCTGCCGGGCTCACCTGAAGGTCACCGGGGAGACCCTGCCCATGAGGGCGTAGGCGGAGACGCTCTGCAGGTGGAACAGCACGCCGTCCAGCAGCAACAGCAGCAGCGCGTCCTGCGTGTAACGGAAGCTCTTCCCGCTCCTGCCCATCACTGGCAAGTCCTGCGTGGAGGCATGCGCAGCAGCGCTCTGTGGCCGCCCTCCAAGTCCCGGTCACCCCAGGGGCAGCGTCTCAGGTGTCTAATCAGTGAGGCCAACAGGTGGGTGCTGCCAACAGCCTTCGGCCGTGGCAACCAAATGGCGCCTCCCGAGACCTCAGCCCGGCAGGCACAGGTGGCCAGCGCGCACACGGCCCGAACCCCCTGGTGCTGGTCCACAGGGGGCTGCAGCACAGACCACCGACCACCCACACGGACGGCCGGCTTCAAAGGAATGAACCAAAACCCGCCAAAAGCAAGTGCTGGTGAGGATGCGGGGAGGTCAGGACCCTGGGCACTGCTGGTGGGAGCGCAAGGTGGCGGGGCCGCTACTCAGAGGTAACGTCCAGCCCCCGTGGACCCTGGGGGGGTCCACCTCCACTTCTGGGCACGTCCCCAAAAGAAGGGAAACCAGGGACTCAAACAGTTGTGTGCACCCCATGCTCACAGTGGCCAAACGCAGAAGTGACCCAAATGTCTGCGTACAGATGGACACACGAAATGTCACCCAGATCACACCCACACCCACACACACAAGAAACACTGTCTGTCCTTAGAAGGAAGTGAGCCGTGACACGCACTACAACGTGGACGGACCCAGAGGATGTCACACCACGTGACACAAGCCAGACATGGAAGGACAGAGACTACGTGACTCCACTCTCAGGACGTCCCTGGAGGACTCGGACCCACGGACACAGAGCAGACAGTGGTGCGGGGGCGGGGGCAGGGTGGGGAACGTGTCGTGGGGCCGGGGGTGCAGTTCGGGGGGATGGAAGGTTCTGGAAGGCGGCAGCTGCACGACAAGGCAGACGTGCCTGCAGCCACCTGACAGATCTGCACCAGTCGTTCCGACTGCTGCCCACACGGGCGGGTGGGGAGGACGAGGGGCCCGTGGCCCGTACCCCGTCTGGTGACCTTCCGCCCCACTGACTGCTCTGCAGCGGGCACGTGTTACTGCAAAATAAAAAGGCCTGCCCCTGACCGCTGTGACTCAGGGGGTTGAGCTTTGTCCCGTAAATCGAAAGGTCATGGGTTCAACCCCCGTCAAGGCACATGCCCAGGCTGTGGGTTCGGTCTCCTGACGGGTTGCACATGAGGCAATGGATCAATGTTTCTCTCCCTCCCTTTCTCCCTCCCTTCCCTTCTCCCTAAAATAAACAATAAAAATATTTTTCAAAGAGCAAATGAGCCTAAACGCCCTCATGTGAAAATCTCAGGAAACTCCCACAGCCCCGATCAGCCTCTGTGGGTGTGACTCCGCCCCCGGGACCGTCCAGGCCTGACTCTCACTTCCCGTCCCTTCTCCTTGGGGGACCTGACTCGGCCACCCAGGCACCCCCGCGGCCTGGACATGAGCGAGCTCTGCTCCCAGACTGTGAAGACGGAGGCAGCCCAGGGCCCGGGGCCCTGCCCGGACTCACCATGAAGAAGACCCAGGCAGGTACCAGCATGGCCATGGCCGCGGCGCTTGTGTAGAACTGCAGTTCGGTGGCCCTGCGGGGACGACGGGGGTGCCTGGGCGAGAGCCTAACCGGGGCGGACCAGACTGAAGTTCCCCCGCCACCCACCGGACGACAAGGAGGGCCATGCATGCCCGAGCCAACCCGCACGGCCATGGGGGCACCCGTCAGGGAAGATGGGGTTCTTCTGCCCCGTTTCAACCAGGCGCCACTGGAGGCCACCAGAGCCAAGGCACAGGGGGTACCGGTGTCCAGGCACTGGAGTCCCTTGGCCCGGAGCGCTGTGGTACTTACGAGAACCTGTACTTGTCCCCACTGAGCAGCTTTTTTGAGAAAACATTTTGCAAACTAGAATAAAGAAAAGAAGACGTTTCTCGTCAGCACCGGAAGCCAGCACGAACCCCCACAGGGACCAGGAATCTGCGTCCCCCCTGAACTGCGCAGGCAGCGCCGGCAGCGCCTCGAGGATGGCACGGGCGCCACTCGGTGCTTCTTGGGCATCACTGCACCTTGGCAAGCACCGACCGTCCTGCCTCACACCGCGGGCAAACTGCGGTGCTCAGAGGTGGGGCGATGTGCCTGAGATGGCCCAGCTCCGAGGTGTCAGAGGACCTCAAGTTCCGGCCTGAAGCAACGCACAAACCCCACTGTGAACCAGGGGTTCCTGAACTCAGTGACCGCCTCGGACGGGCACCCCCACGTGGGGCCAGCAGCCACAGCAGCCACAGCAGGCACAGGAAGGCCCCAGGAGCGGAGCAGGGACAAACCCCAAACGGGACAGGCCGTGTGAGAGACACGCACACGGCCAGCACCTCGTCCCGGGACCCCAGGGGGCTGCTCTGTGAGCAGCAGTGGGTTGCTGTGTTTCATTGTGACGCGGAACCTGGGCAGGGACGGCGCCCGACAGAGACTGTCGCTGGTGGACCTGGAAGCGAGTTGTTTTGGAGACCTGGCCAGCACAGGCCAGCAGCCTCTCTGCCCGAGCCGTCTCCGGGCCCTTCCAGGAGCCACCAGACATCAGAGACCGCGGGGAGGCCCCAGCGACTCAGACCAAAGGCTCCCAGGGCGTCCGTGGGGGCAGAAGGTGGACGAGGAGCTCGCGGCCGGGCTGTGATGCTCCCAGGAAGCCCTGAGCTCACCCGCCTGGTGGTCACTGGTGGCCGGTCCCGTTTCTAGGAGCCCAAAGGCAGAGGGTGACGCCCCCAGTGTTACAAATGGAATGAAGGAGGTTTTACTTTTTCGCAGCTGAGTTACTCAAAACCTCAGGCTGAGCCATCTGACTTTAGAGGTGACAGTGGTGACGAACTCTGGCACCCACACTGTCATCTCCTCTTCCCTCAGAACCAGGACAGCCCCGGGGGTGGCCACTGATTCTGAAATACGAGGCAGCGGGTGGCGGGCTTTGCCGACTCGCCGCATGAGGCAGGGCGCCGGGGGCCGGGGCTGCGGCGGCACCTGCAGGCCAACCACGCCCCCCCCCCCAGCGTGTTTCAGCGTCGGACCACGTCTCCGCACCTCACCAGGGAACCTACTGCTCTGCTCTCTCGGAAAAGGCAGCACCAGGCGTGCTGAGTGCAGCGTGGCGGGGAGGAGTTCGGAGCCGCCACCGGGGCAACCGTGTCCCTGCCGCCCGGGACTCACCAGTCCATGATGTTGGTGGACAACGCTGCCGAGAACCCCAGGACATTGAAGCTCATCTCTGTGGCCGTGCACAGCGCCAGGCCGCCCATGACGGGGACGAGGGACAGGTTGACCAGCAGCCCTGAAAGGATGAGACAGAGGCTGGCTGTGGCCGGCCTGTCAGGTGCAGATGCCCGTCTAGGGCCCACGGCTGCTCTCTCCCTCCGCAGGGGAGCGGTGGACTTTTGCCTAAACCCAGACCCAACTGGTGTCGGCCCCTCTGGTGTGCGGGAGGGCAGCCGAGGAGAGAGAGAATGCCTAAGGCCCCCCACGACGAGCTCTGCCGGGCCTCGGGGACATGGGGCCCCACGTCTGCTCCCGTGCCAGTGAGGAAGACATGGGCCTGGGTTATTTACTAAAAAGTGAAACTTGGGGGGTGAGCATGGCATTCATTCCTGCTTCACTCCGAAACGCAGAGCACGTTGAGGGGGTGGTAAAAACACTGTTCGGGTGGGGACAGCGCATTCCCAGGGAAGGGCACCACTGGTGGGGGCGCCCGTTCTGACCCCAGAAGCAGCAGCCGGCTCGCTCTGATGCTCAGTGTGGGTGAGGGGCCACGCTGCTTGTGTCTGGCAACAAGGAACATCCATCCACAGACTCCCCCCAACAGCCTCACGGGCCGCGGTCCAGTCCTCATCCCAGGACGGTGCCGCCTGAGCCCACCGCAAGGTCCCTGGGAGGCGGTCAGTCAGATGGCAGGCCGAGCGCCTGAGCAGGGAGCCCGGAGCCAGGGGTCTGTGCCTGCTGCCGACCCACCCTGGCCTTGGCCCTGCCCTGTGTGATGGACAGCACATGTGGCCCAAGAGGGCACAGATCTGTGCGCCTGCGCCCGCTCGGGTGACACCCTCACCCCAGGGCTGCTCCCTGGACCCGGCGAGACGGCTCTGCCCACCCCCAGCCTTTGCTGGCAGACGGCAGGCACTGCTCTGCGTGGCCCTCAGCCCGGACACCGCTGCTCCTCAAGTCCTGGCACCACAGCTGCCCCCTCCCCAGTGCCCCTGACAGAGCTCTCGTTGCAAATTATCCTCAGCAAGGCAAGCTGCTAAGCAGGAAGCCTGGCCCCAAGCGGGCAGCCAGACTGGGGCGTTCAGGGCTGCTGAACACGTATCTGTCCTGGCTGAGCAGCCGGGCCCGAGCTTTGGTTTAACCGCACTGCCATCGGCGAATGGCCAGTTGCAGGGAGTCCAGCTGTGTCCTAATCCCCACGGTGGCTCCTCCGCCCCCAGGCAGGCACTTGCCTTGTTGTGAGGGACCGTGTCCCCCACACTGAAGCAAACCTGCCCTCAGAGGAGAGGTGTGCACAGCGCCCTCGTGTGGCCCAGGCTTGTGCCGTGGGGCTGCGGTGGATGCTGTTCTCCAGGAGGCCGGCCGGCCGGAGGACAGGCGTGCATGCACCTTGCGGCTGCAGGCAGACTGCCTATCTTGAAGGCTGGAGAGACGGACATATGTCCGCTTTGCTGGACCATGGGGAGGACGGGGGCAGTGAGACTCAGGGGAGAGTGATGGCGGGGGGGGCTGGAAGGACTCCGGAGGCGCGGGCTCCAGGGTGAAGGTGCATTGGGGCTGCCCTCCCTGCAGTGGGGAAGGCGCCTCCCTTCCTGGGATGGGTGTTGCACTGAGGTTACCTGCTTGTCACTTTCCCTGGCCCAGCCCCCTGACCTCAGCCTGTGTCAGCAGCCCATCCAGCCAGGCGTGGGGTGGGGGCAGCGGCAAGCACCCAGAGGACCGCTCACCCGTGTATTCTCCCAGGATCATCCGCGACATGATGACAGTGAAGATGGGGGCGGAGCTCTTCACTGTCTCAGCAAACGACACTGCCACGTTCTTCAGGCTGACCAGGCCCAGGACCACTGTGGCGAACCTGGACGTGAGCGGAGAGGCATGCCGGGATGGAGCGGTCCTCGAGGCGCCCTGCACCAGACTCCAGGGGGCCAGCCCGGATGGGCCGCATGCCTGGCTCCCCTGGCCCCGTGCCATGCTGGGTCCGGCCCTGTGTTCAGTGAACGGCTGTCCTGCCCGCGGGGAGGCCGGAGGCTGCCGGATGGCCGGAGCGTCGGCCCCAGGAGGTGCAGGACTCTCCAACCAGTGACTGTTAAATTAGTTGTGTGGGTGTTCCAGAAACCCTGACACATGTGTGTGACACTCAGATTCACAAAACCAGGTGCTTCAGTCGTTCTGAAATGCAGACTCTTGTGAGTTTGTCTTGAAAACCCACCCTGGGTCCCCTAGCGATGGCATCAGCCAGCCGGCGAAGGCATTTTAAGTACCAGGTGCGAAGGCCCCAGACCTGCGCCTGCACCCGGGGCCGCTCACCTCATGAGGCCCACGAACAGCATGGTCATGGCGAAGTGGGGTGGGTAGGAGAGCCGGGCCTTGTGCTGGTGCAGGCAGCACGGCACGAACGTCTTCAAGCCCCCGATGCAGGTGGTGGACAGCATCTGCACTGCGCCTGCGGGGGACGGCGACACGGCAGGGCGCTCACTGTGGCCGAGGCCTGGGATGGCAGCGCCCGTGCCCCCCGCTGGCCTGCCCCCCGCCCCGGCCGGGCGGCCCACTCACCCAGCATGCCGGGCTCGCCCTCCAGCAGGGACAGGATGTACTTGTTGAGGAAGAGGGTGCAGAAGCTGAGGAAGAACCAGAGCGTGAGGTAGAGCAGAGCCCGAGAGCTCCACACGCCCAGGTCCGCCTCGATGACTGTGGTCTCGGTGATGGTGACAGCGAGCACGCCCTCCTCCGGAGTGCTGTCGCTCTTGGCAGAAATGATCTTCTCACTCCTGTGGCCGAACAGGGAGCCCCAGCCGAGGGGCGGCTTTCCACGGGGCTTCTCCTCCGGGCCCGAGGCCGCCTCTGCCGGGGGTTTTGCAGGTGCCGCCATGGTGACCCAGCAGGCGCGGCCTTATCTCTGGCCGGGTGACCTCAGGTGGAAGGATGGAGGCTGGGCCTGGCCGCCAGCTGTCAGCAAGCCACCAGCAGAAAGCGGGAGCACAGCTGGCGGGTGAGGAGAGTGAGCACGTTACTCGTGTGGCGTTCAGCACCCGAGCATCGTCACCACCAACCTGACATGTGACTGTGGACCCGCCTGACACCCCTCAGAAGGCGGCCCTGACGACTCTGGGTCCCTCCTCCCCCAGGCTGTTGAAAGAGAAACCTCCGCCCCTGCCCCCAGCAGGCCAGGGTGCCTGCTCCTCCCAGCCGCTCCCCAGGCTTGTGGGCCTCGGGACCCTGGCCCTGGAGCCTCCGCCGGGGCTGCTCTGCCTGCGGCCGCCCAGTTCAGCCCAGGCCCGGCCTCTCAGGAAAGCCTCCCTCCAGGCTGAGTTCTCATTTCGAGGCCCCTGAAGCACCAGGTCACTTTCACAGCATTTGTCACTGTGCCCCAGGGCTGCTGCTGGGCTCCCAAACCAGACCTGGTGGCAGGTGCGGACACCCAGGTGCAAACCAATGGGACGGTGAGGGCGGGGGCTGGCACTGCGGCCGGAGCACCAGGTGCTGAGCTCACGCTGCCTTGCAAGTGCAGCCAAGCGGGGGTCACAGCGCCAGCCCCCCAGGCAGGGCCCCCGCAGTGCTGCCAATGCGCCCAACTGGCCCCGGGTGCAGACATCCCCTCCAGACAGAGACGGACACAATGTGACCATCAAGTGTCACTGTGGGTGGCAGGGAACAAACAGGGAAAGAAGAGGAAATCAAGTGCTTGGCCCAGGCCAACCTCAGTGATGCCCGCCGGCCGGGCCCAGGGGCCAGACATTGTCACAAAATCTGCTTTTGGATGGGGCTGGACGTGGCATTTTCTGTTGGTGGCAAAACAAAAGTGAAGCACAGCCTGAGTGTCCGTCTGCGGGGGCACAGAGTGCGGTGTGCCCTTGGGCGGCGCCACGTCGACGCCGAAGAGACCGGTGTGGCCAGAGAGGTCACGGAGAAAAACGGGCAGTGCCGCGGCACAGATGCCGGTGGGCAGGCCCTACACGCTGCTTAGAAACAACAGTGCCGGCCCCGGCTGGGGCGGCCCAGTGGACTGGGTGAGGGTTTGCGAACCAAAGGGTTGCCGGTTCAGTTCCCGGTCAGGGCACACGCCTGGTTTTGGGCCAGGTCCCCAGCAAGGGGTGCAAGAGGCAGCCACACATTGATGTTTCTCTCCCTCCCTTCTCTTGTTTCTAATAATATATAAATAAAAATTTAAAAAGGAAACAGAAGCAAGAGGGAGTGGAGCCCACGGCCGTCACATCTCCAGGGTCACGGGACGGGACGCAGCGTGGACACATGGCAGAGCGCTCGTCCGTGTGGGCGGGCCGCGTGCTCTTTCCCACTCGCTCTGCGAGGCCTAGAGCCTCACCCAGAAAAGCCCCCAACTTAACTCTGGGCCCCATTTCAAACTGGTTGCCTTGGGAGGAGGGGAGGAGGGGAGGAGGGGAGGGGGGGAGGAGGGGAGGAGGGGAGGAGGGCAGGGGGCGGGGCAGCACCTCACTTCCCGGCTGACCAGACTGGCCTGCGCCGTGGCCCGAACTGTGGGCGCCCAGAGCCCACCCCAATCAGGGTTCGGCAGCAGTGGGACAGCGTGGCCCCTCCGCCACCTGCGGGAGCAGCCATCGGGCCTCCGGAGCGGGCCCAGCAGGGGTCGCGACCCGGGTGCAGCCCCTCAGTGATGGACACCCTTCCCACCCCACGTCCAGAGCAGGGCCCAGTGAGCTCTAGACAGGCACCGGCCCCCCAGCCCCCGCCCTTTGGTGACTCGAGACCCTGCACCACAGCCCACCCGCTCGGGGACGAGCTGCTGTGACGACTGAGGGACAGGCCAGCACAGGGAGGGCAGCCCCTACCTGGCCTCCACGTCCAGCCAAGGCGACGGCTCTTCCTGGGCAGCGGAGGGGACAGGAGCCACAAAATCCACACAGTTTCCGTCTTGCGTCCACGTACTTCTGAGGTCACACTGAAGGCTCAGAACGGCTTAAAAAGTAAGTGGACACTGGTCACCTAGCTCCTTCCTGACAAGACACTGCACTACAGCCAAGCCTCTCTGGTTGCCTGTTGGTTTGCTTCTTTCAGCAGAAACCCACCGGGTCCAGGCCATAAAGGAGGAGGAGCCCTCTGTCCCTCCAGGTCTGAGCCCAAGAGGAATCTTCTTGGGGACTGGAACGAGCAAAGCCCAGCAGCCTCAGGATGTCTAGTCAACCTGTGGCCACAGGCGAGGAGTGAAGGCAGGAATCCAACTGGGGAAGCAAAGGTGGAGGAGTCTGCAGCGCAGCCCCTGGGAGATGCTACCATAAAAAAATAACCAGAAAGGGCCAGCAGGAGCCAGACAGCCAGAGCTGGGCAGGGGCCTCCGGCTCTGCCCTGAGGGTAGACAGGCAAGAACAGACAGGCTTCAGGCCCCCCCCCCCCACAGAGGCCCCGCCCACCACCCACCTGCCCCACAGGCTCAGGCCCAAGGGCATTTGCAGGTAAAGATCAAAAGGAGGGTCAAAGATCCCAGATCTCCGGGGGTGGCGGCAAAGGCCTGAGAGGGGGGCAGGGACACAGGGATAAGCACCCTTCACCCTGGAGAACGTGGCAGACCTCCCGACCCACAATCAAACCAGGAACAAGCCAGGTGGCACCGTTTCTGTAACCGAGGCCGTGGGAAGAACTGCCAGGTGAACCCAACAGCCTGCTGGCTGCTCAGAACTGGAGGGGACCAAGGGGACACGAGCCCCTAATCGATGTGGGGTCCCAGACAGGACAGGGACTCAAATGGGGCGCCAGCAAATGAGCTAACAGTATTCTCTCCCTGTTCATCTCCCAGTGTAGCTCATGCTGAGGTGACACGCGGGGAAGTGGGCAGAAGGCTATACAGGTAAACCTGGCAACTCTTCTCGAAAGAAAAAGTGTGAAAAGGTTAGAAATTACAAAAATAACTCAGTTGTGGGTTAGAAAAGACAGAGCTGAATGAAGTGTTGGCGTTTGAAGAAACATCCGAGGGACTTCACGGACACACGTAGAGAATGAATCAACGTGTTAAAGAGACGAAACCAGAGTGCGGAGGAAACTGTAAGAACTGAAGTTCCAGGAGGAAAAGATGGGGAAGGCGGGCTACGGACAGAGGGAAAGAGGCAGAGGACAGACGGACGGCATGGGTCCTGGAGTCACAACGCGCTCTCGGCGCGCTCAGGAAGTGACACCCTTGCGCAGGCGTGCTGTGATGCAGCCCAGGATGGCAGGGCGCCCGCCGGCCAGCACACTGGGCTTGGAGGTGCATGGGCAGAAGGCAGTGCCTGTCCATACAAAGGGCAGGACAGGGTGGGGAGGGCTCTCGGGTGCAGCTTTCTAAATGGTGATGACCCCTGGCTGCTGGGGCTCAGTGGACCGAGTTCCGGCCTGAGAACCGAAAGGCCATCAGTTTGATCCCCAGTCAGGGCATCCTGAGGCTGCGTGGACAAGTGGAGCAACACACTGACGTTTCTGTTTGAAGTCACTAAATAACGTAGAAGGTGTGTATTAACTATGTACTGCTTAGTAGTTAGCAAACCCCACCACACTTGGCATCTTAAAACAAAAGCCGTTTATGATTTCACAGTTTCTGTGGGTCAGGAATTGGGGAGCAGCCTTCTGGGGGCTGTGGCTCAGCGTTGCCTCGGCCACAGGGGCTGGGGTCTCATCCAAAGCTGGGGCGGGCGCTGCAGGGTCTGTTGCTGAGCTCACATGCGGCTGCTGGCATTGTTACTCGGGGCCTATGGGGGTGAGCGGCAGGCATCTTCCAGTCCTTGCCTGACAGGGTTCTGCCTGTAGGACCGACCACCATGCATGAGCTGGCCTCAGGGACACCCAGGGAAGCTGAGTCTGTTGTCACCTGTCTCAGAAATGACCTCCACATGCTCACTGCATGGCATCCGGCAGAGGGCGCAGACACCAGGTGTGAACCACGGGGCCAGGCAGTCGACCTCCTCAGTGATCAGGGACACGGACCACAAGCAACGAAACAGCACTCAGCACCCCCCACGGTGGCCGAAAGGGAGCCCCGCCCGCCCAAGGGCAGCTGTACAGGTCAGAGGAACTCACACAGGCCAGTGGACGCACAGGCAGGTGCCAGCACTTCGGGAAATAATTTAACATTACCTTGAAAATATGAAAGCGAATCAAAGGAAGCCTTATTCAGATGGCCCCAGAGAGCCCTAATGGGGGAGCGTAGGCACCGGCCCTCCCAGCTTACTTTACACCCCGCGGAGGAAGGTTTTCTCCTCACCCAGCAACAGCCCAGCCAATGAGAAGGCACCACAACCCGAACTCTCACTCTCCTCCAATGAACACCCTTTGAAGCAGCCTCCCCCCTCCCTCCTCTCCTCCATGAAGAACAGGGCTCGCGGCACCAGCCTGCATGTCCTGCACTGCGGCTCCTCTGCTCCTCCCAAAGAAAGTCCTTTGCTGGTGAAATAACTGGCAATTTCACATTCAGGGCTGAGCAAAGGTGAACACCCTCATAGGAAGCACGGCACACCACACAGCAGACGGAACTTTCTGGAACGCTGGGAACCTGCTGGTCGCCATGCCTGAGGGACCAGACTGTCTGCCCGGGAGTCTGAGCATCGGGACAGTGGAGGGTTCCATGCAGCACGACACTGGACAGCAGTGAAAACGCGCAACATACGGGAAGATGTGGTCAGAGCTGGGGACACACATCTTCTCAACTCGAGGGCTGAGCGCACGAAGCCGGTGTTTACCGCTGGGCCTGGGCCTAGAGTTTAAATCCGGGGCAGAACTGAGCGGTGGGTGCTCTGGGATACAATGGAGCCCCTTGGAGGCCACGCAGGGCACCCGGTGCTGGCGGGAGGGAGCTAGGCTCAGGGGATCTGAGCCCAGAGGGTCCTGCGCACCTCCGCACCTCCGTCCTGGCTGAGTTGCAGCTGCCGTCCCCACTCCGGGGCGTGTCTTCCCACCACCTGTTTGCTCTCAGCCCACACGGGGTCAGTACCTTTAAGTGAGAGACGGTCCCTGTCCCGCAAAAGACCGAAGGTCAGTGGCCCTGACCTGACAAAGAAACAGGGACTTGAGCCAGCAGCTGACCGGACCTGTGACCACCTGGAGACGGGGCACAGCCGGCCGGACACACGGAGCACGTGCAGCACAGGCCACCCACCAGGTCCGATTCCCTCCCTATCAGATGACACACAGGACGAGCACCAAACCGACCGAACTATAAGCTTTCCTGCCCAGCATGGAGTTGGCAGCGGATGAGCAGCCCTGGCTGGGCCCGCGCCTGCCTCCTCACCTGTCTCCTGCCAGGGCCCGTCCTCAGAAGAGTGTCCACCTGCAGGGCGCAGAGGAAACTGGGTCCACTGAGAAGTGACATCACAAGAAGCGAGCCTGTGATGTCCTCACTGCACTGACGTGCTGCCTGGCACCACACGGCCCCGGCAGGCGCGGCGTGCACCAAGGTGCAGGGCTGGCGGGCACACTTGCCACTGAAGGGAGCTAGGTGAAATAAAGACGCCAATTTTTCCTTACCCAATTGTGCAGACCCCTAAATTCTAGGGCCATGTGGCCCAAGGTTAAGAATCCCTAATCCATGGCCCTGGCTGGTGTAGCTCAGTGGATTGAGTGCGGGCCTGCGAACCAGACAATCGCGGTTCGATTCCCGGTCAGGGCACATACTGGGGTTGCAGGCCAGTTCCCAGCAGGTCAGTTCCCTGCAGGGGACGCATGAAAGGCAACCATACATTGATGTTTCTCTCCCTCTCTCCTTCCCTTCCCCTCTAAAGATAAATAAATAAAATCTAAAAAAAGAAAAAAAAAAAGAATCCCTAATCCAGCCCTGGCTGGTGTGGCTCAGTGGATTGAGCACCAGCCTGAGGGATAAAGGGTCACTGGTTCGGTTCTCAGTCATGGCACATGCCTGGGTTGTGGGCCAGGTCCCCAGTGGGGGCGTATGAGAGGCAACCACACATTGATATTTCTCTCCTCCTTCTCCTTCCTATCCCCCTCTCTAAAAAGAAATAAATCTTTAAAATAAGTAAATAAAACAGGAGTGTTTTTTTTTTTTTTTTAAGAATCCCTACTTTAGAACAACTCAGGGTGTTCTCAAATGCCAGGTGAGAAATCTTATATTGTTTCTGACTGTCGGCAGAGCACTTGGTACAGCGTGCAGACTCCCGGCCCTGTGATTCAGAAAGCCCGCCTCTGGGGATGTATCCTAATGAAGCGCAGCAACAAAGGTCCCTGCTTGGACACAGGGACATTCAAACAGCTGTGCGGTTAAGGCTCAGAAACTGGGCACTATCCAAGTGTCCAGTAGGAATCTGTAAGAGCTCTGGCAGTCACTGTGACACACCGCAGCCCTGCCAAGTGTTAACAAAGTCGTATCTGTCACAGATTGGGAGCAGAGTCCCACGAACTCTGTACGATTTGCTCCGCATAAAGAGTACAGAAGGTTCAGAATGTGCACGAGTCACCAAATATTATGGTCAGCCCGGGGAGGTGAGTCAATCTGTTAAAATTTTGTTCTTTGGCTTTTATCTATTTTCTAATGTCTACATTGAAAACAGATTTCATTTAAAAACTTTCTATTCCTTCTTAATGTCTCTTTTCATGCTGACATTGTTTCCTACTGCTTTAAGATGTTACTTTCAAGATACAAGTTTAAATATTCCCAGTAACTTTACTGAAATTTATATGACCTCCATTTAAAAAAAAAAAAAAAGGCCACTGAACAAAGCTTCTGCCTCTAAATAGAATTTTTGTTTTCTAGAGCAGCCTGAATGTGAACAAATTCTCCAGGGAACCAGTACAGGAGCAAGGGTGTCACCTGGACATCCACAAACCCAAACCCAGTTAAAGAAAAATCACGGCCCTGGCTGGTGTAGCTCAGTGGATTGAGCACGGACGGGCCTGCGAACCAAAAGATCGCAGTTCGATTTCCCATCAGGGCACATGCCTGGGTTGCAGCCCAGTTCCCAGCAGGGGCCAGTTCCCAGCATGGGATGCAGGAGAAGCAACCATACATTGATATCTCTCTCCTTCTCTCCTTTCCTTCCCTTCTAAAGATAAATAAAGAAAATTTAAAAAAACCCACAAGGACTGCACGACAGTGGAAGCTCTGGGCCTGCGGGGAGTTACCTGGGGAAGCAGCAGCAGCTGGAATCAGCCACGGCAGTGGCTCGACCCTTAGAATTATGGCTTTCTAAAGCACCAGGCGGGAAAGTCACCGAACGCAATGGATTCATGAGCAATCGTGACCTTTGGCTCCTGAACGGAGGAAGTGGCTGCACCTGCCCCAGGGCCATATCCACCTCTGGGGCATCCTGGTGCCCAGGTTTAAAATGCCGTTAACTCCTATGACTGTGATGCACCTGACCTTCACTGCCCCTCCCCCCTTCGTCCGGGTGCCCAGACTGTCCCGCCCCAGCTGGGTCCCCCACCTCCACAGCGGGAACGGAGCGGGAGGCTGGCGCCATCCAACTCCACGGTGTACCCTCCCCATCCAGAGCAGAGGCCTCGAGTCCGGTGCATGAGCGCCCCAGGGCCCAGTTGTGGGCTCGGGTGCGGCCTGCCAGGCTTGGGCTGGAGATGGGACGGCTTCTCCCCAAGATGAAGGCGCTTGAAAAAGGGCAGAATGGGGCGGGACGGAGAATCAAGAACAGCCCTTCTCTGCCCGCAAGGTTAGGGTTTCTCGGCGGAGGGGGCAGCCCCGGGGTGAGAGGGGGCGACAAGAACATGAGCCCTGGGGTTGGCGGACTCGAGCGAGGGCAGTGTCCGAAGCGCCGCGGCTAGGAACGGACCAGGGCGCTAGATTTGGTCCCGAGGACCGTGACAACCGGAGGCAACCGTTGTCATTTGCTTTATTCAGCGTTTTCCTCGTCCATCGGACACTCACACGGAGAGAAACGACCCAGACAGGGTGCGCATCACGAAAGCTGCTCCCGACCAGGGCCCGTACTCTATTGGGCTGGGGCGCCTTCCAGGGACCCCAGGGGCATCCCGGTGGCATCGATGGCGCCATTAACCCGGAAAGCGGGCCAGGGGTCCGCCCTCTAGCAGGAAGACGTCTCCGCCCCTAGCGCGCCTAAGGAGGAGGCCCCACCACCCACCGGCGGAGAGGCTGCGCAATGACAGCCAGTGCGGGGTCTCCTTGCTCATCGTGGGTGCCGGGAACTGTTCTGCGGACATCGATGGAGGCCGGGCCGCTCGCTGTCGCGCACGAAGAGCCCACTCGGGCCCTCGGACTCTCCTGGCCCTGCTAGCCAGGCTGGGAGGCGGCCCGTCAGCCTCCGGGGAGGGCCGTGGGGGGCGTGGCCCGCGAGGAACTCGTCACTCGGCTGGCGCAGCGCATGTCTGACTGCGGTCGCCCGGGCCCCACGTCGGGGACTTAAGGGCGCGCGGCATTTAAGGTGTGGACGCCGGGAGCTCAGGGAGCAACGCGCCGGCTGAGGCTTGCCTGGGCGGGGTTCCGCGGGACTTACGGGGCGGGAGGGCCTATCGCGGATGCGGAGAAGGCCCCGAGCAGAACCCCCGACCCGAGCGGAGCCTCGGGCGGCCAGTTCCGTGGGAGGAGGGCGGCGAGGCCCGGCGCGCAGCGCCTCATCGAAGGGCGGGCAACGTCCCTCCGCCCTACTCTGCGCCGGCCTGAGAGGGCGGGGCCCACCGCGGGCGGAAGTGCTTGGCCTGCCAGGAAGTGACGTACAGGAAGCTGCTGCGCGTCCGTTTCCGCTCCCTGGGACCTTCTTAGTAGTTTAGATTTCCCCCTAATGCCCAATGGAGTCAGGGTTCTGGGGAGCTGAGCGGACGACCGCGACTCTACCGCAGCCCATTGTCACGGCCCGGACGGTATCACCAATCAGCTGGGGTCCAGCCAGTAGACAGCGGCATGTGCTTCTAAGCCTAAGGGGCTGTCGTTGAGTTTTGGTTTCAGGGGAAAGCCAGTCCAGCCAAACGAGGCCTACGGTCGTGTCCCCATTATCCGTGGTTTCACTTGTCACGCTCTCATTTACCCGAGGTCGTCCACGGCCAGGAAATATTGAAAGGGAATATAAGAAATAAGCAATTCATGTTTTAAATTGCAGGGCGTTCTGAGTAAGCTAGTCGTCCATCGTCAGATCCACAGGCCCGGCGTTGCTGGGGTTGTGTTCGCCCCCATTTCCGGTCGTGACTGCCCCGGAGCGCAGGAGCGCTGAGCTGGCAGTGCGGACACGCCGCAGAGAGGCCGTCGTGCGCTCAGGTACCAGGCGAGTGCACAAGAGAAGGGCTGGCGCCGGCTTTTCCTGGCGGCCAGAAGACCGGACTGGGCCTGAAAATGAAAAAACGTACAAAGTAGCCAAGTGAGATTGGTGTTTCAAACGTACTACTCACAACTTTCAGGACTTGTCCTGAATGTGTGGGAGCCCTTGCGCTCCCCCGTCCCCCGCTTTGATAGGCTTCTCATGCCTGGAAGGTCAAGTCCCAGAGGTCAACAGCCTTTGTGGGGAAGAGGGATCCTGGGGGCCAGGCCCCCACTCTCAAAGTGGGTGTTCTGCCACCGGAGGGGACCAGGCTCAGCCTGAGGTACACACACCAAAACTCTGGGTGCCAGCAAGCAGACTGCTGCAGTCAGCAGGCTCGAAAGTGGTGTCTTGCAACCCGGCCAGGTGTCTGCCTACAGGGGCATCAGGGCCACCTCCCCAGCCAGCAGACATCTCCCATCCTCACAGGAGGGTGACGTGTCCCAGAGTGAGACTCACTTGTGATTTGACAGGCAGAGCAGTGGACACTGGGGCAGGAGAGGCTGGCTGGCCTCCAGAGCTGGCCCAAGGGGCAGAACAGGGACGGGGGACTTGATGCCAGCTGACGCAGAGCCTTTGCTTACGACTGCCCTGAGGGTGACAACGGCACATGTGGGTGGGCCTTTGGCTTCTGGGCTCCATGTTGACACGTGTCTGCAGCACCCAGGTGGGTCCCAGCAAAGCTGTGCCCCACACCCCACCGGCAGAACCAGGGAAGGAGCAGTGGAGGTGCTCTAGGGTCTGTCCCAAAGCCCCAGTCAACTCCAAATGGCCTGGATGGAACCGGGTGAGGGCCCATGGGCCTGGGGGACCGAGGCCTCTCAGCCCCTCCCCACAGAACCACACCCTTAGCAGGTCCTTTCTGCCCAGGATGGCTATATGTGAGGCCCCACACAAAAGCGGAAACTTTTTTTTTTTTACCAGTTTTTGTTAGTGTATGTGTACTTAATGTATGACACAGGACAACTCCTCTTCCAGTGTGGCCCAGAGATGCCAAAACACTGGCCACCCCTGTGAGGCCCTGCATGCAAGCCCCTTGGGGGGAGACACCTGCCCAACCCTGGGCCTGCCAGTGTCCACAGCAAGGCAGACAGCACCTGGGGCAGGACCCCGCCTCCCCCCCCACGTGCCCAGAGCGTGAGCTCTGGGGGACCCAGCCCCCTGCCTGTCTTTGGGGTGGTTACAAAGAACCAAAGAAAGGTATCGACCCAACTCTTAAAACAAGTGTATTTATTGAAAGGATCTGAAAATAGTAATAAGGCTTTCAACAACATTTAATAAATTTTAAGAGTATTAACAATATGAAACATTAAGAATTTACTTCAAAAGAATCCAAAGCGTTCTCGATCACCCCCCCGCCCCGCTGCTTCAGGCCTGGGCTCACACTTGCCTTTCTGTCTAAACAAGTGATCGTGTCCAAATGCCACACTTCTGCCCCTGAAGCCAGGGGCTGGGTGCATGGGGGACAGTAAGAGCACACCTCCAGGTCTAGCGCCAGGCACCGCCGCGCTCCAAACGCTGAGGTGCCTCAACAGGGACAAGGGAGGGGACGGCACTTCATCACTTGCGGACGATGGAGATGGTGCTCTGGCTTCAGGGCCAGTGCCTCGGCGACCCAGCCAAGGGTGACCGAATGCATGGCCCTGGGCGCCTTCATACACGCACAAGATCAGGGCACGTGTCCCCCGAGTGGGCATGGCACAGCCCCACACGTCACTGCCGACGTGAGGCCCAGGGAGGGCACCCAGCCCTTCCCTTTGCCCCAGTCTGGCAGGTGAGCTCACTGCTCAGGGCGACATCAGTGAACCGGAACAGGCCTGGGCTTTGGGTGGCTGCTGGGTGAGGGGCCAAGGCCACGTGCAAGCCCAGCCTGGTCTCCAACCCAGCTCCACACCAGCTCCAGCCCCACATGACAAACTCACATGCATGTGCTCGCACTTGTTCAGGCACCAGGCCAGGAGGAGCAGTGGCTAGAATGACCGGCTGTCCCTGTAGCCCAAAGACCCGTGTGAACACCACCACCCCCATCTCCACACCAGCTGGCTTGTAACAACTGAGAAGCCACATGGCTTCCCAACTGAGACCCCCCCACAGTGGCCATGCCGGACTGGACAGATGGTCCCATGCCCCTCACACAGAACAAACACAGAATGTGGCTCGGCTTCAGGCCGGTATTGGGCCTTCTCTCTGAAATCACGTTCCGAGTGTGCAGGACAGAATGCGGACACAGCAGGTCACAGAGTCTGAGAGTCCAGAAAGTTCACACAGGGTTGGAAATGCCTTCCAGCCTGTGGGGGTGCGGCTCCGACGCATGAGGAATGTGTGTGGGCTGACCTCTCACCCAGCCAACACCAGGCTCACGGGCCACGGTGTGACGCTCTGCTGCCCTGTGATGCCAAAGCAGGGGGTAAAAGGGCCCGGGGACCGCATGGGAGGGAGGGGACCTGTCTGCCTGCCACCCTGCACTCGCTTCCCAGCAGCTCTTCAGCTGCCGTCCCCCAGAAAGGACGGAGGGGCAGGTGCAGGGCTGGGGAAAGCGTGTGGCTGGAGGAAGCCCTCTGGCCGTGAGACAGGCACTTCTGCACCAAAGGACGGACCCGCCCCGAGCCCTCTCCACGCAGCAGGCTGATGCACGGAGCTCCCCCAGCAGGAGCTACGAAGGCTTGGGGTCCCCAGCGACAGGTTCCGGCGGACACACGGGTGAGCGGCGTGGCTTTCCAAGCTCTGCTTGTCGCTTACTTGGCTTATTTAGAAATGCAAAAAGAGGTCAGATTTAAAATATTAAAAACAGCTGATCTGGTCGACAAAAGGCAGATTCTGGGCTGCTTCTCTGACTACAGACATAAGTGACGTGACAGCTGACGCCCACGTGGGTGTGTGACCGGGGACGACAGGTGTGCAACGGGCACCAGCTAGTCCTCCTCCTCCTCCTCGGCCTCCTCGTCTGCGAAGTGCGCCTGCCGCTTGCGGACGTTCCAGTGCAGACACTGGGCCAGGCTCTCGAACCAGTCGCTCACGGGGTCTCGGACGCAGATGGAGGGGAGCGGGTAGCACGAGGTAGTGATGCTGATGCTGGGGGCGCAACGCCGCACACTGAGCCCTCGCCCGCCCAGCCCACTGACGACCCTCCATCTGCCCGCCCTCACCAGCAAGGAGCCAGCCACGTTGGGCCTGGCTCCTCGGCCTGGCCGAGACCCCAGTGGTGCTGCACATCCTGGTACGGAGCCACACGGCCCACCCCAGTCCCTGGAGGAGACCCCAAGGGGCACGCAGAGGACAAGGGGGCAGAGAAGCCAGGCACCGTACACAGCAACCTGCTAATGGGCGGCCCGACAGGCACGGGCTGCCGGATGTGACAGTGTGAGACAAGGACCCCTCTGGACTCTTGGTGACAAGTTGTGCCTACGGGGCATACGTCACCCATGGCACGGGGACGAGGGCAGCAGGCCAGTACACACCCAACTCCTCACACCCTGTTCCAGCCCACGCCCACCCACCTGTCTCCGTGGCGGATCTCCTGCCTCTTTCGTCCATCCAGGGACACCCAGGCGGTGTTTCTTGCTTCCGGTGACAGCATGATCTGAAGGGGCCAAGCAGGACAGGTGTGGGCTTGTGTGTGTGCAGCCAAGCCCCTCAGGCCCCTGCCTGGGACGGTGGCCTCAGCCGGGGGGAACCGTGAAACCCACTCCAGGCCAAGACCAGTTCCAGGCTGTGAAGGCATTAACAGTTTCTCACTGACATCGGCCCTGAGGGACAGAAGACAGATGTCCACCCAGGCCCAGAGTCTCCAGACACCCACACACAGCTGGAACACACAGCTGGACGGCCAGGCGGCTGGCTGCAGCTTTCTGAGAGTTCTGCACACACAGCCCCAGTCCCCAGAGCTCACCCTGCCCCCACCCAACGTGGACGGGCTGCTTTGTGGGGACGGAGACTATGTCTGGAGGGGCTGGCCCAGCTCCCAACACAGCCCCCCGTGCAATGTGACCTACGGCAGCAGGAGCCCCGAGGACAGAAGGGAGGCCCGTCTGGCACCCGGCAAGGTGCGGCCCACAGCCTGGGGGCACCAGGGTCAGAGGTGGGGGGCACGAGGAGGTGTGGCCACTTTGGGCCAGAGCCAGTGGTCAGTGCCGTCGGCCCCAGGCAATGAGTCAAACCAGAGAAGGTGGAGAAGTGGGCTCTGACCTTCAGCTCGACCCCTGCGGGGACCACAATGGGCCGGAAGGACAGAGAGTGGGGGCAGATGGGTGTGATCATGATGGCCGGCACGTTGGGGTGGATCATGGAGGCCCCAGCTGCCGCCGCGTACGCCGTGCTGCCGGTCGGGGTGGACACGATGACACCTGAGGGACAGGCTGTGGGGTCACTCTCCACGAACCGCCCCGGCCACGCATGCCCAGGGCACCCAGGACAGACCCGACGCCCACATACCATCGCCCTGCACCGTGGTTATAAGGTGCCCGTCCAGGTAGACGTCCACGTTGGACAGGTAGGAGGAGGGGCCTCTGTCGATCACCACCTCGTTCAAGACCTGGGGGACAGGGAGGCCGCCTGCTGAGGGCTGGGCAGCACCTCTGGGTGGGCCTGCCCTACAGGCCTCCGTGCTGCCCCTGGGAGGTCCTGAGGACGGGGTGGGGAGCTTCCCTTGGGGTCCAACGACAGCGATCACGCACCCCTCCCTGGGGGCCCAGCGGAGGCTGTGGCCACAGACCTGGTACTGCAGGACCTGCTTTCCGGCCTCTGCGTCTCGGTCTGAAGCCAGCACCCCGTTCTCACTGACCCCGTTGGGGGTGGCAGTCTTCTTCCCTCTGAGCTCCTTCACAACCTTGACCTTCAGCCGGCTCCGGAGAACAACAGCTGCATTCCCTGGGGGCACAGGCAGGTCACAGCCCCCCCCCCGGGAGCCCTCGCCTCTCTTCCCCCGAAGGGAGGGCAGCACCCTCGCCCTGAGACGCTCCCTGCTGCTCAGCAGAGGCAGTGGCTTCAGCCTGCCCAACGCAGGGACAGACGTCCAAATCAGTCAAAACTCGCAAGCCTCTGAGTCCTGAAGGACTCGAATATTGCTCTGCACACCATTAAAAACCCCAACTCTGGTGGGGTGGGGTGGGGGCCGGATAGGAGGACTGAGCAAAAAACGACAACCACACAAAACTAGGGAGACGGTAAGGCCAGGTCCGGAGTCGCATGTGGGCTCCAGAGCGCGGCAACTCACCCTGGATCACCTGTGTGACTTGGGTCTGAAAGTTCTCAAAGTTGAAGGGGGTCAGGAAGCCCAGGGAGCCCAGGTGGAATGCCATGACTGGAGGCACGCTGCCCTGTGAGACGATGGGGCAACGACTTAGCAGCCAGTCCACCCACAAGTCACCCGACCACAGGTGCCCCAGGGTCGGCGCCTGGCAGGGGTGAGGGGCTGGGCTGACGTGGCGTGACTGCCGAGGTCAGCAAGGCCAGGAGTGGTGGAGAGGGCGCCCTGCCCACTTCCAGGGCCTCTCTAGTGGCCTCCAGGCCTGACCACCGATTGCCCCCTGCAGGAGCCCTGCAGCACTCAGGACAACCCCTGGGCCCCTGCAGACCCCCACCCTCTGGTGCCGCCCAGGGCCCCTCACCCACACCCCGAGAGCTGGCCCGTGCTGCTGCTGGCTCCAGCTCAAAGCACTGGGAGAAACGGGCCCAGCGCCTGGCCAACCGGCCAATCCACAGCAGTGTCTGAGTTAGCACGCCAGACAACTGGCGGCCCTGCGGTGTGACACCGTGGGGTGGCCAACCGGTGGGGGCCCACACCTGGAAAAGCGAGGAGGCGTACAGCAGGGTCCCGTCCCCACCCAGGCAGATGATGAAGTCGATCTGGTTGGAGATGTCGTCATAGTCTAGGGAGCAGAACAAGACCTGCCATCAGAGCCCGCGCGGGGCCGGAGTGCCAGGTGCTCCCACAGGCACAGGCCCCAGGGGCTTGCCTTCTCTGAAGGTGCAGAACTTCTTCTTCACTGGTCCGAAGCTGTCGTCGCCCACGATGGCGGGGTCTTCTAGAACCTTCTTCTCCACATACACAACCATGTCCTTCTCCTGGGGACGGGCAGGTGCGTCAGCCGCACCTGTGCGGCCTCCGGACACTGCCCTGCACCACACACGCCCGAAACGTGGGCCCGGGCCCCTCCGTGACCCTGACACTGCGGTGGGGTCCTGCTCACCTCCATCAGGTACGCACAGAGCTGCTTGAAGGGCCGCAGCAGGCTGGCGTCCCGGATCTTCCTGACGACGAGCACACTCTTCGGGGACTTGCTCCACGTCAGCCGCTGGCTGGCGGGATCCTGGATGTGCCTTTGAGGGGAGAGAAGCGTTCCCACCAGGACGGACACAGCACTCGCACCCTCAACTGCGCCCGTCGGGTCCTGTACGTGCCCCACGGCTGCACTGGCCACGGCCGGAGTGGCCGGCCTCCCTCCCTCCAGGTGCTGGTCTCACCTGGAAGGCCCTGCTCACTCAGGAGCCGAGTCTCGCAGGCACCTGCTGCCTGCCGCACCCACAGCTCACCTTCGAGGTCCCGGCCTCACACTGACGTGTCCCTTTCGTCCCTCAGGCAGCTCCTGGAGCTGCCCTGCTAGGGGCCCCTGGTTCCGTCCCCTCCCCTCGCCCTCACCTCTTCCCCACACACAGCAGAGGGTGTGGCTTCCCACCGACGCCCGGAACGGCAACAGGGGCTGTGCCCTGGAGACACTGTGCACCCTCAGACTGGGCTTCCCGCAGGCGCGTGCATGGGGTGCAGCCCACGCCCAGACCACTGCGCGGGCGACTCAGCTGGCGCGTCCCTTCTGCAGCTGCGGTTGCCCAGTTTAAAGTCGGCAGAAGGGCCTGGGGGCAGTGAGACTCCTTCATGATCATCCCGGGGAGCACGGGTCAGGGCGCCTCTGTGCAAACTGCTGAATGCACAGCACGGAGGGACCCTAATGTAAGGGGTGCCCCTGGGTGACGGTGGCATCTGCTGTGACATAGGCACCCTCTGTGGGGACGTTGAGAGTGGTGGCTGCCGTGTGTGTGTGTGTGTGGGGGGCTGGTGGGAAGTCTCTGTACCTGCCCCTCAACAATGCTGTGAACCCAAAACTGCTCTAACGATGTTTTCAGGAAGCAAGCAGGGCCCTGACTGGGAAGGACAGCCACGAGCCCTGGCCTTGGTCTGGGTGCTGCGTGGGCTGCTGTGGGGCGTGGCCACGCACACCCTCACTCAGAGGGCGTCCCAGGCAGGGCCCCTTGCTATGACTCCGACCACTGTTTAAGTCACACGCACGTCCCCGGCCAGCCCGGGACAAGCTGGAACTCCACGTGAGAGAAAGGACACCCGAGTCCGTGGTGAGGTTCTGCTTCACAGGAAGCGAAGCCCCCACATCGGCCTCCCTGCTGCGCCTCACTTGTGAACATCAGGGAAGAGTCAGGCCCCTGCACCGGAGTCCCGTTCCCTCCCACCGAAGATGACAGCCTGCACAGACGGTGCAGGCGCGGGGCCTAGCAGGCCAGAGCCGCTTCCTCTCAACTTCCACCCACTGCCCTGAAGACACTCTACCTGGAGCACCTCCAACAACCCCACCTGGCCTCAGGGAGCAGCTCAGATGCTGGCCTGGGCCCCGATTCGAGGTTCATGAGGCCAAAACACACAGATGGTAACCACAGGCTCGGCCTGGAGGGAGCGGTGGCTCACTGGGGTGAGAGGCTGAGAGGCCCTCGGGGTGGCACAGAGGCTGGGAAGGGAACGAGGGGGCTCTGACCTTGGCCCAAAGTGCTGCAGGGAGGGGCCTGGAGGCAGCGGGTGAGAGGCCATGGCAGTGCCAGTCTTGGCTCGGGCAGAGAGCAAGGCTGCAGGGCAAAGGGGCACCAGGGTGGCCGGGTTACTGGGGGTCTGCTGTGCGGGCACCAGAGGGGCAGGATGGGGCAAAGGCGGGATCAGGACCCAACGACCAGACAGCACCTGGGCAGGCAGGGACACAACCACCAGAGCTGCTGTCACAGCGTCCGGCCCTCGGCCGGGAGGGGGCAGCCAGGCCCTCCCGGGGGGACCCAGTGTCCACGCCCAGTCTGCCCTGCGGTTCTGTGGGCAGCCTGGCAGGGGTGGCTCAGGCAGCCGCCAGGCCCCACACTGGCTGGGGCTGAGAAGCAAAGACCCTCAGATGGGTCGGTGGCCTAAGCACAGGGGCTGGTGGCCCCTCCCCTGCGACCACGGCTGCCCCGGAGTTGGGGACCCTGTGGGGGTGAGCTTGCCACAGGAGCCAGGCATGGCCACCAGAGCTGAGAAGGAGTTCTGACATTTTTAAAACATGAAGCACCAAGATCAGAAACAGCACGTTAGTGTTTCTCGGAAGAGACCACACAGCCAGGCCCCTGCACGCTGGGGTGGGGTGGGGTGGGGCCTGGACTGGGGGAGCCCGCTTTTCAAGCCCAAGGAAATCGCCCTGATCGCTCAGTGTTGGAACAGTGTCTCCGCAGGCACCGTGCAGCCACCGTGGGCGCAGCCGGGCCCTGGCCACACCCCTCGGCCGAGGCCACTGCTCTTGCGCAAATGCAGCGCCTGTGGGCAGAGTCTGCCTCAAACTTGGAAGCCAGGACAGGCTGGGGTCTGGCACTGAGGAGAATCAAAGAAGAGACACTTAGACCCACCAAACGCACAAGTGCAAAACGTGTCATTCCTCTTCCTAGAGCTTCCACTAAAAAGACAGACAGACGCACCTGGGCACAGCCGGCCCGCCCCACCCACGGTTCACGTGGCTTCTCACTCCCAGCGCCAAACCCCCCTGCGACACGGCGGCCCCGGCGGACGCCCCAGGGGCAGCCCGGCGCACTCACATGACAGTCTGGGGGTTCTGCAGCACACGGGCCTTCGGCCCGAAGGTGGTCACTGGGCACGGCCCATGCAGAGAGCGCGTCCTCCTGCAGGGAGAGGAGGGGACAGCGGTGACGCTCTGGCAGGGGCCGTGCAGGCTGCGTGCCTCAGACCCACAGCGCTGTCTGCGTCCACACGGCTCCATCCTGCGGCTGGTGTGGTCCTGGAAACCCCGCCCGGCCTGCAGAGCAGGTCTGCGTGCGTGCACTGCCCCGGGGCGGCGGCAGCCAGACACACTGGGCGCACCTGGAACCGCCCTCAGAACAAGGACCTGCCCCAGAGCAGGGGCCTGTGGCCTGGGGGCGGACCTAAAGTCCTGTTCTGTGCACCTCTGCCCTCCTCCCCTGCTGGCACCTCTGACTGGCCACCAGCACGCCAGGCCCGTCCCCCGCAACAGAACAGGCAGTTGCGCAAACTCTGGCACTGGTCACAGGACCCTTGCTTCAGAGGCAAGGCCGGGCTGGCGACATTTCCCGCAGCCCACGGGCCCAGAGCACTGTCACTCGAAGTGTTATGTAAGAGCAGCAGAGCCGGCCTGGGGGCTGGGGGGCACTTGCCCGGCTGCCCTGCACTGGGCCTTCCCCCTCCACCAGGCCCAGCCGGATGCGGAGCCGCAGCCCCGAGCCTCCATGTCCACAGTGTGCAGCCACCACTGAGGACAGGCCAGGAAGGGGCGCCTGTGTGCCCGCAGCCCCCCGCAGGGACCCACGCGGGCCGGTGCAGAGGCAGCAGCACAGGCCCCGAGGGGGTGGGCGGGGACGGGCGGCCCAGGAGGCCTACTTACCTGAACTCCTTCGTGCCCGCCAGGGCAGGCGCGGCAGACAGGCTGCGGGACTTGGCCCGGCCGCGGACGGGGCGGCCCAGCACCGTGTCCTCATCCCCGTGGCACGCCGCGCAGCGGTAGGAGGAGTCTGCGCTCGGCCCCTTCCGCACACCGACCTTCTCGGGCTCCATCTCCATCGCCGGTGAACGAGGCCTTCGGTCAGAGAAGTGCTGATCCCTTCACCGAATGAGACACAGGTGGTGAGCACCAGACCGCACGTCCACCGCACGGGGCCCCTGCTCCGTCAGGGGACGGGCTGGAGACTGGAGTCCGCTTTCCTACCCGGTTTCCACCCAGAGGTGCTGAAGAACTCAAGAATCTAACTGCGGTTTCTAACAAACCTAGAGGAGCCTAAAGGCAAAGAACAGAACCCACCACGACAGGGTGGCGGCACTGCTCCCAAGTCGGGCAGGGATCCGGCAGTTAACTGAGAGTCTGGGTGCAGTTTTCAACGCCTCAGTCCAGAAAGGCCAAGTAAAGGGAACGCGTAAATGCCCAGGCGGCCGCAGGGGCCCGTCAGACCCCACACCCTGCACACGGTGCCCGCGAGCTCAGTCACTGCCCGCACTGCAGGCCCAGACTGACCTGTGTGACCCTCAGAGACGACCCCAACTCCCCAGAGGAGTGAACACAGAGGACGTGACCATCCAGGCACAAACGAGGAGGTGTTTACAAACAGTGACCACATCCAACAGGTGAGGTTACCAGCGAGGATCCAGGAGATACATTCGACAAACAAAAACCAATGTTGTTTCTGTGCACCAGCAACGAATAAGAAACTGAAATTTAAATGCCACGGTCCCGTCACTAAAATGTGAAACGCGCAGGGAAGCAACTGGCAGAAGCAGCACGGGAACCTGCCCCGATACGAGTCCGGAGCTGCGGCAGCGCCCAGGGGGCCGGGGACGCCGCGCAGGACAACACGGCGTCCTCTGAGACCTCCAGAGACTGAAATGGACTCGCTGTGGGGACGGCCTCACAACAGATACAAGTTATCTAAAAGCGAGGGCCTCCCTGGCTGGTGTAGCTCAGTGGATTGAGCGCGGGCCTGTGAACCAGACAATCGCGGTTCGATTCCCAGTCAGGGTACATACCTGGGTTGCAGGCCGGTTCCCTGCAGGTCAATTCCCAGCAGGGGACGCACAAAAGGCAACCACACATTGATGTTTCTCTCCCTCTCTCCTTCCCTTCCCCTCTAAAGATAAATAAATAAAATCTAAAAAATTAAAAAATTAAAAAAAATAAAAATAAAAATAAAAGTGAGGGCCCCTCGGAGGGGGACGTGGTAGATGTCAATTGCACCTCAATAAAGAAAGAGTGACGTCCCTTGGAAAACAGCAGACTTTTCTGAAACCAGACCACAGAGGACCCGCAACAGCCGAGCGCTGACCTGACTGAAGACAGACAGACACCCTGCCCAGAGGACAGGACGGGCCCTCGCAAAGGTGCAAGGTGGCAGCCAGGAGATGACTGCCCTTCCCCGCTGGTCGGCCAACTTGGCAGCCACATGTGAAGGATGAAGTTAAACCCCCCACAGGCAAGAGTGAGCTCAAGTCAAACTACAAGACTTGTAGGAGAAAGTGCCGGAGAAAGTCTTCCTGGCCTTGGAAAAGTGTTTTCTCACTTATTTATTTTAAGAGATTTCATGTATTTACTGAGGGACAGAAAGGGAGAGAAACATTGACTGGCTGCCTCTTGGACCAAACCCGCACCTAGGCAAAGCGGTGACCCTTCGATCCGTGGGAGGGTGCCCAGCCGCTCAGTCCCCCCGGTCAGGGTGGCCGAGCTTTGTCACACAGGACACAAAAAGCACACACAAGAAGAGAAACTAAACTCCATTATAGTTAAAACATTTTACCCTTCGTGAGACACTGTTAATAAAATGAACAGTGTTGGTACAAGCTGCAGACCGACAGAAAATATTTGCAAAATGTGTATGTGACAAAGGACTTTCTCTAGGAATATATAAAGGACTCTGGAAACTCAGAAAACAAACAAGCCTATTAAAAAACAGGCAGCAGACCTCAACTGTGGGCAACCTCTCCAAAGAAGCCCACGAGAAGCCCCAGGCCGGCAGTTACAACCACAACCAGACACCACCCGACATCCAACCAGAACCGCTGCAAAGTAACAAGTGAGCGTGCGTGGAGCGCTGGGAAGGTCCCAGAGGCCGGGGGCCCTCCCGCACCCCCAGGAGGGGGACACTGCACGGTCCTCGGGAACCAGCGGGCGGGTTTCCTGCAGTGTGGAACGCACGCCTGCTGTGTGACGCAGCCGTCCCAGCCGGCAGAGCTCCGCCAAGAGGACGATGCCAGTGTCCAGAGACACCAAAAAAAAAGCCAGTGACACCTCAGACTGGAACAGCCCCCCACACAGGTCCTTGCTCAAAGGGCACCTCCCTCCCCGGCCCTCCCTGAACCCTGTGAATGTCAGTGGCCCAGGGCAGCCTCATATTCAAGGCTGGCTCAAGGTGCAGCATGTTCTGGACACAGAAACCTCCTCGGTCAGCAGGTGGACACACGACCGTACTACACAGGTTCCCTGGGGCGGGGACAGCAACCCGAGGACCAAACCTGGCACTCGCCTCCCTCCAGTCAGGAGCCGAAAGGCAGGGATGCAGAGCAGAGCCTGGGAGGAAGCCGGGGCGTGAGAAGCAGAACCATCAGGACAGACCAGCAGCCAGGCAGCGGCCACCACGACCACCGGGTCCGAAGGGCACCAGACCAGCTGGCTGGAGACACAGGCCGACTGTGGCCTGACGTATGAAAACGTGATAGACTCGTTCACTTCGTCACAAAACCTGTTCCAAACAAGCAGCAGTGGCCTTGGCTGCACACCGGCCCTGGCTCCCTGCTTCACCAGAGTTCAGGTACGCGGCCTCCCCACGACCCTGGGAGGCCAGCACCCCGGGCGAGAGTGAGCTGTCCCACGTTGTGCCCGCAGGTCACGAGGCCGCCGCTGTGGCTCAGGGGGCTGCAGTGTCCCTGAACCGAAAGGGTCTGGGTTTGGTTCCCCATCGGGGCGCAGGTCGGGCTACAGATTTGACCCCAGGTCTGGGCGCACACAGAAGGCATCCAGTCCATGCTTCGCTCTCGAATCTAACCCTCTCTCTAAAAGCAAAGGAAAAGGCTGGAAAAAGAAGAGACCGCCAGCTGTCCCCAGGAGGCCCGGAGGCAGCCCCTCCCTGCCGAGGAAGGCGCCAGTCACACGGCACTCCAGTCCCGGCACTGAGAGGCCCCTCCACCCAGTCTGCGGCCACCAGGCGTCAAAAAGAGAATGACTGCAAATACCTGGACAGAGGGTGGAGTCTGTGAGGAAGAAAGGGACAGGTCACATAAAAAGCAGCTGTGACCGGCACAGGGCAGAGGTGTTTACTTTTCACTCAACAGGCAGGCAGTGTGGGTCCTTCCGCGTGTCTCCCCTCCGTCTGAGAGCGCACTGAGGACCAGGGGCGGGAAGCAGGCGCCCTGCCAGGCCCAGTCCTGCTCTCTCCCCTCGAATGACGTGCCCTCCCCGGGGCCCCACCGCTGGGCTGGCACTCCCAGGCCCCTGCCCACAACCGAGGTGGACAGACATCAGCGCCAACTTGGCAGAGAGGCCCAACAGAGGGGTCAGGGCCCGGGGAAAGGAGAGGACCCTGCAGACCCCCTTCCTGGGCCCAGGGAAACAAGGCTTGGCTCGTCCCCTTCTGAGACTTGGACAAAGGCCTGCCGAAGGGCACAGCCAGGGTGTGCCTCCCGGGCTGCAAAGGGCGGACACCTGCAGGGGAGGCAGGTGTGCCTCGGAAAGTCCCACTAACGAAGTAACGTAGGAAGTGGCTCTGCTTGGGCTCCGAGCTGAGGTCACCAGGGGACAGCGTGGCCCTGAGCCCCATGGTCCCACACCAGACCCGTAGCCTGAGCCAGAGGGGGACATCGTAACCCGGGACGCGGAAAGCCACCACTCCGAGATGGCGCAGGAATGACGAGCTGGCCAGACTGCTGCAACCCTGAGAAGTGACAGACAGGACCAGTGACGCTGGACTGCTCGAAATGGTTGCTATGGAGTCGCCAGTTCCTGGTGTGTGTGTTGCTGTGATGGGTCCCACGTGCAAAGGAGCAAAGCAGTTGACACAGTTCTCGTCTGAGCGGCCTGGGTGGGGGTGCAGTCTGCACAGTGCTCCCCGCCAAAGTCCAAGTTTATCAGTAGGAAGTCGCACCGCCCGGCCAGTTCAGCTCAGCAGGGTGGGCATCGTCCCAGGCGGGGCGCTCGCCTGGGGTGCAGACCAGGTCCCCAGCTGGGGGCGCACGAGAAGCAACCACACACAGATGTTTCTCTCTCTCTCTCTCCAATAAACGAATAAACTAAAGAAAATCTCTATTAAAAAATCAAACCCTACTTTAAAAGAAGTGGCTGTACAGACTCAGCACTGCACAAAGCAGTGAGCGCCTGGGCCCTCTGTCTGCTGGTAGGGTGCCCCCCCACAACCCCCCCTCGTATGCACTCCCGTGGTCCCCCCGCCCCGGGCCCCAAGGGAACGAGACCCACAGCTCCGGCCCCACCGCACTGCCCTGGGCGAGAGGCAGGGCACGGCCTCCGTAGCTCGGTGCCCCAGTGATGCCTTCTTGGCTTGTACATGCAGCTCCTGGGTCCCAAGGGCCACACTGAGCCCTGGGGCGACGGTCTGTGCTCTCCAAAGTGGACTCAATTCCAACAAACACATGTTGGAGAAGGATTAGCCCGTGGCCAGCAGGGTCTGTTCCGAGAACGCGTGGCTGGTGCAGTCAACAGGGTGAGTGAGAAGGGAAAGAATGAACTCCTGATCACAGCAGTTGATGCACAGGTAGACCCTTAATGATAAAAACTTGCAGCAGTTAGGAATAGAGAGGAACGCCTGAATTGATAAAGAACACCTACCAAATCCCCACATCGACACGCTGCTCTGTAGTGAAAAGCGAACCCCTTCCCGAGCTCGGGAGCCAGGCCAGGGGCACGCCACCTGCCTGGCAGGGGGCTGAAGGCCGAGGCAGGACTCCGGGCAGAGCAGACGGAAGACCGAGATGTCGGCGTAGCACCACATGGGGGCGCAGGGGCGTCCGCCCTCCGGTGTCTCCGGGCCACACTGAAAGGAGTAGAGCTGTCTCGGGCCCCACATTAAATGCACCATGGCACGTGATCACAAAGAAGTCTCACGACGTCTTAAGTAAACTTACAACTCTGTGTTGGGCCGCAGGCTGGACACCCCTGACAGAGACCTTACACGCTGGAAAGAGCCACACACTGACAGGAGGAACCGGGGGCTCCTCCCCAGAGTGGCCCAAGGTTTAACTCGGCACCCACAGAGCCCGGACAAGACTGTCTGGCAGAGATGCACAAGCATCTTCTAGATCCGCACGGAAGGTGAAGGCCCAGCTCGGACAGCACCAGGAAAGACAAGCAGGGAAGGACGACTCTCGCATTAGGACCTGCCCTCTCCCCGGCAGCGGCCAGCAGCGCTGGAAGGCAGACCCGTGGCTGTGGCGCGGGGCAGGGCAGCTCTTCTCCCAAGTGGCCCTGGATTTCCACGCCCATGGGCTTTAAAGAGAGCGAGCCCCCACCCCAGACTACACATCCTAAACAAAGACCAACTCAAAATGGGTCAAAATCTATTGTGTTTAGTATAACTGATAAAGTACAAAACTTCTGTAAGAAAGCGCGGGAGACATATTTGGGACTTGGAGAACTGTTTATACATGACGTAAAAAGCACAGTCCATAAAAGGGAGAGAATGGTACAAACCAGGCCTTGCTCAGACCCGAGCCCCTGCCCCACCCTCACCCCCCTGCCAGAGGGCACGGGTGTCAGGAGCACACAGGGAGCTCCCACGATGCAGCAGTGAGAAACCACACAGCCCCCCGGGAAGCAGGCAGGGAGGTGGGCAGCCGAGAGGACAGTGCACAGGCCTGGGCAAGGGTGCTGGCCACAGGGAGGTACATGTGGACACCGGGAGGGGATGTCACTAGACACCTCCCAGAACCACCCAGAAAACAAAGAGCCAGGGGTCTTGGAGACCAGACCCCCACGAGGGTGGGAATGAGAAAGCACAGTCCCCCGGGAGGCAGGCTGGCAGCTCTGTTTGAACACTGAACACCCGAGCTGGCACCCGCCCCAGAGGAAAGCCAGTGTTCACGTAAGAACCCGAACAGGGAGTGCACGGCACGGGGGGCGGCCGGGCACCACCACAGGATAGTCCGCTGCGACCTGCATCAGCTCAGTGGCCCTCAGAGGAGTCACGCTGAGGGAAAGGCCCGTCAGAAAGGGCCAGACTGAAGGGCCCCACTGCACAGCACTCAGGACGACCGATGACCTAGGAGGAGCATGGGACCTGGGCAGGCTGCAGAGGGCGGTCCCAGGGGCTGCCTGCCGTGAGGACAGTCACACACAGGCAGACTCAGGGAACAGCGAGGTCACCTGCAGGTGACATGGGCCAGGCCTGAAGAGCCTGTGCGGCAGGGCCCGCCCGCCCTTCCCCCACACCGACTTCCCACTATTCTGACACATGAGCAGTGCCTGGCAGCTGGGAGGGCCCAGGGTCTTTCTGCATCGTGTCCCGACCGCCCTGGGAGCCACTGTGTTTTAGGACCGTTCAAGACGAGCTCAGGGAGCCAGGCTTCCTCCTGAAATCGCTGGTCCCAGGCCAGGTCAGGTTAGGACCAAGTCCCTGGTGGGGGTGGACGAGAGGCAACCAATCCATGTCTCTCTCCCTCTCCTCCCTCCCTCCCTCCCCGGCTCTCTGCGAAAAAAAGAAGCAGTTAATTTTAAAAAGGAGGTAAATCAATGAAAACATCTTTAAAGACCCTTACTACACACAGCCTAGAGGTCATTCACATTCACTTGCAAAGACTAACTTGATGACCAGTCAACTAATCCATGAAAAAGTCACATTAAATATGAAAACTCACTTTAAAATTCATCTCCAAAGCACATTTCTGACAATGGAGAGTTGGTACTCACATTTCATTCAAGCTCATTTGGTGTGTTAGTTGCTCTAAAAGGTGAAATTCGAACTCTGCCCAAGTTCACTGCCGGCCCTGAACTTTCACCAACAGCCTGTGGGGGAGTCAGGACTGGAGCCACGGGGGCCCAGTAACAGGGTTTAAGGCACAAAAACCCTGCAAGCGCCACACACACCCCTAGATCATGACAATCCAGTGAGAGCTTTTAAAACACACCATTGATACTGAGTGAAAAAGGAGCATCAACCTCCCTAGTTAGTTAGCACACAGCTGGGAAGAGTCCGTTAAGTTGCCTCCGCTCCGCCCTCAACAAACGACGATGAGCCGCCCGGTGCTGGCAAGGAGGTGCGGAGGCTGGGCGCTCCAGGAAACCGCGCCTTGCGGGGGCTGTGGGGAGGGGCCCAGGCAGGCCACTCGGAGGAAGGCCAGGCGGGTCAGGGGCAGAGCAAAGGGGAAGGCAGCAGCACCATCTGCCCACAGGCCCATCTGCAGGCCCGGAGACCCCCGAGGGCCCACCCTGCGGGCCCCTCTAACTGCTCGGACACTCGGGCTTCAGAGAAGCTTCGGTGTCAGGTAATAAAGACAAAAGCCACTGACTCCCACAAAACACTCCCTGCCCTCGCCGCCGCCACCCCGCACCTCTTCAATATGCTGGAGGCACCTACCTTTTCTCAAACGTCTAGTTCGGTGAAGTTGACTCTTTCCTGCTTTATTTACTATCAGGGGCACTGGTCCCCTCCCATATGGCAGCCACCTCCGCTCCCCAAGGAATGTTGCTTGGCTGGCTAGGGAGCCCTTGTCACCATGTGTAAATCGCACGCGGTTTGGGGCTGGCAACACAAGCCGACCTCAAGTTCAAAAACCTCAGAACCACCTCGAGAGCCCTATTCCGGGGACAGCTGGGCGCGCACGATCGCTCCGCCCCTCGGTGGCTGGAGCAAAGGTGACCACGGGACAAGGTGTGGGCGCCGCGCAGGGGACAGATGGCAGCGCCGCCCAGGCTGGGGCAGGATGCGTGGAAGGAGCGCCCGCAGGGCGACATCCGGTGCGCCGGGACAGCACCTCGCTTATCCCGCCCAAGAGCGCAGCCAGGGCGACTGCCCGGGTCACGCGGAGCGGGCCCAGGGCCGCATCGACTAGGGAGCAGGTTACTCCGGAATTAGGCCGCCGGCAGGGCCTCCGGGATGAACGCCGAGCCCCAAGGCCCCGACGGAGGTCGGAGAGGCCGCCCGGCAGCGTCCCGGGGGCCGGGGCCGGGTGGGCGTCGACCCCTCAAGTCCGGCCCATGTCCAGCAGACGCCCCATTCCCGGGACTGGGGCTGCGGCCAGCACCTCCCGGAGTCCACACCCCTGGGCCCCGACCCCGCGACCGCAGGCGGCGGGCCGGGACGAGGGGCGGCGCGCACTCACCGTTCGCTGCTGCGGGCGCCTGCGGGACTGTCCGCCTTCCGGGCCCAGCCCCCGGACTCCGCCGTCTCGCCGCTGCTCGTCCTCGCTAGCCACCCCCCGGCGCCGCGGCCGCCCCCCGCCCCATGGCCGCCCGGACCGCGGCGCCGGCCCGCCTCGCAGCCCTGCCGCCGCGCTGCCAGTGCGCACGCGCGCCCGGCCCCGCGCGCACGCGCCCCGCCCACAAACGCCGGCGCGGGGCGGGGGGGGGGGAGGCGGTCCTAGTGCGAGTGGCCTGGCTCTGGCTGCCTCCGAGAGCGATTCGTGGTCCCCACTCACCCCGCCGCGTCGGAAGCGCGAGTGGTCGTCCGCTCCCCCCTGACCCTAACCCCTGACCCATCCCGCTCCCCTCCCCCGAATCCTAGGCCGGCCGACTGCCGTCCCTATCAGTGGTGACACCACCCACCGAGGTTTCCGTGAAGATTCTGCATCGAAGGAACCTGTTTCGGGAACCAAAACTCAGTGTGAACACCTGCAACAGACCCGCGCTCCTGCGCTGACGGCGCAGCCGGAGGGAGCGGACCTCGCCCACCTCCAGCGGCTTGGCTGGTCGGTTCACACTGCCTGGCCTCAGTGGCTCTGGGCCTCAGTGGCTCTGGGCCTGCGGCCTGAGTGGAGCCCCTGGAGGGTGACTCCCCCGGCGCTGTTCCCCCGCCCCAGGAGTGGAGTACCTGGAGAAGGGGACGGGGCCAAGGCCTCAGTGCGCACCTTGCAGCTTCTGTTGGCGCTGCTGCCTCCCAGGGGCCCGGGCGCTTTTCCCGAGGCTCCGGGTTGAGGGTTTCCCACCAGTGCAGCCTGGCGTGGGGTCCCAGCAGCGTGCTGGGGACACACTGAAGAAGCTGCTGCAGGGGCACCGCAGGACACGGACCTGGGTGCTTCGTAACCTGCCTGGCTCCCCCTGTGCCAGCCATCATCCCTTTTCTACACTGGGGTCTCCCCAAGAGGGAGTCCCCCCACCCCTCTGTGGCAACTTGGCCCCCAGCTTGCTCAGCATCCCCACGCCCGCCACTGTTGTTAGTCTTCTCTGGCTGGGATTCCTGGTCCGCTGTCCACTGACCTGGAACACTGCTGGTCACACAAGAGGACACGGCTTGCTGCTGTCCCAGGACCACTGGGCGGTGAGAGTACCGAGAGTACCCACAGTGAAAGGGGGGTCAAGCCAGACGGGACTTTGCGGGGATTTCTCAAGCTCTGTAACTTCCCTCTGTGTTGTTTTGTAAAGCCAACTTCTCTTCCCCAAAGTGAGGGCCAGCCACACCCACAGGAGATGCCTTTTTGGGTACAGAGTTGCACTTTTGGGTACATCCATTAACATAACAATTCCAGTGCGTGACCTAGCACTTGCTGTGACCTGACACTGAGCCTGGCCTGCCAAGAAGCTTCTAGAGCTGGATGGTCTGCAGAGAAGGCACCAAGGCACGAGCCTGGGCAGTGTCACTAGCCAAGGACAGAGCAGGCACCCTTGCTGGGTATCTGCCCTCTCTGAAGAGGATTGGTGCAGGTGTGTGTAACCATGGCAACCCTCTGTCCACCATGGACTTGAGAGGCTGGCAGGAGCGCCTCCTTTCAAAGATGGGAAAGCTTCGTGACCAGACCCCCTTCCAGCCCCAGGGCAGCCCCGGGGACTCAGAGGCGGAAGCTCACATGCAGACCCAAAGGGCTGACCAGCAGTAGCAAGGCCCATATGGGGGGTGTGCCTTGGGGCATCTGGAAGGCCCCTAGAGGAAGTGCTCCTTGGTCTGACTCCAAAGGCTGAGTCAGGCTATGGTGTGGAGAGGGAAGGCCGGCAGTACACAGACGGGGGTGGGGACGGGCAGGAGGGACGCTCATCAGGCCAGTTTGGGTGGTGTGGGGCGGGGGCCCTTCCTCCAGCTGCTCAGGGGCCTGGGAAAGCCGAGTTGTCCTCCCTTCTGGCTAAGCAGTACTAGCTTTCCCCTGTAGTCGGCGCTCTATCTTATCATAATCTGGTATTTTTCTTAAATGTGGCTCCACATTGGTTAAGCTGCACACGGACAAAGCGGGCAACAAACCCTCTTCTGATGGCTAAATGATGGAGGACAGCAGAGTGGGTGGGGCGACTGGTCAGGGGAGCAGGGAACCTGCACCCTGGAGGTGTGGAACAGGTTGTGGGGCACCCTGGATTTGGGTGCAGCTGGGGGTGCCCCAGGCCCTCAGATGCAGAGTGGAAGGGGTGCCTCACTTCGGGGTCCTGCTCCCAACTCTGAGGAGGTTGGCTGCAGCTGTGCCTGGCTGGAGCACCCAAAAGGGGAACCAACAGCAGCCTGAGGGGCAGGGAGGGGCAGAGGTTCTGGGCAGGAGGTGCGTGTCTCGGGCTACCCGGAGGTTGGCTTGTTTATCCCCCAGGTTCTGGTGTCCAGCCAGCGGGCTTGGGAGAAGTCCAGCCCCTCCTGCCTGGCTTGACCTGGCCCTCCCCCAAGGAGAATGTCTAGGGTAGTGCACTTGCTGGTCACCTGTGGGGCTGGTTGGGGGCAGCACCTTTCTGTGCAGACGAGCTGAGTGCCAGGTGCACAATTCAGTCCACAGAAAAACCTTCGGCTGGGCCCTGTGTCCCTTCCCACGGGGCTGCCAGAAGGGTGCACGCTGCCCGAAGTCTCGAAGGGCCCTGGGCGAGGCGACTGCGGCACAGCCCCGGTGGGGCACTGAGGCTGAGGGCCGCTCACCCCAGCACCACGTGTGCAGTGCCCCTGGAATTTTCACAAGGTGCCTTGGCCGTCCGCAAGTTTTTTCTTTAACTCATTGATTTGAGAATAGGGCAAGGGGGAGAAACATCAATCTGCTGCCCCACTCACTGATGCACTTGTCGGCTGGCTGGGTTGGAGTGCACCCTGACGGGGGACCCACCACCACCCTGGTGTTTGGGGATGACGCTCTGACCCCGCACTACCTGGCCAGGGCTGTGCAGTTTTCAACGAGGATTCCAAGGTGAGAAGAGGGGCCGATGAGGCCAAGGCCAGGTGCCAGGCACAGCTCGGCACTGGAGACAGAGGGAAGCTGTGCCTGGTTGCAGTGGTGTGGACATAGCACAAGTGGACACCGTGGACACCGTGGTCACCGCGGGGCTGGCTCAGGTCCAGCCATGGCTGCGGTGGCCACCTGCCTGCCAGTGCCATGGCTGTGGTCCAGAGTAGAGGGCAGTACCCCCCCACCCCCAGCACGTCTCAAACTCAGGAGGAAGTTCCACCATCTGACCCTGAGAACCATGGGTACCTTGCCACACCTCTGTGGCAGGGGTGGAGGGGGAGGGGGGTTGCCTTCCTTGCCTCAAACCAGCTCCTGAAGACTCTGACTTCAGTGGCAGTCCCCCCCTTTTTCTAGTGGACACAGTTCCTGCTCAGACGGATGAAGGGTGCGGTGGGGGGGGCTGTCCCTGGGAGAGCTTGGGGGTGGACAGGGCTGCTGTGGCCACGCTGGCGAAATGCCCTATCACCTTCCGTGTCCTCTCTGTGGAGGGGACAGATCTGGCAGGAGGATGGGCAGCCAGGGGTGGCTGGGGCCGCTGCAGACCCGACTGTGCAGGGATGACCACCCCACCCACCTGCCTGCGAAGGAGCAGCCACGCCCGAGTCCCTCGTGTCAAACTGCTTTATTACATCTTAAATAACAGTACAGCTTAATACAGGGTCTACCTTGTTCCAGCTCCCTTGCAGTACAGAGACTGAAAATTAAATACAAAAGGGGAGGGCGGTGCAGACAGCTCTACAGGGTGTGGACGTGGACGGAGAGGCTCCCGCCGAGTCCCGCCAGGCCGGGCCGGGCAGCCTGCCCAGGAGGCTCCGTGCCGCCCTGGGTGTGCTCGGGGGCGGCCGGCGGCCCGTCCACTCGCTGCTGCGGACAAGGCTCAGAGGAGACCGGGGAGGTCTGCGGACTAGAAAAGTGGCGCCTCGGGTGCAGGGGGCTGGTTTCTTGGGAGACGGGCCGTGCAGAGTGGATGGAGGAGGGCCAGCGTCTCCGGGCCCCGCCCCTGCCCCCCCAGAGTCCAACGGCGATCATTTGGGACAGGACTTGTTTTTTATAAAGAAATAAAGAAAACAGTGATTTATCCTGCTACTCAAGCGTGTCGAGCTGTGTACTGTACTGCTTCCAGTGCGTGCAGAGTAGCAGCGATAGAGCCGTAATGGTTACAACTTGAAAGAGATTATTTCTGGAAAGAAAACATCTAAGGACTGAGTCCTCTATGCACACTTGAGCATTTCTACAGCATGCGAGTCTAAGAGTTAACCCACCCCATATGGCAAACGATCAAATTTTTTAAAATTTAACTTAGAAAGTTTGAGATCATTATTTTCAAAACATTGATTTGTACATTGTTTCATACACAAGTAACGGACTCACTACCCAAGCACAGGACAGGCCGCTCCTGACGAGAGGCCCTGGCGGCGGGGTGGGCGTGGGCTGGTGCTGGGCTGCTGTCACAGACCCCCCCAACTTCACAAGGAGACCCAAGTGAGAGGAGAAACCCCACTGAGCAGGCAGGGAGGGCGGGGCAGGAGGAGAGGGGCCCGGGGACACGCTGCCGGTCCCCGTGAGCCCGAGACCCGCAGCAGCCTGTGCCCGGCCCGCGCTGCTCTCCGTGCCGAGTCTGTGCGCGACACTCACAGGACACCAGACAAAAATAAACAACCAGGGGCTGAATGTACACCGCTAACGATGTCGGAGAGACCGTACGAGACCCTCTCTCTCTGGTTAACTAGGGACACAAAGGTATTTTAAAAAGGAAGTGTGGTGTCCAAATCCGTCACGAACACGACCTGAAATTTAGAGCCGATTACAAGGTGGCGTCCTCGACTTGTTCTGCAGGAAGGTCACGAAGCGGGACCCCTATCGGGACCCCCACGCGACGCCAGGGCGCCGGTCTCGCAAGCACACTCGGCTCGGCTTTCGGCGGACATCTTCATCGGGTGTTTCCCGTCAGGTCCTCTCAGACAAAGGCAGACGAAGACAGTGGTCCCGGGAGGGGTGCAGGCTGGTCGAGCAGACACACACTCTTCTCTGCGTGGGATTGTGCTCTTGGTTTCAGCAGTGAGTGAGGAGAGGTCTTGCCCTTTTGAAGTTCGGAGGGGGAGGGCGCCCACGTTAGTAGGGGTTGGAAATGCTATCACAGAAACGCCTCGGGGGCGGGACGGCCTCCGGCCGCCGCGTGCACCTGCCGCTGCAAACAGAGTGGGGGCTGGGTGAGTGTGGGGACTGGCGCGCCCCGGGGCCGCTGACGGCTGCACTGTGGTCCCACTCCCCTGCGGAGTCTGGAGGAGAAACAAGCTGATGAACCAGGAGGAGACCCACAGACACGGAGAGCAGGCTGACAGCCGTCAGAGGGAGGGGTCGGTCACCAGAGGGCGTGGGGAGGAGGGACAGAGGAGGGGCGAGGGGCCGAGTGGTGAGGAAGGAGGCTGGACTCGGGGTGGCGAACACACGGTGCGATACACAGGTTACGGATCGAACACCTGACACCCCCACACACTGATTAACTGCTGTCACTGCAATAACTAACAATTTTTTTCAAGTGTAAAAAGAAACAGCACATCTCAGTTCGGGTGCCCAGCCTGCTGACCACACCCGGCCGAGAGCTCTGCACCCAGCATGCCCAGAACCCAGGAAGCAGGGCCCCCACAGCCGGGGCCCGGGCCGCTCCATTACCTGTGGGTTAGTTCCAGATCTTGAGGAAGCTGTCCCAGGACCCCGTCGCCACAGCCATCCCGTCATCAGTCACCCCCAGGCAGCTGACGCGGTTGTCATGCCCGGCCAAGACACCTGGGGGCACGTGAGAACACAGTCACTCCAGCGCCCGAGGGTGCCCCGCCTGTGTGACCGGGACGAGTGCGGGGCAAGGGGACAGTGCACTCGCCGAGGCCGGCCCAGCCCTGCAGCGCCTCGGGGGCTCAGAGAAAGGACAGCGGGGGGGGACTGACCCAAACATAGCCACGTGGCAGGCCGGCCACCAGCCTGTTGCAGACACAGCCACAACCCAGGGCCTCCTGCCCCGACTGCTGAGCACTCACAGAGGAAGCAGCTCATGCAGGAAGTGAAACCAAAAGCACAAGGAAACCCCACCTGCCAGTACCCAGGGCTGTCGCACCAGACCGTGCTGGGCTGGGACCCCGGGCGGTCACCCCAGGACCGTGCTGGGCCGGCACCCAGAGCCCCAGCACAGGGCCGGGTCCACACAACACAGACGGCCGCCTTCTGAGAGCTGCCGTCCCCGTCCCCACGGAGAGCAGCCTGCGGGGCGGGAGTGCTCCCCCAGGCAGGTGTGGGGCTGGGGCTGGGGGGTTCCAGCAGGGCAGGAAGCGGACCCCCGGGATGCGGCAGCCAAGGTGAGGTCCACCAGCCCCAGGTCCCACACCCCTCTCCCACCGGCCCAAGGACTGGGACGGACGTGGCCAGGCGCTTCGGACATCAGAGCAGGCTCAGTGCCACCACCCGGGGCCACATCTTGTGCAGGAAGCTCTAGTCTTCCACGCGAGCTGTGCTGCGACGCACGAGACAGCCACCCTCCAGCCCGACGTGTGAACTCTGGGCTACTTCCCGGGGCCTGTGCCCCGCACAGAGACGCCAGTGCCCAGCACGTGCAGCCGCAGGGCAGGGGACGCGAGGGCCCGGTGCCCCGTCCTGCCCGCTGGGCTGTGTCCGCACACCTCTCAAGCGCGTGGAAAGGGCTCTGGCACGTGGGGGCTGGTAGGTGCAGTCGGGCAGCCTCGCCCAATGGCAGGTACCTCGGCTGCTCGGCGCAGGTGAGGGCCACGTGCACTGGAAGGGCAACCCCCGGACGCGCAGGATGCGCAGCAGGGCCCCGGTCACCGACCTGCCCTGTCGGCCTTGAGCGCGTCCCAGACGTTGCAGTTGAAGTCATCGTAGCCGGCCAGGAGGAGGCGCCCGCTCTTGGAGAAGGAGACGGAGGTGATGCCGCAGATGATGTTGTCGTGGGAGTAGGTCATGAGCTCCTGGTCCGCACGCAGGTCGAACAGCCGGCAGGTGGCATCGTCGGAGCCGGTGGCGAACGCGTTGCCGTTGGGGAAGAACTGGGAAGAACAAATCGAGTGTGCAAAGGCATGGAAAGTGAGTGTTGAAACTGCTGCCTGCCCGGGGGCAGGCCCACGGCCAGCACGAGACAGGAGTGAGCAAGGGCTGGACCCTGGCAGAAGCTGGGGGACCACACCACAGGGGCCCGGGGGCAGGTTCCATTTTGTACATTTCCCCGAGGGGACGGTGAGGGTGCCAGCCATCAGGCTGGCCCGTGGAGAAGGCCAGGAGGGGGCCCCTGACTCCCCAGACATTTCTGCACAGCTCCCTGCGGGTGCAGGCCCCGCGGGGAAGGCAGCGCCCGCCTGCTCCCCACCCCGAGGGGAGCGCCCGGTGCCCGGGGGACTGCACGAGTCAGGTTGCGTTTCCAGAGACAATAGGGAACAAATGATTTGGGGTTCGACAGGGTCCCCCACAGTTCCCAGCAGCCAGTGTGACTGGAGAGCAGCTGGCACAGGGCCCTGAGCCCCAGGCGAGCCCCCAACTCACGCAGATGGCGTTGATGTCGGACTCGTGGCCGGTGAACGTCTGCCGGCACATCCCTTCCCGCACGTCCCACAGCTTGGCCGACGCGTCACACGCGCCAGAGACAAACAGTCTGGCGTCCGGAGCGAGAGACAGGCTCATCACGTCCCCGGTGTGCCCCGTGAAGGTGGTGGTCTGCTGGCCCGTCTCGATGTCCCACAGGGCACTGCGGTGGGACACAGCACAGGCGGTCACCTCGGCCTCTCAGAGGGCAGTGACAGAGTGTCCTTCCACCCACCCAGGACCAGAGCCAATGTGTGTCTGACCGAAGACAAACCAGCCTCTGGACAAAAAGAGAACCTGGCGCAGGTGTGCGTACGGGGCTCCACGCCAACTCAGAATCAACAAGGAGGACGCCTGTGTCCCTTTAAAACAGGGACATCGGAGGCTTTGCCACACACTGGGGTTGCAAGTGGGTCAAGGGGCCACAGGACGAGGACACAGGACCCGCCCGTCCCATCTGCAGCTCTGGGCCCTCAGGGCAGGCCTGCAGGCCAGGAGGTGGCAGGGCAGGGAGGGGGCGCTGCCGGGTGAACCGATGGCTTGGAACAATGCCACAGGCAGCGGAGGACCGCCACCGCGAGGCGTCAGAGCGAGACGCGGGCAGCACCGCCCGGCCAGAGCCCTTCGGTCCAGAGCCTCTGCCCAGAGGTGGCGAGAGTGCGGGACGCGGACGGAATTTCACATGTTGCATCCCCCAGATGAAATGTTTACATTACACGTCTTTTGTGGGCCCAGGGCCTTCACAGGAAAAAGAAAAACCCTGTGAAAGGATGAGGTGGATAAAGCAGTGGGGCTGGCACAGGGCAGTCCTGCTCCCCGAGGGACCGGGTGTCCGTGCCTCAAAGGGCAGGGACACCCACGGGGATGGACAGAGCCTAAAATGACATAAAACACTATCTGACAGTTTAAACTGTATGGTTTGGTGCCAGTAACGCGAACACTCTCAGGGCGACTGCGTGGCCTTCTGGCTTTAAGGCAGGCCAAACTGTCAGCGTTCAGGTCCTGGTGCCACCCACTGGGAGCTGTGGCGCCCGCTGCCCCGGGGCCCTGCCCAGCACCCACTCTAGACGGCACCCTCCCACGGAGGCTGACGCACCCAGTGCCCAGAGCACGGCTGCCACGCAGCTGCAGGGTCAGCGCCCCCACCCAGCTCCCACTGCCCTCAGCCTGCAGTCCTGGGGCCACTTCCCAGTGCAGACGCCGCGGGGCACGGCCACACTGAGGGAGGACGACTCAGGCCTCCGGACTCACCAGGTGGTGTCTCCAGAGCTGGTAACTATCTGATTGTCATCCAGGAAGCGGCAGCAGGACAAGTAACCTGGAAAACAGGCCCAGAAAACAAATAAAACTCACAAGCCCTGGGGTTCTGTGGCCTTGTGAGCAGAAACCCGGGGGGCAGAATGGGTGGCTGGAGCTGAAGGTCGCGGGGAAGCCCTCCGGCCCTCTGTCCAGGGAGGAAGAGCAGGGCGGTGTGTCCGAGGCACCGCTGGGCAGAGCCCGAGGAAGCCCCTGCACCGAGAACCCTGGACAGAGGAGGCTGCCCCGGGCTGCAGCCCCCTGCGACCATATCCCGCCTCAACCGGCTTCCGGAACCGGGAGAGTCCGAGAAGAGCAGCCTGCACTGTGGTTTCTGCCCCCCCGGCCTCGTGGGCCAGGGTCTGGGTCTGTGCTCTCCGGTGAGCAGCCCCTAGAGGCTGGGCCGCGGGGGAGCAGGCCCAGCGCCAAAGGCGAGGAGGCCCGGCCCTGGGCTGCAGGCACCGTGCACCTCGGCGGAGGGGCCCCACTACCTCAGCAGGGCCGAGACGCTGCAGTGAGCCAGTGAAATCAAGAGCAAAAGACACCAAAGAAGAGATCCACTGACAGGTTTGATGTGAAAGGTGTAAGGACATTGGGAAAACAAAGTATTTATTTAACAACTGTTGCTAAACTGGCTCCCATGGGAGAATTGAGATATGACAATTTCAAAACCCCAGCCCCGTGTCCAGAAAAAACAAGTGGTCACACATTTCCCGGAGGCCAGGTCCAGTCCACAGTGACTGGGAGCCCCTGGGTGAGCCAAACGCACCAGGACGCGCCAGGACGGGCCCGACCCGGCACAGAAACACGGGCCTGAAGACCGCGCAGACCCCAGCCTCTGAGGGGCTTGTCTCCAAGGAAAGCGTCACTGCCTGCTCACACCGGCGGGACCGTGCCTCCCTCTGGAGCCCTGGGAGCTCAGCCCCGTCCTTCCAGGTGCCCCACGGACAGGCCCCTGACCTGCCCCCACCCACACTCAGCCCCTCTGCCTGTGAGCCCGGGAGAAGCCCCCGGGTGTGCTAGGCTCCCTGCACGGGCCCCAGCCCCGCAGAGGCGGCCCTGTGCCGGGCAGCTGGGCAGAGCCCTCGAGCCAGGGGCTAAAGGCTCCACGTGTAGCCATTCCTGAGAAACGACCTGAACTCCCTGGGCAGGGTGTCGTCAAGTGTCCATGGCCACCTCCCGAGAATGGGGAGGGGTGTGGGGAGTGACGGAGCTTCCAGACCCACAGCGGGGACCTGGGGACACAGGTACCCGACTCCCTGTCCCTCAGCAGGAAGGGGAGTGGGCACCCCTGGGGCCCTGAGAGACAGGCCCGGCCACAGGGGGGAGGGTGGGGGAGGGAGGCGGCCCTCAGCACTCACTCTCTGACCACTGTTCCCCACGAGGCCAGGCTGCAGGCGCAGAGCAGACAGCACGCTGCTGACGGGAAAACAACGAGCAGGTGCGACTGTGCGTTTCACAAAGTTTTTTCTGTGTCACGTGAAGAAGTGGGAACCGACGTTTCAGCCTGAGTGACCCCCAGCACAGCGTGCCCTGTGATAGGGGCCCAGTGCGGACACGGAGGGAAAGGACAGCCAGCCGCGCAGCCTGGTCTGTCCTCGGGGCAACACTGCCCAGCAGGGACGCCCCTGCAGGGGTCCCGAGGCGGCCACGTGAACGGGAGGCAGCTCTGGCTGGAGGAAGAGCCGTCTGCGCTCACCGAGTTCTCCGTCAACAGTGGCGGGTGACGCCTCCGGCTCGAATGGGGCCCAGGGGCGGGGGTGCAGCACGTGCATGGGGGGGGGGGGGGCAGCGAGGTCCGAGTTCTCCAGACGTGACCACAACAGAGCCCGAGCCAGACGTCACCTTTAACCAACCGCCCAAGAGCAGCCGCAGGATGACTCCTGGGCGGAGTCAGAGGAGACATGTTCCCTGTCACACCCAGAGAGAAGGAGTGTGACAGGCACTGGGTCTGACCCGCTGTATGTCAAATACTCAGCCTGGCTGGCAGGCTCCACGGGTCGGGCTTGTCCTGCAAACGAAGGGACCTTCCCAGTCAGGGCACGAGCCTAGGCTGCGGGAATTCGGTCCCCAGCCGGGGGCGCTCGAGGCAACTGATCCATGTTTCTCTCCCTCTTTCTCCCTCCCTTCCCCTTCTTTAAAAAGAAATAAGCCTGGCTGGTGTAGCTCAGTAGATTGAGCACGGGCCTACGAAGCAAAGGGTCACAGGTTCAATTCCCACTCAGGGCACATGCCTGGGTCGTGGGCCAGGTCCCCAGTAGGGGGCGTGCAAGAGGCAACCTCACATTGATGTTTCTGTCCCTCTCCTGGTCCCTCCCTTTCTCTCTCTCTAGAAATAAACTAAAAATAGAAAGAAATAGCCCTGGCTGGTGTAGCTCAGTGGATTGAGCGCGGGCCTGCGAGCCAGACAATGGCGGTTCGATTCCCAGTCAGGGCACACACTGGGGTTGCAGGCCAGTTCCCAGCAGGGGATGCATGAAAGGCAACCATACATTGATGTTTCTCTCTCTCTCTCCTTCCCTTCCCCTCTAAAGATAGATAAATAAATAAATAAATAAATCTTTTAAAAAATAAATAAATAAAGTGAAACATTTAAAATAAATGATACAGGGTCTCTCGCTGCGTGAACCAACTATCCTACGCCGGAGGCTGAAGACAGCCCAGCAGGTCCAGCGGGGACATGGGGCTGGTAGGAGCTGTGCACCCCTGACCATCCGGAGGCGGCGTGGTGGATGCTCTCGCTAACCTGCGGGGCCCTGCTCCGAACTGTCCCTGGAGAACAGTCCTCAGGGACAGCCTGCGCCCTCGTCACAGCCGTGTCTCCAGGCGTCAGTCGCCCCTCGAGCACCACCACGTGCCTCTGGGTGGCTGTGCTCAGCGAACAGCCGAGGACGGTGCGACTTCAGTGCAGCACGTTAATAACGGCGACACTGGTGCCGATGCCGGGGAGACGCCCGCGTCCGCCTGACGGACTCACAGCGCAGCCAAGACAGGCGCACCTGTCCGCTGCACCCGCGGCGCAGGCTGCCCGTCTCACCGCACTTGGCCGCTCTGTACCTCCAGGTGCACAAGCTCCTTACACACGAAGGTGAGACCCTCCAGGTCGCCTCACCTGCGCCGACCCCGAGGCGAGCACAGCTGTGCTGCTGGACCTCCCGACGCCCGAGGAGCTGACCGCACAGCACGAGCCCCTGGGTGTCCCCCAGGGGCCCTCGTGCAGCACAGGGACAAGGGCAACACCCAGCTGATCCCCAAGGACCTCGTTCCTGCCGCTGACGTCCCCTCAGACCCTTGGATGGAGGCCGCAGAGGCCGAAGCGCAGATGGCTTTTCCGTGCAACTGAGTCTCTGGACCTGCACCAGGCCCTCTCCTGACCACGGCCTCACAAAGCTGCAGACCCCCGCTCAGGCCCCAGAGAAAGCGGTGACACGTGGTGACCGCCAGGCACGCACGCTGGGCGGGGGGACCTGCTGAGCGCGCTGACTGTCCACTTTCAGCCCCTGAGCAAAGCAAGACTGGTCCACGTGCGCCGAATGTTAACCTGTGCCAGCTTGAAGCTGATAACAACACACCACATCTGAAGAAAGTCAGAAACACTCTTAAGAGACCAAACATTTAAAAAAAAACAACTTTCAACTCCTAAGATATAAAATTTCAAGATGTGTGAAGGAAACAAAAATTTCTAAAATATTCCCTCAAGTTTTGTTTTGAAAATGCGTTAAAAAACCCTAAAGCCTCGCAGTGAACATGGAGGTGGACACGCCACCTGGACGCCACGGCCGAAGTGCGTGCACCTGCGCCGCAGCCAGAGGGTCGCTGAGAGGCGTGCGCCGCGGGCCCACAGGTGCCGGGTCCCGGGCAGCCCACCGCGGCCTGGAGTGGGGGGGGGGGGCGACGACGAGAGCCAGGGCCTCGAGGGTTAGGAACAGAAGCCGCACCCAGGGCCACACCTGGGGGAAGAGAAAGGCCCAGGTGAGCTGGTGTCTATGTGCTTTGCTGGGGCTGCACCACAGATGGGAGACCCTGGCGTGGCGACCTTGAAGAGCCAGCGGAGACACTTCTGGGCCAAGGGAGGGGCCCGACTTAGGGTCCTGACACCCGACTCCCACCTGAGGCGAAGGAAGCTCCTGGCCCCACCACCTGGCACAGGTGGGACAGGTGGGACCGAGCACCAGCGCTGCAGAGGGCCAGGACGGGACCCCACCTGCGGCACAGCTCCCGCCACGTCCAGGACACAGATCCAGACTCCTAGAGGGACTACGACCCAGGACGATGTCACCCACGTTCCAGAGAAAAGAGCCACCATGACCGGCCCCAGAGGACGAGGGGCTGGAAGTGCAGGTGGGGACCTCGCGGCGGCCCTGTGAGCAGGCGCCAGGCCTGACGAATGTGCTCCTACCGTTTAGAGCACTGAACGGAAACGTCAGAGTTAAAAACACAACACCGGCACTCTCCATGGTGTAATGCAGGGGCTCGGGGGGCGGACGGGGCTGGGCGCAGAAGGCCCAGGAGCCTGGGGCCCAGGGGGGCGGTTCAAAGGCTGAGAGTGTAACTGTGTGTGTAGGGGGCTTAATGCGCGTGTAACAGCGGCACACACGGAAGCCACTTGAAGGGCAGGAAGGGGCCTCCCGGGCTGCGCGGGGCCCTTGTGTGACCCGCGCTGCGACCCCCCGATAAACCACTAAAGAATGACACCAACAGGTAACCAGAGAAAAATACAAGAAAGCAAAGCGGGTTCTGAAAATCAAGTCACCCCGGAAAAGGGCGGGACAGGCCCTGATCAGCGGGGCTTGGTGGGTGGGCGCCACCCAAGGCAGCCGAAGGCCACCGGTTTGATTCCCGGGAGGGGCACGTACGGGGCGAGGGGTGGGTAGCCGATGGGTGTTTCTCTCCCTCCCCCTCCCTCAAAATAAACAAATTCTAAAAGGACACAAGAAGGCAGGACAGGAGGGCAGGTGGCGAAGTAACAGAGCCACATCGAGCCCTGTGAACGGGCAAGGCCCTCAGTGGCACGCAGAGGGCGGAGACCAGTGGGGGGCCAGCACCGCCCGCCGACAGGTTGGGGGGAACGAGGGCCTGGGAGGAGGCCGCTGCCAGGGCCCAAGGGCCCCGGCAGGGGGGGCCACAGAGCCGCCAGGGCCCCCCGCCCCCTCCATTTCTTGCTGCTAAATGCCGACCAGGGCCTGTCCCTGGTCTCCTGTCCAGAATTTCTCTACCACAGCCGCAGCCGATCTCACCGCACGGCAGCTGAGAGGAGGGGTGAGTACCTGTGTGTCCGGCCAGCTCGCGGCTCACGCGCACGTTCCCCTCGCGGGTTTTCAGGTTGTAGATGGAGCAGATGTTGTCCAGGCCGCCGCAGGCCACGTAGTTCCCAGAGGGGGCGTACGCACAGGTCATGACCCACGAGGAGCGCAGGGGGATGGCGTGGACCTAGACACGGAAAGGCAGATGCGCTGGCTCAGACCACCGGTGCGGCACTGCGACCCGCAGTGCAGCCAGGCAGATGTGGCGGTGACCCGGCAGGCACTGGGCCACGGGAGGCCGTGCCCACGGCTTTACTCCTGGCGTCACCAGTGGTCAGACCGGCACCACAGTGACAGTGCAGCTCCCTGGTCAGAGCGCGCACCGGATGAGAGGAGGCCCTGCGCCCTCCCCCTCGACTGTTAAGGCTTGTCTGCTGGCGAGAAACTCCCTTAGTCTTAAAAAAGTGAAAGAGGAAAGCCTGCCGTCAGCCTGTCCAAATGGCTACAGAACCGCTGACGAGCCCAGACGTTTCCCTGGAGGGACCCACGGGGACGGTCCTGCGCTCGCCCCCTCCCACGCCTCCCCGAGCCCCCGAGGGCCGTGCACTCCGCCAGACACAGCCTCGGATCGAGTGTCTAGAAGTCTGTCCACACTTCAAGGTGGAGCGCAATGCGGATCAGGTCCCATAAAAACTGCAAAGCGAATGAAACGCCACGTCCCTACGTTGCTACACCAAACACGGGGTCTCCCGGCCACGGGGAGCACTGCCGGCCCCCTGCCTGGTGACATGACCACAGGCCGGGGCAGCCTCCGGGGCCGGCGGGAGGCTGTGCCGTGTGCTCCGAGCCCCCCGCAGCCCCTACCTTGTTGGTGGTGTAGCTGTCCCAGATGATGAGCTTCCCGTCCTGGGAGGCGCTCACGAGGAGCCTGCGGGGAGACAAGACGGCCTGTCAGGGCCACGGCAGCTCGGCGGCCCCGACTCAGGGGCAGGGACCCAGGGCCTCCACGCCGAGTTTGCTGGAGACCAAGCACCCGTGTTTATGAGCAAAAGAAAGAGTTCTCGTTACCAGGCCCACTTCGAAAGCACGGAGGACATTTCCACAGAGAGCGGCTCGGACTCAGGCGAGCTCGGCGTCTCAGGCGGCCCAGGCCGCCGAGGTGCACCCGTGCGTGGCTAAGACAGAACGGGGTGGGAGACAGGACACGTGGTACGAATTTCCTGCTCTGCTCCGACACACGGCGCCCGGGTGTGAGCACGTGACAGGCCCCGAGGTTCCGAACACAGGGGCGCTTCTCTGCGCTGAGAGACCATGCCGGACCTCGGGAGACTCGAGGGAGGCCATCCCTGCCACCCCCGCAGTGGGGCGATGGCCGACCACAGCGGCCGTGCCGGGCCCACGGGAGCAATGAGTGACAGTCAGCAAGCGCTTCCTGTTGTCCCGCTCGGGCGTGTGTGGGCGTGTGTGGAAAAGGTGCTGTGCCAGGCCTGGCGGCACGACCACGGGACGGCGCTGAAGGGCTTCCACGCCAGAGCCAGCGAGGCGCCCGTGGCCACAGGGGCGCTGAGTACGGACGGCAGCAGGCACACACTGTCTTGCGCAGACAAGCGTCAGTGCGTGAGCAGTTTCATTTTACAGCGTTTACCCAGACGTGCCGGTTCCAGCCACGTCAGCCAGGAGCACACTTGGACTGATCGAAACCTGGAGGCGACACTCCAGCCTGCCGGTCTGGACAGTTCCCACCAGAACACACATCTGACGCACCCAGCAGGGTCCCCCCGACCGGGGTCAGCAGTGGGCTCTGCAAACGCCAGACAAGCCCCGCTCTGTGCTGCCGACCTCGCTGCACAGCCGGCCCGCGTGCGTTTACGGGCAGACCCACCTCCTGCAAGCAAGTCCCTGTGTCGTCTCAGCTCAGTGCCACGCCCGTTGGCACCTGAGGACTCTGGGCGACGGAGCAGAGCCCCCTCTGCTGCCTGCCTCTCTGGCCTGGACTTGCCCTCCATCAAGGTCACCTCCGGGAAGGCCCCCCCCCAGAAAGCTTAGAATCTGCTGACTCGCAGGGGTCAGAAAAACACTAATGCCCACTGATCCTCGGAGATGAGGAGGGATTCGCGCCCCGTAATCCCAGGGGGTGACCACTGGAGACGGGCCCTGGGGCTTGCAGCACCTCCCACCAAGCATCGGACCGGCGCCGGAGGCACCGCCCACTGGAGGCACCGCCCACTGGAGGCTCAGGGGCCAGGGAGGAAGGGCCTGGACACAGAATGGAGGCCGGGGCCACCTCCCAGGACCTCAGGCGCTTCCTGACTCAGAGGATGGCTGCTCCTGAGCCCCGGTGGGTGAGTGGGGTCTCGCTCTTGACCACAGCGAGACTGCAGCAGACTTGAAAAAGCGGGGGAAGACTGACAGTGATCAGGCCCCCGAGAAACCCCACAGTGTTGTAAAAAGCAGAACTGAAGCGTAACTAACCCTCTTACACTGGAGAGCAGCCGTGACCGCAGGGAAACTCCCACCAACACGCGCGAGCCCTTCCTGGGGGTCTCTCTGTGGCTGCAAAGGCCACAGGGCCACGGGCATGGGAGTCCGCCGGCACCCAGCAGCAAGACACGACAGACCACGCTCACACACCCCCCCGCCTACGTGGCGGGGGCGGGGAGTCTCCTGCAACGGCCCGTGTACAGTCGGAGGTGAAGACGACAAGGGAACACGGATGCCCGAAGCCGCGTGGGCCCTGCTCCGGACACGCCTGCACTGGGGGTGCCACGCAGCCCCACCACTCTGCCCCCTGCTCCATGAGCCTGAGCCAGCAGGCGGGGGTGAGGTCTCACACGAAGGGGTCAGGAGCATGGGGGCCGGGCCGCACCCACCCCGCCTCACCAGAGCCCCTGCTCACACCCGCTGCTCTGGCCACACACCCACCTTTCTGCCAGGAACACAGCTGCCTGCGCCCGCCTGTAGCCCTCAGTCACCCTGCAGGGCTCGGTGACACGTGGGCTCGTTGGAGAAGCCTGCCCAGCTCTCCAAGGGGCTAAGGCCTGAGGGCCGCTCCAAGGACCCGCTGGGGGCACAGCCTGGCCGGACACCCAGCCAGGACACCAACACTCCCTCAGGTGGAGGGACGGCCAAGCCGTTGTGGACTGTTCGGTCGTCACTTTCCACGCTGCACTCCACCGTGCACACCACACATGGGACCGTGTCTGATGCCCTCAAAAGCTCCAGCACGAAAGTGCACCATACACAGCAAGATACAGAACTTCCGCAGCGGGGTGGCGGGCAAGGGCGTTCTCCTTCCCTGCTCTTCCTGGTCCCAGCCCGAGCCAGTGCAGCCGCGGCTCGGGTCCGCGCCGGGGCTGGCACGGACACCGCAGACAGCCAGAGACGGCTGCGTGTCCTCGAGCTGCTCACACCGAAGAGCAGACAGTCTCACCCACAGAGAGAAACCCAAGCTGCACACACAGCTGCATGGGAAGGCTGGCCTGCGAGGGGCCAGCTGGCTGTCTGGGGGACGTGTCCTCGTCACAGGGGCAGCCGGCACTTTGTCCTGTGGTCTGGGGGGACCGCGGCCCCAACAGGAAGGAGGGACTTGAGCAGACGGGCATTGGCACCGCTGCAGGGGGAGGGTGACCATGGAGGGGACAAAGAGGGAGATGGAGATGAGCCACCAGATGAGGGCAGAGGACGGTGGCTGAACAAGGGGAGGGTTCAGGAGAGAGACAGTGAGCGTGCAGTGGGGTTTCCCAACAATGAAGAAAGGCGGGCCGAGGGCCGGGCAGCTGTTGAGACATTTACACACTGGACACGGCCCCCGGGAGAAAGCCAGCAGCACACCCTGCGCACACGCCACTGTTCTGATGCTCGACCCACTCGCCCCTCCCAACCCGCACCGGGCCCTGAAGCCACAAGCCCCAGCTGAGGAGCCCGGAGGAGCCCGGCACCCAGGGCTTGGGACCCTGCCCACGGCCCCGCAGGCACTGGGCTGTGCACGAGGAGGACGGGAGGGGAGCGCAGAAAGGGGCCGGGGCACGTGCAGAGACAGACCGCAGTGTGCCCCGCGGCCCACAGCGAGCGCACGCGGAGAGGGTCCCCCGTGAAGCCAAAACCCTCGACCGCCAGCACACACCTGGAATCCGTGCCCCAGTGCATGGCATAGATTTTGGCCAAGTGCCCCCGCAGGGTCCTCCGGGTTCGCATCTGGATCCTCCCCACGGGGTCGATGTTGTTTGTGATCTGAAAAGCAAACGTCCCCGCGCTCACCCTTCTGTGGCAGGATCCTCTCCACGCCGCCTCCTCTCTGCTGCTCCCACCACTGTGCCGGCCCCGCCCAGCCACAGGGACCTCCCGTTTGCGGGGCACCTGCCTTCTGGCCGCGGTGCCCGCATGAGCACGGCGATGGCACCGTGCTGGCCAGGCGCACCCCCCCTCCTCACTCTCCTCCGTCCCCTCCGCTGCCCACCAACCCGGCTGCTCCCGCCTCCCGAGTCACGGGCAGCCACGGGCAGCCCGCACGTCCGTGCTGACCCAGCCGCTGGCACGGCCCACTCCGCACCCGCCCACCCCGCACCGGCCCCAGATCAAGGAGAGGTGTGGGGCGGACACGTGGATCGGAGCAGCGGGTGCCCCGGAGGAGGGGTGGCGTCTCCTGCCAGGCGGGCGCGCCGGCCTCGTGCTCACCTGGGAGAGCGTGGCATCCGCGCAGGCTTTCCGGGCATCCTGAGAAGCAAGGGACAGAGGGCAGCTCAGTCACGTCTCGGGTCCACCCAGGTCCACACCCTCGCCCCACGGTTCCCAGGGGCCTCCACAGGCTGTCAGGGCAGAGCAGAGGGCAGGCAACGGAGGGCACCCCTCCGCTCCAGGGACCCCGCGTGCTCCAGGCCGCAGCTGTCCTGCAGAGCACCCTGGAAGCCGGGGGGGCCGCCAGAGAGTCCCAGAACAGGGAGCTGCCTGCTGCCCCGCCCGCAGGAGCCCTGCACCGGCCCAGACCCGCACGCCCGCCTCCCCGTCCGTCTGTCTGGTGGCCCGGGAGCTCTTCTGGGCTGGGTCAGCCAAGAACCGTGTTCACGCCAAACCCCACGGGCGCTCAACCCACGGAAAAAGGCAAAGGGCCCGGCGTCGCTAGCTGGCATTACCTGTGTTACCTGTTACCTGTGCTCTTGTCTGGGAAATGCCCTGGTGACCCAGGGAAGAACTACACAGGATGCGCCAAAGCTAATTAACATGCTTTACTGTCCCTACGTGACCAGAGCTACTGGGAAATTGAACGTGAAATCTCCAGTTAGTGTGCATTTCACCACAGCCACCTGCCAGGAAGGAGAGTGAAACTGGTTTCAAAGGGGCTGGAATGTGACTTTCCAGGAAAGGACAACCACGTCCCATAGAACAGTGTCTCTGTTAGGAAGTCACCTCACAGGCTGCTTTCCCGGTGGCGGCTGGCCCCTGGTGGCTTCCCCACATGTCCCTGTGTGGGGTGGGCCCCCGGGACGCCCTCCTCAAGGGCACACGCCTCCCTGCTGATGGCTTTTACTCCAGGAAGCTGGTGGGCACGCTCACCAACCGAGAACAGGGAAACGGACTCCAGACACTGCCGTCACAAATGCGCCAGAGAACGAGGGGCCTGCTTCTGCTCAACTAAGGCTGCTCAGTCAGCCACACAATGAAACAGGCCACCTGGCCTGGGGGTGAGGACAGGCGCGAGGACCAGAGCCGGGCCTTCCCGCAGTGAGCTCTGCCTTGCAGATACGGAGCTTGAGACTGGCGTCCGCACCCCTCTCTTGGTTTAAAAAAAAACAAGAATTCTTTAAATGGAAAAAACGAAGCATGGGACCTAAGCAACTTCACCCTGACTAGTGCCCCCAAATTAAAGCGGGGCCCCTCCCCGCCGGCCGCCCTCAGCAGGCACAGGGGTGTGCAGACCAGTGCAGGCGGCCCCACGCCGGCTGTCGGCTGGTGGGAAGGGTGCAGGCACATGTCCTGCGAGGCCTGTCCCTGCAGCTGCCGCCAGCCAGACCCAGGGTCTTTTCGTCGCACTCCCAGCCACACAGACGCCCACTGTGCACCGTACCCAGTGCAGATGCTGCGCAGTTTGGGATGAGAGGTGTCACTGCAGGTGACAGTTCCCCTCTTGTGCCCCTCAAATCGAGGACGACGTCTGAACCCTTAACCTGTCAGCCTCGCCCCCGACTCTGCCCCACAGCGGGTGCTCCTCACAGACACCAGTGGGCACAGTTGTCCCCTGAAAGGCACCTGGGCACTGCGTGGCGTTCGTCATCGCCCCTGGCCCACACGCTTCCTCAGTCGGAAGCCGGTGAGACACCCCTCCAGGGTCTCTCAGCTTAAGACCACCACCGAGGACGAGAGCAGCCCCTGTGCCCGGCCGCCGTGTCCTGTCCATGGCGCCCTTGTTCGTTTCGAAGCCTGCCCCCCTTGATTCCATGGTGCATGGGATGCCCCCAGCCTCTGCTGACCCCGCACTAAGCAGACACAGGCTGGCTCCACCTTTAGAGACAGAGACCCGGCGGAGGGTGTCAGGGGTGCAGGGTGTGTCCCCGGGCAGGTGTGAGACCCCACCCGGGAGGGCGCAACTAAGTGGAACAGATCAATGTCTGTCTTTCTCTGCTCCGCCCCGCCTCAAACCAGCCAATCAGAAAGAAGAGCGAGCCCCGGGCTCTGCACTGCAGCCCCACAGGTCAGCGACAGAGCTGCGCTCGGCCGGCTGCACTTGGGCGCTTCACCTCCCACGCCTCACCTCCCACGCCACGTCTGCTCCAGCAGCCGTCCACTCAGAAACTTCCACACACGACACCTCTTTTCAAAATCAGAAACAAAGCAGGCACTCCCCAAACACCTCCTGCTGTGGTTGCCAACACTCTTGTTTTCAAACAAGTCTCCTGTGCCACGGTCCCAGGGGTCAGAGGCAGACACCACACTCTGCAGCGACCTGCAGGGGGGTCACGAGGTGGACTCTGGGGTTGAAGACGTGCACACCCTCAGCGGGCGGCCCGGCCGGTCAGCGCCTCGTCCTGACCCGCCCACATTCCAGGCTCGCTCCCGCGTCCGGGTGCGTACAAGCACTGACCGATGAGTGCATAGGTAAGTGGACGAGTTGACGTTCCTCTCTCGTCGGTTAATTTAAAAGAACATAAAGAAAATGTTTTGTAAACTATATGGCAACACCGCCACTCAAACAGTGAGACACCGGATGAACCCTGAGGGCGCTGGGCCGGGCCGGATGGGCTGCTGCCAGCCTGTCCTGGGCCGGGAGAGACTCGGTCTCAGTCCCCAACACCACACCGCTATCCCATAGGTAGGGTTTCCCAAAACTGGTCACATCTGACCCAAAACACACATGCCAGCAGAAGCGAACGCGCGTGGCACGCACCCTGATTTGGTTTTTCAGCTGCTCGGCCTCCTGCCGTAGCTGGTCCAGCTCACTCATCTTCCGGCCTCAGGTGCTCCGGTCGCCTCCACGAGTCGGGTCTGAAACAGAGACAGGAGCACAGCTGACACGCGGCGGGGGCAGGAAGGAAGCAGGAGAGGGAGGACGCTGACACCTGGGGAGCCACGGTTTCCATGTAAACCAGAGACGCTCACGTTCACCAGGACCCACCAAGCGCCCCCGGGGCGGGGCTGGCCCAGCACAGTTCGTACTGCTCATGAGCTCTGAGCGGTGCCGGCCCCTAAGAGATCAGGCTAAGACGGCCGTGGCTGAAGAAGGAAACGGTTTCAGGGCATTTCTCAAGCAGGCTCCGATCTCAGCAGAGAATGCCAGCAGCTGAGGCTGACATTCAGACGGAGTTTCCCACAGTGACCCCGGCTGGGAAGTGGGGACAGAGACTGCCTGGCGGGCTGGCGCTGCACAGCCACAGCGGTGGCTGGGCCCTGTGGCTGCCCCACGCGCAGTGGCTCTGCAGGGCTCGGGGAGGCGTCCTGTGGCTCCTGGGATCCCAGCAGGCGAAACACCAACACAGCAGCCCCGACAGGCCGGTGCCACGTGCAGGACGAGGCGCAGGGCAGGCCCAAGTGCAGCCGTCCGGGGGCACACCCTCCCCACCTGTGGAGAGCCCCCTCACAGTCACCGGGAGGGAAGATGCCCGCCCACATCTCCTCAGGAGGCACAAGGACTTAAACTCTCCGTTTTAGCCACAAACGTGACTTCTGGTCCCACCTTGCACGCCAGAACGCTACGACGGTTTTCAAGTTGAGGCCTAAACACAAGAGAGTCCTGGGGACGTGGGTGGAAGGAGTGCTCTCTGAGGCGCTGGGATCTTTGGGGAGAGACCCATCCTCGAATACCAGGCAGGGTGGCCCGAGACGCTGAACTGGAAGGTCTCCTCTCGCAGGACAGTCCTTCCTCCATGTCACAGAAGGCGGTGCACCGGCGGCCACCTGCGCGGCCACGCGGAGGCGCCCGTGTGCGCAGCCTCTCAGGACGCAGCGGCAGCGGAGACGGCTCCCTGCTGGCGCCGTACTGCCCCGACGGCCAGCCCGGCCTCCCGGCTGCAGCCCCACGTGGTCAGCGCCCACAGGCGAGTCCCGGTCACGGGCTTCAGAACCCGTGTTCACCGACTGTAAGAAAAGGGTCCCATCTCCACTCGCAAGAAAGACGAGGCTCCTGAAAGACCCCACTGAATCTATGCACAGTCTGGGGAGAGACCCATGTCAGACATTTAGAAGATTTTAAGTCGCAGCCTCTCTTCTCCACTCCAAAGGTGCCTGATGAGGGCACAGCCCAGGCCCCTGGCCCCCGGCCGTGAGCACACGCACCCACGGGATGGCCCCCGGCCCCGGGTGAGCACAGAGGGACGAAGCAGCTGCACCAGTGCGGGACCCGGGCGTCTCCGCCCGGCCAAGGTGCTGCGTCCCCTCCCCCAGACACCGCTGTCCACCAGCGCTCTTCTGGGCCCACAGAAGGGCATGTCCGCGCCCAGAGGAGCGACCCTCGGTCCACAGACAAATAGAAACGTCACCAGGGGCTGTTTCTGGAGAGAGACACAGGGACAGTAGGCAGCCTCTGCCTCCCACTGTCTCCCGCACCACTGACTTCCTCCTGGGGAGTGAACAGCTAATCTGAGCCCTGGAACCAGGAAGCATCACGTCTCCTCCACACCTGTTAGTGGATGCAGGCGAGGTAACGCTGCCCTTCCACCTGTGAACTGCCACAGGTCACCGAGAACAACGTGAAGACAGGGGAGCAATCTGGGGGCTGCTTCCCACATGGGACATGCACACAAGTTTGTAGGAACTGTAGCTACAAGGAAGCACACACCTGGGCACCTCGTAATTCCATCACCCAAGATTAAAATGAAGGACAGAATCTTAAAAGCAGCAAGAGAAAAGGAGACAGTTACCTGCAAAGTAGTTCCTGTTAGAATGTCAGCTGATTTCTCAAAAGAAACCTTGCAGGCAAGAAGGGGCTGGAAAGAGGTATTCCAAGTCATGAAAGGCAAGGACCTACATCCAAGATTGCTCTGTCCAGCAAAGCTTTCATTTAGAACGGAAGGACAGATAAGGTGCTTCTCAGATAAGGTCAAGTTTAAAGAGTTCACCATCACCAAGCCCTTATTATATGAAATGTTAAAGGGACTTATCTAAGAAATATGAAGATCAAAAACTATGAACAGCAAAATGACAACAAACTCACAACTATTAATAACCGAACCTAAAAAACAAAAACGCACTAAGCAAACAACTAGAACAGGAACAGAACCACAGAAAAGGAGATCACATGGAGGGTTAGCAACAGGGGAGTGGAGGGAGGAGAAGGGGGAAAGATACAGAGACTAAGTAGCATAGACGGTGGGGAGAAAATTGACAGGGGGAGGGCAAGAGTAGTGTGGGAAATGCAGAAGCTAAAGAACTTCTATGTAAAACCCATGGACGTGAACTAAAGGGGGGGATGATGGTGGGAGTGCGGTGCAGGGCAGAGGGGAAGAAAGGGGGAAAATGGGACAACTGTAATAGCAAAATCAGTAAAATATACTTAAAAAAATAAAAGAAAATATATTTTCTCCTAAGAAATTTAAGCAGTCTAACATCATTTTCCCTGAAAACTGCTGGCCCGTCCTCTTGGTTTTCCGACACCGGTGGCGCACTTCACGCAGAACCGTGAAGGTGCGTCTGTCTAACGGTCTCACCTACGTCCACTCGCTGTGGCTTCTCCTCACTCTCCTCGGGCCCCCAAAGCCTCTGGCCGCCCCACCACCAGGCCCCGTGGCCTGGGCTCCTCTGCCCTCCTGGGTCAAAGCCACTGCTAAGCTGTGGCCGCGCTGACTCAGCGCACCGACTGTCTAATCCACTAAGACCCGGCTGCCGAGAGGTGCCCGACCGTCCCCTGTGACCCACGGCCGCCCGGCTCTGGTCAGGGCTTCCGCTTGGGAAGCGCTTCGTGCAGAAACGGCAACCGGAAGGCAGCAGGCGGGGTGCCCTGCGTCCACGCCAGAGCGCACGCGGCCCCTCCCCAGGCTGTCGGCGCAGCTGTGACCCCCTCCTGCACGCGGGGACCACGGGCGGTCTCACCGCTGGGGGGTGGGGGGATGCCAGGCCCCGCGGGTGACACACTCTCTCCCACTGACACGCTGTACGTATGCTAATGGACCAGAAAGTAACTGCCAGGTCCTGCCTGCCACCTACAGGGAACGTGACCGTCACCGACCCGTCCTCGCTCTGGCATCACTGTCCCGTCGGAGGCGCCCCACCCCACACGGGCCAAGACTGGGGCGGCTGGACGGCACCCGCCGGCCCTTCCGTGGTCAGGCCAGGACACGCACCTCCCGACAGGGGCTGCAGGCTCAAACGTGGCCTCTGCCACAGGCGGGCAGCCCGGGGCCACCCAGGGCCACCGTGCCCTGGCCACACCCTTGGGCTGGCAGCTGCACCAAGCATGCAGCGGTCACCTCTGAAACTCCTGAGGTCCCAGCCAGCCTCTGGAGCCTCCGGCGTCAGACGGTCAGGGGTCTGGGTGCCTCCTCAGCCACCCACCCCCACTCACAGCTGCACTTCAGTACAAGTTCGCCCGAGGAACCGAAACCAACCTCATGAGCTTTTCTGTTTCTCTTTCATTACCAAGTCCAAGTACATCCCCCAAATTAATAGGATGCGAACCCACAGCACACGGACAGGCCGTGGGTTCGACCCCTGGTCCAGGCACGTGTGGGAGGCAGCTGCTCGACGTCTCTCTCACATCGATGATTCCCTCCCTTGCTCTCCCTCTAAAACCAATTTTTAAAAAACCCTCCAGTGAGGATTAAAAAATAATAATAAAGTAACGGGTCTGCAATTTGCTTGAAAAACCCAAGAGGAGGAGGCAGGCGAGGGCACACGCAAGGCCCACGTGGCCACAGAGCCCCTCGCGGCCACCAGGGGCGCCCCCACTTCCCACTGACCAACTGAAGAGGGTCTGCGAGACGCGGGGTCCTGACTCGGAGCCCACAGCAGACACTTCGGAGAAAAGCAGGAGGCTGCACGTGGTCGCCCCCGACCACGTCGCTGGAGACAGGAAGGAGCTGCTACTGTCCTGTTACAAACACTTCCTACTCCTGAGTGAGAGAAGACCCGGGGATCGGCTTCAAGACACTCCAACTTCGGAGGAAGGACCTTTAACCAAAGTGGCAGAGTTCTGCACAGGCTGGACCTGGGAGACTACAGACCATTGTTTTTACCTACATTTAAACATTCCCAGTATGGTTTTCTCAGAACCAGTATTTCTTGGTATTGCTTGGCTAACTATAGGTACGAGTTCAATCTGCTATAAAGCCCTGGGTTGTACAAGGTCCCAGGCACCCACTCTAGGGAGTGGTGACAGTCCTCAGTGACCACAGCGGTACCTGCCACAGCAGCCGGCTCTGAGGCCCTCCCCCGACTCCCAGGTCTGTCTGAGCAAAGGAACGGCTGACCTTGGAGCTCACGTGTCCAGATTTCAAAAGCAATAAAAATTGCTGTTACTCTTGGCTGGTGTGGCTCAGTGGACTCAGTGCTGGCCTGCGAACCAAAGGGGTCACCAGTTTGATTCCCACTCAGGGCACAGGCCTGGGTTGTGGGCTGGATCCCCTGTTGGAGGCATGTGAGAGGCAACCACACACTGATGTTTCTCTCCTTCCTTCTCCCTCCCTTTCCCTTTGTGAAAATAAGTAAGTAAACAAATAAATCTTTTTAAAAAAGCCGTCAGCAGGAAACGTGCTTACTGGTTGGGGTGGGCATGTGAGAGGGAGAGAGTAACACCGACGGGTTGACGATGCTCCGACCCCACAAGCCACAGCGCCCAGGGCGGAGTTACGGTCTGACGGCCCTGCCACGCTGCCTCCCGCAGGTCAGAGGCGGCAGAGGTCCGCAGTTGGAGAAACAAGTCAGCAGCGAGGACTGGGGGAACCTGCTCCTGCTGACTCTCTCTGGGCCCTGGCAGAGGGCACCAGCCACCGTTCCCTCGTGGTTTGCACACTCGCGTGAGTGCACTGCACTCACTGACACGCAGCCTGTGCCAC